CTGCCCCACTGGGTTCCAGACTTGCGTGGGCCCTGGGGCCCTTTGTTTTGGCCAATTTCTCCCATTTGAAATGGGAACATTTACTCAATGCCTATACCCCCATTGTATCTTGGAAGTAACTAACTTGCTTTGGATTTCACAGGCTCATAAGTGGAAGGGACTTTCCCCGTCTCAGATAAGACTAAACTCGGACTTGGACATGAGATTTGGAGGGGCCAGGGGTGGAATGATATGGTTTGGCCCTGTGTCCCCACCCAAATCTCATCTTGAATTGTAATCCCATGTGTCGAGGGCGGGACCTGGTGGGAGGTGATTGGATGATGGGGGTGGTTCCTCCATGCTGTTATCATGACAGTGAGGAAGTTCTCATGACATCCGATGGCTTAAAAGTGGCAGTTTCCCCTGTGCTCTCTCCTGCCATCTTGCAAAGAAGGTGCCTTGCTTCTCCTTTGCTTTCTGCCATGATTGTAAGTATCCTGTGGCCTCCCCAGCCAGGCAGAACTGTGAGTCAATTAAACCTCTTTCCTTTAGAAATTACCCAATCTCAGACAGTTCTTTATAGCGATGTGAAAACAGACTAATACAGACTGTTTATGTTATTAGTAAGGCTTCTGGTCAAGAGTAGGCTATTAGTTATTTACGTTTTTTTTTTTTTTTTAATGGTGTTTCACTCTGTCACCCAGGCTGGAGTGCAGTGGCATGATCTTGGCTCACTGCAACCTCTCTGCCTCCCAGCACAAGCGATCCTCCCACCTCAGCCTCTTGAGTAGCTGGGACTACAGGTGTGCACCACCATACCCAGCTAATTTTTTTTTGTATTTTTTGTAGAAACGGGGTTTAATCATGTTGCCCAGGCTGGTCTCAAACTCCTGGACTCACATGATTTGCCCACTTCAGCCTCCCAAAGTACTGGAATTACAGGGGTGAGCCACCGAGCCCGGCCAGTTTTTTTTTTTTTTAATTATTATATTTTTTGTAGAGACATGGTCTCACTGTATTGTCCAAGCAGGTCTTGAACTCCTGGGCTTAAGTGATCCTCCTGCCTTGGCCTCCCAAAATGTTGGGATGACAGGTGTGAGTCAACTGCGCCTGGCTAGTTTTGGGGGAGTCCAAAATCATATGTGGACTTTCAGTGGCACGGATGGTTGGTCAGTCCCCTATCCCCCACGTAGTTCAAGGGTCAGTTGTAGTTAGCATCAGGTAACTTCAGGCTTTTTTGTGTAAGGATTAAAGCGGAGGGAGCTTTATTATCATGCTGATTGAAGATTTAAACTGACTTGCTGGGGAAATTGGATGTTATCTCTTTCTCCTGATTTGTTGGAAGGTCAGGTAATAACTTAGTTTAGGTTTGGTGAAGTGGAACTTTAGTATGGGTGATTCCATTTTTATTTTTTTATTTTTTATTTTTATTTTTTTTTTTGGTGGAGTCTCGCTCTGTCGCCCAGGCTGGAGTGCAGTGGCGCGATCTCGGCTCACTGCAAGCTCCGCCTCCCGGGTTCACGCCATTCTCCTGCCTCAGCCTCCCGAGTAGCTGGGACTACAGGCGCCCGCCACCTCGCCCGGCTAGTTTTTTGTATTTTTTAGTAGAGACGGGGTTTCACCGTGTTAGCCAGGATGGTCTCGATCTCTTGACCTCGTGATCCGCCCGTCTCGGCCTCCCAAAGTGCTGGGATTACAGGCTTGAGCCACCGCGCCCGGCCTCCATTTTTATTTTGTTTGGTCTGTTGGAGCCTAGTGCAGGAGCTTAGTTCAAACCAATGGCCTCCTATAATTTTTACTGAACAGGACTGATATCTTCCTGCTACCTACCTCAAATGCATTGTAAAATTTAATAAATTTTATATCTCAAAAAGGGTGTTATGAAACATTTCAGATGTATAAAAGTTATGACGTTTCATAGTACATAGTATTACAAGGAACATTCACTCACGTACCCAGCACAACCCAGCTTAAGAAACAAAACATCACGGGGCGCGGTGGCTCCCGCTTGTAATCCCAGAACTCTGGGAGACCAAGGTGGGTGGATCACTTGAGCCCAGGAGTTTGAGACCAGCCTGGCCAACATGGTGAAACCATGTATCTACAAAAAACACAAAAATCAGCCAGGTGTGGTGGCATGTGCCTGTAGCCCCAGCTACTTGGGAGACTGAGGTGGGAGGATGGCTTGAGCCCTGATGGTAGAGGTTGCAGTGAGCCGGGGTTGCACCACTGCACTCCAGCCTGGGCAACAGAGTTGAGACTCTGACTCTGTAACAAAGACAAAAAAAAAATTACTCAAAAAAAAAAAAAAAAAAAAAAAAGAAAGAAAAGAAAAGAAAGAAAAAGGCCAGGTGCAGTGGCTCACATCTGTAATCCCAGCACTTTTAGAGGCTGAGGTGGGCAGATCACATGAGGCCAGGAGTTGGAGACTAGCCTGGCCAACATGATGAACTCTGACTCCACTAAAACGTAAAAAAATTAGCCAGGTGTGGTGGTGCACGCCCAAAGTCCCAGCTACTCGGGAGGCTGAGGCAGGAGAATCTTTTGAACCTGGGAGGTGGAGGTTGCAGTGAGCCGATCATGTGCCACCACACTCCAGCCTGGGTGACAAAGCGAGACTGTCTCAAAAAAAAAAAAAAAAAAAAAGAGAAAACATCACCAATGTAGTTGAAGCCCTGTGTAATGTGCCTCTTCCCAGTCACATCCCCTTCTGTCTACCCCTGCATTGTCCCATAACTTATCCTGAACATTGTGCAAGATTTTATCATCCTCATGGTTTTTCATACTCTTTACACATATTGCATGATTTTGCAACTTTTAAGCAGGTCTCATATGTATGTACCCTCCTGAAACTTTCTTTTTTTTTTTTTTTTTGAGATAGGGTCTCACTTTGCTGCCCAGGCTAGAGTGCAGCGGTACGATCTCAGCTCACTGCAGCCTTGACCTCCCTCCCAGGATCAAGTGATAATTCCGCCTCAGCTTCCCAAGTAGCTGGGACTACAGGCACACACCACCACGCCCAGCCTGAAACTTTATCATTGAGATTGTGCATGTGATGTATGCAATTGATATTTTTACTACTGTGTAGGACTCCATTGTAGGAATTTGTTACAATTCACATTTATGTTAGATAATAAGTTTATGTGAATAATTTGTTCATTATAGCCAAGTTTCTTGCTAGACTGTTTTAAGTTCCAATACTTTTTTTTTTTTTTAGACGGGGTCTTGCTGTCTCCCAGGCCGGAGTGCGATGGCGTGATCATAGCTCATAGCAGCCTTAAGTTTTGGGGCTCAAGCGATCATCCCACCTCAGCTTCCTGAGTAGCTGGGACTACAGGTGTGTGCCACCATGCCTAGATTTATTAAAAAAATTTTAGTAGAGGGGAGGTCTTGCTGTTGCCCAGGCTGGCCTTGAATTCCTGAACTCAAGCAATCCTCCCACGTTGGCCTCTGAAAGCCTTGGGATTACAAAGCATGAACCACCATGCCCCGCTCCAATAACTTTTGACTCTGTTAGCAAATGGTTTCTCTTTAGCAGTTATACCATTTGTTTCCTGTTTTACTGAAATAGAAAACTGCAGAATAGCAGAGCAGCACTAATGGTGATAATTAGCCACCTTGTCTTTCAAGTGTGATGTTGGCTGTTGGTCTGAAACTACCTATCGAGCTAGGAACTTTACCTTTAAAGGTTGCCAGGAATGGTTCTTGAATGTGAACAAATGCCTTGCCATCTATGGACAATGTTTCTCATCTGACAGGTGATTAATATCACATTACACATATCCCAGGGGCAAATCATACTTGATCATGTTCTGTTTCTGTAGTATCCCACTGAATGAGATTCGCTTCCATTTCCCACAGGATTATTTCATCTGTACTCCCAGCTTCCACATCCAACCCCCAACCTCCAACCCAGGAATCCCCTTTACTTTCAAATTTAAATTACCTGCCAGACCTTTATTTCAAAGAACCAGTTAATCTTATTACTTATTGACAAATTCTACTCTTTCTGCTTATTCCTTTTTTTTCTTTTTGAGACTGAGTCTCACTCGGTCATCTAGGCTGGAGTGCAATGGCGTGATCTCAGCTCACTGCAACCTTCGCCTCCTGGGTTCAAGCAATTCTCCTGCTTCAGCCTCCCAAAGTGCTGGGATTACAGGCGTGTGTCACAGCGCCTGGCTGGGACTGGCGCGGTGGCTAGGACCACCAGCAGTTGGGACTGCAGGCGCCCGCCAGCACGCCCAGCTAATTTTTGTATTTTCAGTAGAGACAGGGTTTTGCCGTTTTGGCCACGCTGGTCTTGAACTCATCTCAGGTGACCCACCTGCCTCAGCCTCCCAAAGTGCTGGGAAATACAGGTGTGAGCCACCGCACCTGGTCTCTCTCTTCCATTTTAAAGTCCCTCTGGACTCTAAGCAACTAAACTCCTGCTGCCTTGAATTGTATGACCCCTCCGTGCTTAACCTCAACTCCTACACAGCTTTAGGCTGCAATCCAAGTGCACTGACGATGGAAAGCTTTCCCTGACTCTCGAGGCTAGGCCAGGCACTTCTATGTGTCACAAAACTAATCACTGTCTTCACCTCCCTACTAGAAGCTCAGTAACAGGGACGGGGCGATTCCCCTGCCTTCTCAGAAGGGCCAGGCACAAGAGTGGAAACACTAAAAAAGGGGGAAATGGCTAGCAGCCTTGGCTCCAGGACCAGGGGATCAGGTTAAAGACACACCCTTGCTTTCCTAGACCCACACTTTGGGACAAGGTCAAAGGGACAATCTGTTCAGAAGTAGCACCCTCAGGGAATGAGAAAAACCACACAAGGCAAGCACCACTTGGGGATATTTTTTCTAACTAAATTTTTATTATTTTTTTCTTTGAAGGCTGGAACCATCGAAGTCCTTAGGTCAGCTTTAAGCACTGGAGTAAAAACCACGAGGGACTACAAGGTGATCTGTGAACAGACTGGCAGACAGATGATGAGAGAGGGAGTGACAACAAAAATAGACAAACAAAAAGAATGGTCTTCTGGTGACCTAAATTACTTGTTTATTAAAATTTATTAGAAATAAACAAACATTAATGAAATAAAAACCTAAAACTGAGCCCCAGACTCAGGACTACTGGAAAGGCTCACCAAGTAAAACCCTGGGCTGGGTCAAGTGAGCTCTGTTTTGTACAACCTGCTGCAGTTTGTTCCCCTTGAGCAAGGTGATGCTTTGTCCTAGGCTGCAATCTCTAACACCATCACCATCCCCAAGTGCAGCTCCCATTCTAAAAAAAACAGATGCCCCCACTCCCAATTTCTGGTGAACTGCCAATCTCTCCTGACTGCAGAAACTGACTCTGAAGGATGAAGTTGCACCAGTGGTGGAGGCAGGTGGACAAGCGGGTCGGGCAGGGATGGTTTCCTGGAGAATCCATTCGGATCTTTTCTCCAGATGCCTAGCATGTGCTTAAGAGTTTTTTTTTTTTAAAGTTTGAAAAAAACTCCATTGTGAAAAGTAAGTTATGAAGAGTGCTCTTTATTTGAAACCTCCACAACACAGACGCCAATCTTGTCTCGCATTGAATCATTAGCTGTGCACATCAACACATTCCAAGCACAAATTAAGAAATGCAAACAGAACAAAAAAATATATATATATATAATTTTTTCCCCTATCCAAAGGTTTCAAGTCTCAATGCAGCAAATCCTTCTGAACACAGAATCTGAGGAGCACACTGTTCAAACAGTCGGGACAGACAGGTCCCTGCAAAGGCTACTGCCTTTTAAACACATGGGGCGGGGATCATGGACGGCATGGAAAGGGGAAAGAAGGTGAGGAAACAGGTGGCGGGGAGAGAATGAGAAGAGGAATAGGTATGCGCTGGGGAAGATGGGGCAGCTGGGACACACACGGTGAGTTGGTGGATTTCATTTATTGGTTTTTGACAATTTCTTTCTGGTTCTTTTTTTAACTCCCCCCTCCCCAGGTCCAACAATGGTAAAAAAAACCCACAGAGGTGGGCAGGGCCTTATTAGGCCAGCCCAAAGCCTTCAGAGCACTCCTGGATAGCCAATAGTAGCATGTGGCGGAGCTTCTCAAAGCTCTCATAGGCAGGCAGATCCAGCTGATTAAAACTAAGGAAAGAAGAAAGATCAGTTCGTGGTGAGGGATGACAGATAACCAAACCTGTGTGTTCCCATGGTGCCCACCAGCCCCTCCCCTCCCTGAAGAAACCAACTCCCTGCTTCTTGATGACTCCCAATCTTGTCTCAGCCCAGTCTGCCCTCCTTTATCTGGCTCCCAAACTGGCAATCGGGCACCAAAACCAAAAATCTGACCCTGTCACTCCTCCTTAAACACCCTGGCCTCACTCGCCCACAGGCTAAAGTGCAAACTTGAAGGAGGTTTTCAGAGTCACTCTGCTGAGCTCTTTAGACTTCTGCTCCCTGCAACTCCTCCTTGCTCCAGTCACGCTGGTCCTGGAATACACCATGCTCTCTTGTGGTGCTGTTTACCTGCCAGTGTCTCCCCAGCCCCCACTGTGTCTAGCACATCTCATCTCAAACATCACCTCCATAGAAACACCAAATTGTGAGTTACCCAAGGTCCAGGACTCAGCCACATTTGCGTTCCCAATCTTGGGTAGGGTCCTGAAAACATCAAGTATGCAAGCTCAATCTAAGCGCTGAAAAGGAGAAACAAACCCTTCCTTTTACCATGTGTGAGCTGAAGGCAGGCGATCTGTGGACCTGTCATCTCGATGGATCTGAAACTTCTGAATGCCATTCATGCCTTCGAGGGCAGCAAAGCCTTGCAGGGGTACCTTGGAAGTACCCGTGACAAACTGGAGGAACTTGGCACGGTCAGCTTGGTCGAAAGAACGCAATGCTCTCCAGAACCACTGGATCTGTAAGAAAGGACCCATGAAGCCAGTGTTAGGTAGAAAGCTCCTAGAAGCAGGGTAGGGGGATGGAATCTGGGAAATAGGACTGGACTTGGTATCTGAGGCAAGTCCCTTCTGTAGGATGAGCTTTAGTCCCTTTCATTCATAAGATGGCCAAGAGAAGTCGGCTATGCTCCAGGAGAACAGAGTTAGATATAGGTAGACTGTCTTCTACATGCACCGTCCTCTAAGAGTACTACTGGTTTATTTGTTATCACACAAACTAGCGTTGCCTAGAGGACCGTATGAGAGGAGCATATGAAGAGGGATGCCAGCAGCAGCTCACCTGAATAGAGTTGGACTGGTACTTGTGGTATTCAGTGTTGGATTTCAGATCATCGATGTCAATGGTGGGCAGTCCTGATATAAGCAGCTCTAACTCCTGCTCAGTGAAGATGGAAATGAGGCGCTTTGGAATGATCTCATAGAAGCCTTCTAAGAAAGCCGCCAGCTGCTTGCGGATGGCTCCTGGTGAGATAACCAAAAAGCCACATGATTTCTAAACTCACACAACTGTAGAGGTCAGAGATCCCCAGTCTGGCTCCCATCTACCACTGTTAGCTGGGACTACAGGCATGCACCACCACGCCTGGTTGATTTTGCCCAGGCTAGTCTCAACTCCCTGGACTCAAGCTATCCTCCTGCCTCAGCCTCCCAAAGTGCTAGGATTACAAGTGTGAGCCACTGTGCCCAGTGGTGTTTTTTTGTTTGTTTGTTTGTTTTTTGAGACGGTGTCTCACTCTGTCACCCAGGCTGGAGTAGAGTGGTGCAATCTCAGCTCACTGCAACCTCCACCTCCCAGGTTCAAGCAATTCTTCTGCCTCAGCCTCCCAAGTAGCTGGGACTACAGGAACACGCTGCCACACCCGGCTAATTTTTTACTTTAGTAGAGACGGGGTTTCACCATGTTGGCCAGGCTGGTCTCAAACTCCTGACCTCAACTGATCCACCCGCCTTGGCCTCCCAAAGTGCTGGGATTACAGGCATGAGCCACCACGCCCAAAGTTAAGTATTTTTGATCAAGTGTTTTGTCTTTTGTGCAAGGTATTTGTGGCTTTGTCATAGTGGAGGAAAACAAAACATGCCTATCAAATGAATCAAGTCTGACCTCTTCTCATATTGAGCAACTAGAGGACTAGGAACATTTCCCCTACCTGTCATTCTCATCTGGCATACCAGGTGTACATACTCCTTCTTATTCTCCTCTGTTACCAAGATGTTGGCCCCATTGGGTTTGAGGTCACGAACTTCACACACTCCAAACTCTTGGACCTAGAACAACCAAAACACCAATCATACATATCAGACTTCGTCTAGGATGGGATTAGATACCTAGGAACACACCCTAAACCCCTTGCCATGTCCTGGGCAGAGAGATGAGGCAAGTCCATACAAAACAGTGACTTTTTTCACTACTCACAGCTAGCAACTCGCCTGATAGGGAAAGGCTTTGGGTAGGAAAGAGGAAAATACTCTTTGGCTCTAAGACCCACAAAGAAGCCAGAAGAGAGTAAGGCAACTGTCAGTGGTAAAAGGGAAAAGGAAATGGCTAACTTACATAACGGAATGTAATCTCTTACGAAAACAATTTGGGAGAAGAATAACCTTAATTACCTTCATTTACCCCCCACTTACATTTGTACAATTTTTCTACAATCAATAGCTGGTGTACAAAATTTCTACATTCACCCTTGGTAATGAAGAATTATGCACTAGAGCATTTTATTCATTTATTTATTTTTTAAATAGAGGTGAAACTAGGGAATGGCCTGCAAATCCTGGTTTTCCTGTTTGTGATGTCACTCACAAACACCTGCTGCAGCTTTAAGAAGTCAAGATGCTTCCCTAGAACTATGAGAAAGTCACGCAGTGCTAGTTCTAAGGTGAACCTGGAATGGATCTTCTATACTGGCTGGATGTGCTGTGATTAGGATTTCTTGACCTACCTCAGTGCTGAAGGTGAGGTCATAGCCTAGTGTGGAGACATCATTTTCCAGCAGATAAACCAGACCCTGGTAGAAGTGGTAATCTTCACTCTCCATATCTGTATATCTAGAAAAACACAATTATACAGGGTCATGGTTTGTGGGTGGGGGGAAGAGGGAGCACAAGGATGGGACACAAAAATACAAGACCCCCAGGACTGAGGATAGTCCCAGGACTATGCCTCATTCTCACCTGACTGACTTGCCCAAGATGTGTTTGTAAAAGGATCGAGTAAAGTAGCACTCCAGAAGACGGTTGTCATATACAGCTTTGGCCACAATGCGTCCGACAAACTTGAAGTAGCTGAGGTGGTTGGGGTTGCAGTGGGAAGATGGATTGATGGTGTAGGTGACTCGATCACCAGGTGAGGTACGGAACAAGGCATACATAGGGTTAAACATCTCCCGAGAGATGATCATGTACCACTCCCGCAGGAGCCCGCCAGCATCCTGCCCTTCTTCTCCTTCAAACACTATATACCTGCATAAGAAAGCAGAAGCAGAAAAGAGCTGTGCAGAAAACCCAGGATACATCCAGTCATTTGTATGAGTGAGAGACTGTGAAGCAGTGTCTGGGGGTGCAGTGTCAGATGAAGAGGTGAACAGAGAGTGCCAGGACAGCCCAGAAGTGGGGTGGAGATCTGGGACCAAACAAAAGCACCACTGACAGAGATGTCCCAAAATAGTCAAGGTTAACAGATATTCCGGAAAACACCAATAGGAAAGGTATCAGAGGAATAAATGAAGGCTTGCTTAGGTTAAGTCGGGAGGGGAGAAAAGTGGTATTAGAGAGGGATAAGCCCAGAGTCCTAATTCTTTAAAGGTATTTGGTGGAAGAACATGGCATATAGTCTGTCTAGGGAGACTCCCTGACTTCTTGTGATTACACAGATGGTGAGCCCACACAAGAGATGGGGAGGAATCATTAAATGACTTGAATAGGTCTTTCATCTCATCAGCTCCTATGCTCAGTATCAAAAACTGCTGATCTCCTCTAGGTGGCTTCAGAATCACCAGTGAGCAGTTACCAGTTTGGTGGAGCCACTCATACATGGGCATTCCTAGTACAGCAATGGTAAAGCTCTCATTGCAAAGCCAGCAGGTATATCTTTATAAACACCAAATACTTTCCTGTCTCAAATTTAGGCAGCACCTCCCTAAATTTGAGGCTAGAGCAAGCCATCACTACTGTGCAGGAGGCCCCACCTCCCACCCGCCATCTTTTCTCCGTTCCTGGGCCCTTACAATCGATTCTTCATTTCTTCAGGGGATTTGCGATGCAGCTCACGATAGGAGTCTTCAAACACATGGTCACGACGGACATGCACAGCCATGTCTTCTTTCCGGAGCCCCTCATCTAAACGCTCCAGCTCTTGGCGAAAATATCTTGGGAGGTAGAAAAGGAAGGAAGACAGGATTAAGGGTGGCAGAACAAATTTGTTTGTGTGATTAGGAAGACCTTCCACAATGATGCTTCTTCTATCCTCCAAACACTTTGATCTCTGCTCCCCACTGTTTGGGAAATGCCCAGTAGTTGGGAGAGGTAGATCACTCATTACCAACTCTAAATTTTTCTTACCTCCACTGAGTAAGGACCCACAAAGATTGTGACATGTGATTTCTCCCACAAGCAGGTAAGCATGTACACATGCACGAGGAGGAGGAGAGGCACAGGGAAGACTCCAAGAGTGTTGTGGAAGCCCTGGAACCCTGCTGTGCGTGTACTATGGCCACCTGTGCCTCCTGTACTACCCCCAAAGGATGAAACAGAACTTTAGAAATCGTGTGGTTCAAAAATCATGTGACTCTGCTTTGCTGATGAAAAATGCAGAAGGAGGGGGAGAAGCCCAAGGAGTATTTAGGTATGATGGCCATCAATGGTACAGCTGTCTCTTCCCTCCCCACCACCACTATATTCCAAGTGCTGCCACCAAAGGAAACTTGTGGCCTCAAGAGTAACTTCAGAGGCGAGTTACCATTTGAGGAGTTCTCACCACCCCTCCACCCCCCAATATCCAGGACACATACTTGCGCTTGACATCAAAGTCGAGGACACGAATGTAGTCTACCAGGACAGCAAAAGGCCCATCAGCAAGGTGGGTCGTGGACTGCCGTAGGATCTGGTTTAACACAGTGCGGTGAGTCTCTGAGGGGAGAAGTGACAGCGAGAATTAAGCACATCATGGGCCCCAGAAGCTGTAAGACAGCCAACCAGCTAGTAACTCTCTCTTCCTTCCTCTTCCCTATTTCAGGGCTCTAAAAGGACTAATGAAAACCAAGGGCCAACCCTTGAGGTGTGAACGTGAATCTGAGCATTTCTATTCTAAATCTGAGTATCCTGAGGCCATGGGAAACCATGCAGGGTTTACATACACAGGTGTGTACACCCACACACACACACACACACACTCTCCCCCCCCCCCCCCTCTGGAATCGCTAAGGATTAATTGTATGGAACAATACTGTTTAAAATGAAGCCTTCTACACCTGGCAGCCTAAAAGTTCCCTGTACCTGCAAAGCGAAGGAACTTCTGTGTGTCAGGGGGCAGGCTTGAGGAGATGTGCATAGATGAGGGCTCCCGGGAGAAGAATGGGTCAAGGGAGGAAGGCGTGGCTGGGGTTAAGGGCGCAGGGGAGAGTGGAGGAGGCTCGTCCTTGATGTGTGCCAGCTGACTCTCACGGGTGTCTCGGACAGGAGGCTTGCTCTCCCGCTCTGTGGCATGGACCAGAAAGAAGGCCTCGACGGCAGGCTGTAGCACTAGGGGTAGGAATGATGGGAAAGTAACATTTTACTTTGCAAACTTCAACATGCAAACCTGTTTGCCCTCAAAAACAAATTATAAAAATAAATATGGAAGAAGAAATAATGAAAACTAGGCTAGGTGTGGTGGCTCACACCTATGATCCCAGCAATCTGGGAGGCCGAGGTGGGAAAATTGCTTGAGCCCAGGAGTTTGAGATCACCCTGGGCAACATAGTGAAACCTCATTTCTGATTTAAAAAAAAAAAAAAAAAAAGTAGAAACAATGAGAACTTGCAGGGAAATATGATAGTAGAACCAAGTCACAGAGGAACTTCCTTGAAGCCAAAGAAAAATGGGATAGGTAACCAGTTATAAAGATTCACCTTCTCTACAAAGTGCAAGACACCAGCTATTAAAAGGTCAATCTTTTTTATACTGAGGTCAGAGAAAAAACGCTTCTCTTTTGAATTCTCATTACAGAGACACTGAGAGGAATAACCTGGAAGGAAGAAAAACAAGTTGGCAGGAAGGTCCCCAGAGCAGACCAGTGGGTTGGGACCTGGGCCTTTAGCCCACAACTTACCTAGCACAGCATGCTGGTCATGGGATTCCTCTAGTTCCTTTAGACACTCCCCCAGCATGTCCCACAGCTCATCCAAGCTCAGCTGCTCACTGAGCAGGGGTAACTCAGGTGGTCTTTCTTCCTTTTCCTTCTCCCCCTGTGGGGTTCCATCGGAGGCTGAAGGGCACACAGAAGAGAGTCAAAGTTTTCAAAATTTCCCTTCTACTTAGCTTTTTCTAGACCAAACACACCAACTAATATACAGAGCAAGTAGAGGGGATCAGTGGCCACTCAGTGGTACTCACTGAGCAACATCTGAAACAAGGTCTAGGACTATACTGTAGGGCATTTACATTGAATAGAATAAATAAAATAATGAATCTGGCTCCTCAGGTGCACTAGCCACATTTAAGGTGCTCAAAAGCCACAGGTGCTACTGCAGTTCCAGACAGTGCTAGTCTAGTCACCGCCTCACTAGTTTCAAGAGAATCTGTGGATTACCTCAGGGTAATGTGACAACAGTGGAGTTTTGGATGGTTGCTGTCCAGTTTACACAGGACGTTTTAGGACACTATCGTCATTGAATTCTGACAGCTGGCCTTGGAAAGTAGGCTGTCTTTCCCTCATTTTGGTTTCCGAGGAGGACAGCACCAGGACATCAAACTAGATCTTTCTAACTAACCCTAAGTCTAATGCCTTTTTTTTTTTTTTCTGAGACAGAGTCTCGTTCTGCTGCCTAGGCTGCAGTGCAGTGGTGTGATCTCGGCTCACTGCAACCTCTGCCTCCCGGGTTCAAGTGATTCTCCAGCCTCAGCCTCCTGAGTAGCTGGAATTACAGGCGCAAGCCACCATGCCCAGCTAATTTTTGTATTTTTAGTAGAGACTTGGTTTCATCATGTTGGTCAGGCTGGTCTTGAACTCCTGCCCTTGTGATCCACTTGCCTTGGCCTCCCAAAGTGCTGGGATTACAGGCCTGAGCCACCACGCCCGGCTGTCTAATGCCTTCTAAATTAGTCATCTTGTCCTGGGGCAGTTTAAAACCCTGAGAAGCCATGGTGTGACTGATGGAACCCCATGGCTGGTACTTTTCCTGATACTCACTGGGGGCTTATTCTAACCTCTGCTCAGCAGCAAGACCCAGCCCCATCTTCTGGGTGGGGAGTGACTGTTTCCTCATCAATCCCCGACCCCCATACACCTGCGCTGCTTAGGTTTCTTCTTGACCTTTGCTGTTCATTCTTTACCCAAATCCTGACTATTCTTCAAGGTTCTGACAGCCTTAGGTTTGAATCCTGGCTCTGGTACTTGCAAATCATATTACCTTAGGTAAAAGAAGGTGAATACAGAACACAGGAATAACATCTATCTCCCCAAATCCTGATGGAAAGTAAATGACTTAATACAGCATTTCAACAATGGTTGTCCTACAAGGCTTCTCTAACCACTATACATGTGTTAACTCATTTAATCCTAAGAACTGAACATTCCTATTTTAAACAAGGAAACCTAACGAAGAGGTTTGCCTCAGGTCCCAGAGCCAGTAAATGGGGGAGCCAAGATTTAAAACATGGGAGACTAGGGCTGGTCGGCCGTGGCTCATACCTGTAATCCCAGCACTTTGGGAGGCCGAGGCGGGTGGATTACCTGAGGTCAGGAGTCCGAAACCAGCCTGGCCAATATGGTGAAACCCTGTCTCTACTAAAAATACAAAAAAAAAAAAAAAAAAAAAAATTAGCCGGGCATGGTGGCGGACGCCTGTAATCCCATCTACTTGGGAGGCTGAGGCAGGACAATCACTTTAACCCAGGAGGCGGAGGTTGCAGTGAGCCGAGATGGCACCACTGCACCCCACTCTGGGCGACACAGCGAGACTACGACTCAAAAATCAATAAATCAATAAAACACGGGAGACTGAAGTGAGAGGATGGCTTGAGGCCAGGAGTTCAAGACCAGCCCGGGCAACATAGTGAGACTCCATTTCTACAAAAATAAAAAAAATTAGCTGGGCATGGTGGCCTGTCCCTTATAGTCCCAGCTACTCATAGCCGAGGCAGGAGGATTGACTGAGCCCAGAAGTTTGAGATTGCAGTGAGCTATGACTGCGTTACTGCATCCTAGCTTAGGTGACGGAGAAAGACTCTGCCTCAATAATAAAACAAAAGTTTTAAAACACGTGCTGGGCTGGGTGCGGTGGCTCACGCCTGTAATTCTAACACTTTGGGAGGCCAAGGCAGGTGGATCACCTGAGGTCAGGAGTTTGAGACCAGCCTGGACAACATAGCAAAACTCCGTCTCTACTAAAAAAAAAATACAAAAACTAGCCAGGTGTGGTGGTACGTGCCTGTAATCCCAGCTACTCAGGAGACTGAGACATGAGAATTGCTTGAACCCAGGAGGCAGAGGTTGCAGTGAGCAGAGATCGTGCCACTGCATTCTAGCCTGGCAACAGAGGGAGGCTGTCTCAAAAACCACCACCACAATAACAAAAAACCCCACAAAAACATGCTGTCTGAATGCATAATATCCCACCATATAGTTTCTTTACTACAGGAAAGAAAAGTGTGCCTTGGTTGTCAAACACCTGTTACCATTTACAGAAACCAGGGTTTACTGGAAGAAATGGGAAAACACTGGGCTTATATATGCTGGGAGCAGAGGATTCAGCAGACATTCCAGAAGACTTTTGCTTGGCTGGAAACAGGAAGTAGTACTGACCAATGGATTGAGTATCTTGAGCACTGGGAGATGGCTGGTCCACATCCATGGGTGATTCCTCCCTCCGGACAGATGCCTCTGACTGGCTAGACTCCGACTGGATAAAAGGGAGACAAAAATCACATAAGGGTGCAACTCTGCTTTCCTTAGAGGCAGGCTAGAGGTTGGCCCTTCCACTTCTCACACATTGAGCTTGCAAAGAAACTTCCCATATTTGGGTGGGGAAACTGTAGCTATCCAGGACAAAAGGATGCCTTTCTCAACTCTTCTGCTTTTCTCCAGTGTAAGTTTTCCAAGCTTTTCCCAACAGCTCCTCGGATGCCTACATTTCCTACAGTCTACAATCCAGATCTGTGACCAGTCAGAACTAGCCTCCTGTATACAAACTTTGTCGTCTTCTGGGGTGTGTGTGTGTGGGGGTGTGTGTGTGTGTATGTATGTATGTATAAAAGATTCAGATGGGTGGAAGGTAGGTTTGCTCTTTGTTTCTGTTTGCTCACAAAAGGGGAAATAACAGGAGAATTAGAGCAACCTCTCATGAGTGGGATAATTTAAAAAGCCAACATCTTTTCGGGTAATGGGAAAGAGACTAGGCAGAAAAAATACTCCAGAATAACAGCTTTATTTTCCCTTTCTACCTTCCTAGAGTCACTTCCCTTAAGTTCAAGGCTGTTCCCTGCCTATTCAATAAAACCATACTGTATAACAGTAATTATATGCAAAGAAATATCAGGTCTTAGGATACCTTTCTTGGACCTTGGAAAGGTAACTTACATGTTGCAAGGACAGGAAAACAATGAGGGAGTGCCATAGCATACATATGTGATGCCAGGCTTTTACTGCAGCCACTCAATGCCGGGACCCCAACACTGAGTTGGCTATTTAAGTACCTGAAGGTTTCCTCCTAAAAGTGCCTGAGTGCCTAGGTACCAAGGGGTTACGGAGAATAAAGGCAGAGGGCAGGGTGGTGGGAGCAGCCACAGACAGAAGTGGCTGTGTGGGATATGTACCAAGCTTGGGGGACTTTCAATGGTAGGATTCCTGAGATGTTTCTGATGTACCTGCATTGTTCCATGAGACTGAAAAAAAACTTCACCCCATATCCCCTCAGAACCCAGACAACACTTAGCATCAGGCAGTTTGCAAAAGCGCCACTGTTGACTGGATAGCTGGGAGTGGGGTATGATGGCCAAGCTTTAAATCAAATCAAACCAACAAACCAATCAACAAATAGGAAAACACCAACAGAAAGTAACCCTTTTGTCCAGAAGCATTCATATAGCAAACTTAATGCAAAAGCATACAAGGTAAAGGCAATGAAACCCCACTGATGACATGGTGGGGGGATGAGTGGAGAGACAAATGAATGAGGGGCCACAGGCATCATGCTAACCGTTGCTGCTTGTTGCTGTCTCCGCGCCCTTTGACCCTCACGTACCATTTGTATAATGGCATCAGCCTCAGCCTCCAGCTGCCGAACAGCTGCCTGGATGCTGCTAGCTGAGCCTAAACCGGAGGAACCTGGGAGAAAGAGAAAGAGGAAGGCAAGATATAAAATATAGGAAGAGGGAAAGCCCAATATTCTCTCTCCTATCTCCTGGGCTGCCACAGGGCATCTTGCTGAGGTCTTTTGAGCTTTAGCTCAGGAAGCTTCAGAGCACTCATCATCAGGCGCTAAGATTTACCATTACAGATAAGGGCAGGGGGCATGATGCTAGACAGACGGATGGTTTTGTGCGAGAGGGTTCTGTGGGACAGGAGGAAAGAGGCAGGGAAAATGATTTGTCAAGCCACGGCTTAGTTAGAAATGACCAAGGAAGCAGAAAGGAGATGCACCTAGTGAGTTAAGTCTTGTTCAGCAAAAGGTTGGCCCCCAACTTCCCTGCCAGATTTCCACTCCCCCTTAATTCCCGCTCCCCCTAATGAATTTCCTACGCAGATAGTTTGAATGAGATGTAGAATGCAGCCATCAACATTCTGAAAAAAGGATAATCATTTTCCTTTTGGAAAGGTCAAACAGGAAGGAGACAGGCCGTTAAGTCCTGCACCTCCAAGGACTCTGGCTTTACCGCCACCAACCCTTCCCCTCAACTGGACACTCTAGTTCCATACCTAGCCTGCCTGTCTGCTTGGCTTTCTTGTTAGCCCGGCGCGTGTCGTCCCGGAGCTGGATGATGACCTGTAGTACCCTCAAGAAGAACTTCTGGGTAGATGTCTTGGATGTCAACATGGACATAGAAGGCAGCTGGAGCTCCCGGCCACCCAAAGGTCGCTTCTGAGATGCCACAATTACCACATTCTCAGCCATGTCAAACCTGGATAGTGTAGAGGTGGCTTGCGTATATTGACAGCATCAAAGTATAAACACCCAAAGCAAGCAAGGCTTCCTGGTGTCAACCAGAGGGGTAAGGAAACTCAGAAGGAAATCTTCCAAGTAGAAAGTAGAAAAAAATGGGTCAAGTGTGTATAGGAAAGATACGAAAATCACCCAGAGAAATAAAAAAGACCAGGAAACCAGCAAGAGCCATCTTCCAGAATATCCCAGATTCAAGCCCCCAGTCAAAGGGTGGCTACCACCCACCTGCTCTGCATTTTGCCCTTCAGCTTGGTGGTCTGTGGCTGCTCCTCGGGCAGGCCATCAGGAGAGAGGGTTTCACATTGGGCTCGCCGCTGCTGCTCAAGGTTGTATTCCCGCAGCTCGGCCAGCAGGGTACCTGAGCAGGCAGAGGAGTCAGCAAGTGTTCAGAGACTCCCCTGGTAGAGTGGCTAAAAGCCAAATCTCTCTAAGACACCTGCTTAGGCCACTCTTCGTTGCTCAGCTGCAAAGAACCTAGAGTGAGTTGGAATCGTACTCTGTTCAGTTTTTTATGTGTGTCCATGGATCGTCACCTGGGACTATCAATTTACCTATGGCCACAGGGATCTGCTGAATCTGTATGAAATGAGTTTCATGTAGAAGAGAAACAGTATCTCCTCTGAAGCTAGACAGATCCTGATTGAAATCCCATATATCTCTCAAAATTACTGAGGTTCTGTGGTGGTTTCAGGCAAATTTCTTGACCCCTTGCCCAATTTGCTTACCAATATTAATATTGGGAATATTACTGCCTAACCTCACAAGGTTGCTATAAGAATTAAGAGATAAATATATGGTAGACTGCCTAGACAGTGCCTGGCCCATAGGTGTGGAATAGATGGTGGCAGCCAAGAGAGAAAGGTCAGAGGCTAAATTCTTTCTGGAAGAATGTTGTAATTTTCATGCAGCAAAGAACACCCTGAGTTATACAGGCCAACCAACTCTCCTATCACCCCAGACTTAGGGACATGGGAGTGAAGGAGAGACAGAACTAAGTATGTAGCCAAGATCTCGGGAGACTCATGATTGGGATGAGGGTGGGACAGGGTAGAGAGACTCTATGTTGAAAGAAAACCTGGCTGTACTCCTTGGTCCAATCACTTTATCACCCTGGGTTTTGGCTTTCTTCTCAGTAAAACAGGGAGGAAGGTGATAGAAACTAGGTAATTTGTAACTGTTCTTAGAATTTTTGTATCTTCAAAATTACACAAGAGCAGAGAGTACTATTCTGACTCTGTAATTCCTGAGGCTGAATGCAGTGTAGGCACATACTTTGAAGGGGTGAGGCTGCCTCAGCAGTCTTATCACAGGGTTATTACGAGTGCCCAGCATGGAGAAGACAGGCACTGCTGTTCCCACGTGTTCTTTTTTCCCTTTATTAAGCACCAATGTGTGCCGGGCAGCGGGGATGAGGAGACAAACCCAGCCTTGCTTTCAAATAACTGAGCAGAAGAAAACAGATGATAACCCAGGGTAATCTGTGTTACGACAGACAGAGGGAGCATGGAGGCTGTGTTATAGGGACATGGAGGTATCTGATTCAGCTTGGGGATTCAGGAAAGGATTCCAGAAAGAGGAAGCAGCTAAATGGAAACTTTCAGAAAGAGAGAAGAATGCTTTACTCCTGCTATTACCTATTTGTTTACAAAGGGTATAACCCAGATGGCGGGCTCCATTCAGTAGCAGCTTGAGAACAGTGTCCCGGGTCCCAGAGTCCCCCCGGGAGAGCTGCAGTAGTACGTTGGCTGCATCCTCTAAGCCTTCCTCAGAACAAGAGTGGGATGTCAACACCTGAGAAAAAGAAGACAGGAGGAGTAAGCTCCAGCCTGAGAACAAAATCATTATCTACCCTGTTTATCCTTTCTCCCCAAGTCTTAGCAGGTCAGAAGAGCTTGGACTCACCTCTACAGAGAGCTGTAGCTGGTTTTCAGTGAGGCCAGAGGACACCATCTTAAAGTCTGTACTGCTGCTGCCCCCATCACCCACCTTCGCTGGAGATTTGCTGCCCTTAGTAGTGGCAGAAACTTTGAGAAAAAAGACAGAACACTTTAAGCCTCTGTGAAACTCACAAGCCAGGGACTAAGTGACAAAACCAAGGAATCACTGAATTGCCCAGGGCTTCAAAATGGGAAAGTACTGAAAAGGAAAACCCACCCACCAAAGGCAAATCTAAATGACTTGGGATGCTAAAGGCTTTTTATTTTTTATTAGAGACAGGGTCTCGCTCTGTTGCCCAAGCTAGAATGCAGTGGTGCAATCAGGTCTCACCATAAACTCAAAGAGGACTCCTATGACTGTTAACTTCTAAGCTGATCAAGAACCCCAGGCATTTCTTCCAACTATTCCCCCACCATTATGGCCCCCTCTATTCTTTAAAACCTACTTCTTCAGATAATTCTTACTAATTTGTAGCAGGGACAGATTTCCATTTATTTCCAGGGATGATCTGGTTACTCTGAATCACACTGTATCCTGCCTGCCCTTTAACTATTTCCCACGAGAACTGGCTCCCTCAACAAGACTGGAAAGGCTGGGAATTCCCTGAGGATGGAACTTTCTTTCCTCCTTTTGGTGCCTAGCCTAGGGAAGCCACATTCAGTGAATGCCTGCTGACCTTCAAAGGTGTGTGTGTATGAGAGGCAGGGGAGAGAGCAAGAGAGAGAGAAAGAGAGACAGGGATGGAGGGAGAGTGAGAGAACTGGGACAGATGAGGTTGAGAATGGACACATTCTGCTCTCACAAACACAAACCAAGCTGATTGCTATCACTGAGGGAGAACTATCTGGATGGAAAAGGGGGTGAAGTGGGTGCAACAGTATATACCCTATAGCTCCCAGTCTACATCCACACTTACTTGAAACAGTAGTGGTAGCAGTCGTGGGTGTAGTCACTGTGGTCGAAGCAGCTACGGCAATGGTGGAAATAGCCGTGGCAGCAACCAGGGCTGGAGCAGAAGTGACAGGGGTGGGTGCAGTAGGGGGTGTGGGCGTGGTGGAGGCGGCAGTGGTGGTGGTGGTAGATGTGGTTGAGGTGGCAGTAGTGGTGGAGGAAGCACCGCTGCCAGAATTAGCCTGTGCTTCTGACACCTTGTTTTCTGGGAGAGCAATTGAGATGAGAGAAAGGAGTCTGAGGAGTTTCTCAGTTAAGAGAGAGCTCCGGCGGATGACTGGGTGTGACAACATGTTCATGAGCTGCCCCAGTGGAGAGGCCTCAAGGCTGTATGGAGAGGTTTCCCCCTCACCGCCAGCGCTCACTGGCACTGACTTCACGGAGTTCTTGCCTTTCCGGCTGACATTCATGTTGTCCAGTTTTACCAATAAGTCCCAGAAGTCTGTGCAAATGCCACTGCTGGAGGACTGTGAGGAGCATGGGCTACAGGCCTTACTGCCCCTTTCCCGATCACTCTCACAGTTTGTTTCTTTGGTCCGCTGCTGTGTGAAGTGGCTGGGAAATACCTGCCGGGAAAAGGAGGACAGGCTTGGTCTAGGACGTCTTCACAGAGGATGAGCCTTCCTGATAGGGAAAAGACAACTGGTTCCCAGACTCTCCTTCAGACAATTTTGGTAAATATTGGGGGATATGTCATATAAGAGTTTTATCCAACAGATAGTAAAGCAGCCTAGAGAAATGAATGAGGGCTTTGTAGCAATACAGACTCACGAGCAAACTTTTCCTGAGTTTTAGTCTCTGCACTTATAAAATGGAGAGGATAACTACACTTCCTTGCAAAGTTGCTGGAGATTAAACGACATGATGTATTGCACAGTGCCTGGCATAAGGCAGGCCTTTGATAGATGGCAGCAATGCTTATTATCGAAAGAACACTAAATTCTAGGTCCAGCTCCATCACTTTCTAATCATATGACAAAATGAATAAAATGTTCTGAATCCCAGGTTCTTCATCTGTAAAACAGGAATCATATAGCCCAGTTGTTTTGATGATTAAGACAATACATAAAAATGGAAAAGAATGAAAAAACCCCAGGAATATATAGGACAATCCCCCAGAAACAATACAGGGCTCAACACTTAAAATAAGAGCAAAAAGACACGCTAGCCTGCTTAGTGTTCAACTTTCACCCAGGCTCTTGCTGCCACCCTTCTTCCATCCCCAGGAGTTGGGTTCGAAACCCTCACCTTGGCCAGTTGAATGAGTGTGTCCAAAACGTGTCTGCAGACAACAGGAGCAGCTTGGGGGTGGATGTGGACGGTGGAGCCACCACTTGCATGCTTCTCTGTATGTTTACGCCCCCCTGAACGCTGGATCTGAAATATATTAGTCCTGCAGCCTAGGGCTGCATCCATGGATACTGAGAGCCAGGAAAGCTGGTTGGAGCTCTTCGACTCCATCTTGTGTAGCAGGTCCAGGGGACGGTTCTCATGGCTACTTGACCCACAGCTCTTGCTCGACTTTTTGCCCTTTTCCTCACTTGTAGTGAGTTTGGGTGTTTCAATGCATAGCTCACTCTCACTGCTGCGCTGCAAGATGGAGAGCAGACTGCGGATGACCCAGTGGCGGGTCTGGGCATGGTAGCAGAGATTTCTCAGTACTCGGTGTAGACGGCTAGTATTGAGCTTTGGCTCATCCACAAAAAGTAGGACCAGGAGACAAGAAAGGGCTTCGTGGTCCAGAAGGAGCCGTCCTCGGAGGCGGAGGAGAGTATCTACATTACTGCCAGAAGGCCTGGAAACAGAACATGGTTTTTGGGTAACACTTCAGTGGCTAGAGCTCTGGGATTAGGCATAAGAATGGGAGAGGGGAATGAGCTGGGTATCTCCAAGGAAGCTTGAGAAAGGAGGGTGTCCAGTCCAAGGGCTCTTCATAGTAACAGCTGCCCTCTTGGGTGTCTACTATGTACCATGCACTTTACAATGACTGTACATCATCCTTTCAGGGCTGCTGTACAGCTTAGAGAATCAACCCCCACCCCCACCAGCTTTATGATGAGATGGAGTCTCACTCTGTCACCCAGGCTGGAGTGCAGTGGCGCGGTATCGGCTCACTGCAACCTCCACCCGCCGGGGTTCAAGTGATTCTCATGCCTCAGCCTCCCGAGTAGCTGGGATTACTAGTGTGCGCCACCACACCCGACTACTTATTGTATTTTTAGTAGAGATCAGGTTTGCCATGTTGCCTAGGCTGGTCTTGAACACCTGGACTCAAGTGATCCACCTGCCTCAGCCTCCCAAAGTGCTGGGATTATAGGTGTGAGCCACGACACCTGGCCGAGAACCACCCATTTTTGAGATGATAAACAAGAGGCTCAAACAGGTTAAGTGACTTGCCCTACATCACACGGCGACTGAGAAGACAGCAGAGGTGTCATCCATAGACTGGTAAAATCTGACTGTACCTAAGTCTAGGAGACAATGCTAGTTTCTGCCTTCTCTAGACTACCAGGAGTTTGTGGCCTTATAGGAACCAATCACTCTTTTCACATTTTGCCATGTCAGGCCCACTCTGTTTTAGCCTGGCTAACTCACTCCTCTATACTTCCCTAGCCTATGTGTTATAAACTCAAGGCAGGTGTTAGTTGTTTTACTACTTGCATGGGAGACAAGTGGTGTTCCTTCTCGTTAAAACCATAGTTAGCACCTGCTGCCAGCCTGCTTTTGCGATTGTGGTCTTCAGTAGCAAGACTAACCAAAAGGTGTAGTTTTCTGAATGGGGAGTCCAAGGATCTGGCTCTCTCACTTATTCAAGGAAATGGCTTAGAGAGACCATCCTGCCTGCCTGTCAGGATTTTAGCTTCTCCACCTATAAAGCTAAGGGAGTTGGGCTAGTAGACTTTAGTGGTGATATAGTAAGGTAAAAATAGACAAAGGTACCTGTTATGGCTGCTGCCACCCCCCATCTGGAAGGTGCCACCTCTCTGCACAGCAAGGCGAGTATATTGGACCCCACGGTTGCCACTTAGGCGACTGGTGAAAGCTGGAAGGAAAAGAAAAAGAAAACTGAGATTGTGGAGAGGGTGTAAATTGGATACAGGTAATACAAAGGTAAGAAAATACAGCCTCATCTAGCTAAAGCTTTTGAGAGCCCTCCCACTTGCCTCCCTCTGTACCCGGGCTTCGGAGAATAGCAGAGAGTGCAGAGGTGCTACTGTGCCCAAACAGACGCTCATGCATGAGCTGTCGCTGCCGGGCTTCCTGCTCTCGTCTCAGGGCTTGAGCCTCAGCTGCAATGTCAGGTGGCATCACAGCTAACACGCTGTCCTCCATATCCTCTAGGACACTACGGCGCAGGTCTGAGGGCAGAGTCTGGATGAAGGTCACAGGGTCCATAGGGGTGTCTGAGCTGGCATTCTGTGCCAGTTCTCGTCGCTGCTGCTCAGCTCTCTGCTGTGCCAGTACCTATGGAGCAGAAGAAGTCAATGAGGGCATTTCTCCTGCCAGGCAGCCTGGCCCCACCACCTTCCCGCTCACATACTTCCTCCTGAATAGCTGGAGGCAGGGCAGCCAGAAACTCAGGGCTCACTTCAGTCACACCAGGATTCCCCACCACTGCAGGCGCTGAGCTATTTGTGGAGGGGGCAGTCCGGGTTGGTGGACGAATGCCTAGCTGGTTCTGTAGAACTTCCCGACGGATGTCATCAGGCAGGGCAGCCAGAAAAGAGGGGTCCACGCCTTCAGGGAGACTGATACCTAAGGGGAGATATAACATGTAAAGGGATTCATGCCTTATTAAATGTTTGAGATGGGGTCTTGGTCTGTTGCCCAGGCCGGAGTGTAGTGGTGCAACCCTTGACTCACTGCAGTGTTGAGCTCCTGGGCTCAAGTCTTCCTGCCTCAGCCTCTTGAGTAGCTGGGACTACAGGCATGCACCAAAATGCCTGGCTAATTTACATATATATTTTCGTAGAGACGGGGTCTCCCTGTGTTGCCCAGGCTGGTCTTAAACTCTTGGCTTCAAGTGATCCTCTGACCTCTGCTTCCCAAATTTTCAGGATTATAGGCATGAGCCACCGTGCCCAGCCTCTCACACCTCTATTGGTGCCTAATATGTACTTGGAGAAAATAAACCTATGTCACTGCTTGAGGGAAACCAGTGTGTATGTCTTCACTGCTTGCAAGACATGGGACACAGAGAAGGCCCACCCCACTTTCCCTGGGCTCAGAATAGCTTTTGTTATTTGCTAGACTGCATGCACTGTTACTTACCCTTTATAAATAACCTACCACGCAGATATCATCACCCCCTCGGTATCATTCATGATCACAGAAATTAAATAATGACCCTAGGTTGTAAAAGGTAGAAGTGGCAGAGTGGGGGAATTTGAGTGAGCCAAGACCAGTTTGACTCCTAAGGCTGGACCCATTTCATTATGCCACACCAGCACCCCCCTTATTGTCAGTCCTCCCACATACATGCCCTCCACCTGAATGGAACTGTTTGGCTGGTGGGCACTTCCATGCCAAGGGCCACTAGAAGCCAAAACAATCCCAGGATGACCTGGGCATACATGGAGCTCACCTGCAAGGGGATCTTCTTCTTCACTGCTTGTTGAAGGCAACGGCTCTTCTAGGATTCCTCGAGAATCTGCTCCAGAAATGGCCACGGCAGAATCTCTGGTGGAAGAGCTCTCAGAGGATGCAGGGGGGGAGCTGAGGGAAATCACGCTCAGGTTGTTGTATTATGTCTTCTCGTTTATAAAACAGTCCTACAATACCCCTTTCTCACAGAAACCAGGTTTATCTCCCCAGCATAACAAGCATGTCCATTAGTTGACAAGTATGAAATGTGCTTTGAAAGACCCTCCAATATATCCTACCCTTCTTTTGCCCACACATGCTTACCTGTCCTCAGGTGGCTGGGCAGATTCCCCTGACCCATCACTCCTGCCTTGCACTTCCGCCACAGCTGGTGGGGCATCCCCAGGAGTGGAGCTGCCTGCTCTGGGCTGCTCAGAACTGCCAGTTGCTGAAGCATCACCCACAGCCTCCTCTAGGGTACAGGAAGCCAGGCTGCTTGTATCCATAGGAGAGCCTTCCAGCTGACTGCTGACAGCCGTCAGTGCATCAGAATCCTCAGCTCTCTCTGGGGAAAGAGAGGCTAGGAAAAAGTCATAGGGAGAAGTTAGGCTTCTATCTGGAAAGGGGGCAAAATGACAGACAAGGTCTTTGATAGGGCTGCTTCCTTAGGGGCATTTCAGCTCAGACTTCTCACTTCTCCCTTGCTGTCTCCCTCTCAATCTCACTTTGAGTTTTTTAAGATTCAGCTCAAGCCCTTTCTATCAATTCTTGAACATTTACTGTGTTCCAGGCATGCCTGTGAAACATCTTCCCTAGGCAACCCAGGTAAGGGATTTTTTTTTTTGGAGATGGGGTCTCGTTCTGTGGCCCAGCTGGAGTGCAGTGGCACAATCTTGCCTCACTGCAACCTCCGTCTCCCGGGTTCAAGCAATTCTCGGCGTCTCCCCAGTAGCTGGGATTACAGGCACCTGCTACCACGCCCGGCTAATTTTTTAAGTTTTTAGTAGAGATGGGGTTTCACCATCTTGGCCAGGCTGATCTTGAACTCCTGACCTCATGATCCACCTGCCTCGGCCTCCCAAAGTGCTTGGATTACAGGTGTTAGCCACCGTGCCCAGCCTGGGTAAGGGATTTTTTTCACTTTGATTGACTGCAGGCACCACTTGCACGTGTATATCCTGTGGTTCTCTAAAGAAACAAGGTTTCAGTAGGGCATGGTGGCTCATGCCTGTAATCCCAGCACTCTGTGAGGCTGAGGCGTGTTGATCACCTGAGGTCAGGAGTTCCAGATCAGCCTGGCCAACATGGCAAAACTTTGTCTCTACTAAAAATACAAAAATCAACCGGGCATGGTGGCGTGCACCTGTAGTCCCAGTTACTTGGGAGGCTGAGGCAGGACAATCACTTGAACTCGGGTGGCGGAGGTTGCAGTGAGCCAAGACCACACCACTGCACTCCAGCCTGGGTGACACAGCGAGACTCTTTCTCAAAAAATAAATAAATAAATAAAAATAAAGTAAAATAAAATAAAATAAACAAGGTTCCTTGAAAGAAAAAACTGACACCTTAAGGTCTCTCCAGAGAACTTCACAAGCAAGATGGTATAGAACAGGGATGGCAAGCAGGTATCAAATTACCCTGTTGAAATACTGCTGAGAAGACTTTTGAGGCCCCATTTCAAACCAGTGAGAAATAGTGTAATGAGATAAACAGTGTCTGCCAGGAGAATGGGAGAGCTCTAACTGTGGGGTGACATGCTTGCCATCCTGGAAACTGTGAAAGGAGAGTAAGTTTTAAAGTCAGACAGATCTGGATTTTAATTCCAGTTCAACCACTTACAGAGTGACTTGGGTTAATTATTTCATTTCTGAGTTTCAGTTTACTCATGTAAATAACACCATCGATTTTGGAGTCCCCCCCCCCCGCCAATAGAGATGAGGTCTCACTATGTTGCCCAGGCTGGTCTCAAACTCCTGAGAGCTCAAATGATCCCCCCTGCCTCAGCCTCCCAAAGTGCTGGGATTATGAGCCACCATGCAAAGCTGGAGGGTTGTTTTTAAATAATAAGCCTGGGGTGATAGCCCAGGAAGAGTAATTGCCTCAATGAACTGTTGGTATCATCACCAATATCGTTAGACATTGAACTATCACCAGTTCAGGACCTCAATTTCACTTAAGAAAGTGAATGTGCAAGATGAGATCTTATTATTTGAGAAGTTGAGCTCCGACTTTTTCTCTCAAGCAAGAGAGCAAAGAGAAGCTACAAAGACATCCTTTCTTCCCTCTTGTTCCATCCTTCCCAAATGTTGAAATTCTACTCACTTATAGTGGGAGCTGGGGATAACTCCATCTGCGTTGTTTCTGCTTCCCCACTTGGCCTTGTGGGACCCAATTCCTCTGGCTCTACAGGCATCAATAGCTGTGTAGAGCTGCCCCCTTCTCCAGCTGGGGACTGCAGCTCCTGAGGAACCTCTCCCAAAGCTGGTGGGGTTGGGAGTGTTGGTTGCTGTTGTGAGGACTGCAGAGTGCCAAGGGTCTCCTTGGACTCAGATGTAGCTGCATCAGTTGAAGATGGGGTTGTTGGGTAGCTGTCAGGCATAGGCGTCCCATCTTTCTCGGAAAGAACAACAATAGTGGTTAAGAGGCAATCAGCCAATGATAATGGAGGCCACCCCAATCAGCAAATGTGGCCTGACAAGTATCCCACCCAGCCAGTGATTACCCCCACAGTGAAAATGCTCCCCCCCAGAGATGTTCCCCCACAAAGGAACATCTCTGGTCTGGTATACTAAGGATGAAGGCTAAGGCACAGTGCTATCTCTGTCCCAAGAATGCAAGAACTGGAGCTCTGACTCTGTGGATCCTAAGAATAAAATCCTTTCTGTGCCCTCCAGGTGGAAGGGAGAAGATTTCAGGCCATATAGGGTGAGGCTAAATGTCTCTGTAGGTACACAGAAAATCTAACTACCAAAATCCGATTGATCCTCCCACTTCATCTGTTTGGAGCAAGAAATGGTGAGAATTTATTTCAAAACTCTTTTTGTTTTTTATTGGAGACAGGGTCTCACTGTTGCCCAGGCTGGAGTGTAGTGGCACAATCATGGCTCACTGCAGCCTTCACCTCCCGGGCTCAGGTGATCCTCCCACCTTAGTCTCCCAAGTAGCTGAGACTATAGGCATGTGCCACCACACCTGAATAATTTTTTGTATATTTAGTAGAGACAGGGTCTTGCCATGTTGCCCAGGCTGGTCTCAAACTCCTAAGCTCAAGCAATCCACCTGCCTCGGCCTCCCAAAGTGCTGGGATTACAGGCGTGAGCCACCGCGTCCAGCCTTCCAAAACCTTTTTTTTTTTTCTTCTGAGACAGAGTCTTGCTCTGTTGCCCAGGCTGGAGTGCAGTGGCGTGTTATCAGCTCACTGAAGCCTCCGCTTCCTGGATTCAAGCAATTCTCCTGCTTCAGCCTCCTGAGTAGCTGGGACTACAGGCGAGTGTCACCACGTCCGGCTAATTTTTGTATTTTGAGTAGAGGCGAGGTTTCACAGTGTTGGCCAGGCTGGTCTCAAACTCCTGACCTCAGGTGATCCACCCGCCTTGGCCTCCCAAAAGTGCTGGGATTACAGGCATGAACCACTGCGCCCAGCCCAAAATTCTTAAAGTATGCTTTCCATTCCCTTGTGCACGTTCCTGTTCTACTACTAAGAAAATGCACTCATTACACAGTTGAAGAAAAGCAAAATGTTTGAGTTCATGCCCAAAGATAAAATAATTAATTATATGCTCCAATTAATGAAAGACAAGTCACTTTATAATGACATCTGCCTCACCCTAAACACTATCTGTCCCCTTCCATGTCTCTTTTCTTCCAGTCCTAATTATCCAAGGATCATCTACAACTTTGTCTGATGGAGGCAACACTGCTAAGGCTAAGTGTGAATATGCCACACACCAGGGAAAGTAGTAAGTTGTATAGTTATCTTCTAATTGGGGCCTAATATCCCTACCCCACAACAATACAACTTACTACCTCACCCTGGCATGAGCACAATCCTCTAATAAGGGCAGCAGGCAAAAGGCCCTTTTACGTGGTGACAGACTCTTTTAAAGATCTTTTGCTAGATTAAGGGTACCAAGGTATCTACCCTACTTCACCGCTTTAAAAAATATTGTGCAGGCTTTAGTACAATGATTTTCCAAATCAAGTGCCAAAGGAGACAGGTGTAGGGAGGCAGAACAATGTTCTGAGGAAATATGGGTGGAGAAGACATATGATATCATATGACCCAATTGATAGAATCACAAAATGGCTACTGACCACTGTTATGAAGATCAGAGGGAATAGGGAGCATATGGCAGTCATACCACTAAGCCCACAGAGCTACCTTCCTGAATAGCACACTATCCAAGACAATGTTCCTAGACTTTTAGATTCCATGGACCAATAAAATTTAATTAAAAAAAGAACAAAAAGTAGAGACTAATGTAGGGGTTGCCAACTTTTAGTTCAGTCATGTAAGAAAAAAACATCCAATCAACATCGTTTAATAAAAATATTTTGATACCACAGAATTAGGAATATAATCTCTAAATACAAAAAGAGTCTTTTAAAGGGAATAAATTCAGCTTTATGAAAAAGGCATTACAGCTCCTTGATTTTGTTCGTTTCCACAGAGGACTGGCATTTGAGAACCACTGTCATCATTCTCATGAAGTGCCACACCATGGTGGTCATCAAAGGACCAGCCACTTCAAAGATGTACATGAACATGCTGTTTCAGAGGACAGAGTTGCAGTCAGGAAATAAACAAGACACATGATCTCATTACCCATGTCAGAATGAAGTAGATAATAACCAGAACAAGAACCTGAACAGAGCCAGTCGGAGAAGAAGTGTAGCACCGTGGGAAAGACAGTAGACTGTATAGTTATCTCCAAGATGGGGTATGACCCTAAAACTATACAATCTACTACCTCATCCCACAGAGCACCAGTGTCCATCTTCAGCCTATGTAGGCCAGCTACTCGGAACTATCAGGAGAAAGCAACCAATCAATTAGTAAGAAGGGAGAAAGGGAAGGAGAGTTACCTGAGAGATTCTGTTCAGTAGAGTCATTTGTCTTAGATGCAGTACACTGCAAAAGAAGGGATAGACCAATGTGGAACTTTGCAAGCACCTAAGATAGAGGTCAACTGTAATAGTCACCATCCTCCACCCAGACCATCTAGGAGTTCAGTGATCTAATGGAGAATGCTTTGGCCATGTGACCAAAGGAAGGTGAACATTTCACTGTGCAAATATATGTCCAATTTCTCTATACATACTCAGGTTCAAGAATGGTTTCAGGGTGAGGGGGAAATAAACATGGAGGAAAGGATAATAAAAACCCCCTTAGGAATGGGCACGATCATGATCACTCTAGCAAGAATTTCTTGGTTTCATCTATGTATCTTTCCCTTCATGGGGCTTATTTTTTATTTTGTCCACTCTAGCCTTTTCAGTCATATGCTAGGTTCACTTATTTTCCATCCTATATCATGTTTGAAACAATGTAACTGTGTATTAGGTAAAAAGTTCTATATAGATACTTGTTACATCAAGCTTGTTATTTTAACTGAACACTTCACTACCCTTATTTTTAATCTACCTGATTCCCTAACTGCTGAGTAGGGTATACTGAAGTCTTTCACTCTCAAGTCTTATTTCTTTGTATTTCTATCAGATTCCCCCCTTTTATATCAAGTGATACACTGTAATGTATCATTCTATCCTCATTTACTCAGACATTTAAAAGACCTCTGTCTGAAGTCCCAGAAGTTTCAGAAAAAAATAGGTAACTTCCTTCTAAATCAAAATTAGTGATTTTATACATGTGAGCCCTAGAAAAAATGACATATGGTGACGGGGTTCAGAGTACAACATTTTCTCTGATCTGACACCTAGGCTGATCTTACTTAAATGATGGAATGGGGTCATCTTGGTAAGATTCCCCACACTGGCAGTCCACCAACAGAAACGGAAATGGGCAACCAAGAGCATGGACTTAGACAAGGTTATTCTCCTTGTCTCGATGCTGTCCTTGGCGGCAGAGACTACGCAGTGTGACTGTTAAGTGAGAAGCCATTCTGCCTCTGGCTCGTTTTTCTCAGTGAGACACTGGAGAAATCTCCCCTCTAGGTTTAAACTCTTTCCCCTACAAACCAGGTGAATGTATGGTGAATTTGAAATAAAAAATTTTCCAGGTTCAACGCGAACGTTCTAGGATTCTTCAGTGATTCTTGGTGCTATGTGTATGCCAAAACCACATTACGGCAGACACAGTCAAAGATGAATCCTCCCAGCCCTTGGGAATCACCTGTGCACTCTGATCCCTGTTCTCCTTATCTTCTTTGCCTTTATCAGTTATCTTTGTTTCTTCCTCAGCCAGTTGTTTCCTGCGCTTCTCGCGCCTTTCTTCCAGCTCCTCATCCCTCAGGAATTCCAGGTGATTGACAATGGACACTTTAACCACTGTTCCAAAGAGGCAAAAATCAAAGGCTGCTCTGGTGGGGTCAGGGAGGAAGCCAAGAGCCAGAGCTTGTAGCCACAGAGAGCCAGGGAAACAACTCTCCACATGCTTGTCTTAGCCCTAGAAGGCTCACTGCTGCCCTGATAACCAAGCTGCCACGCACCTGAAACACAGTCGTGCATGCTCTCAGCATCGAGAACTTTGCATTCTTCTGTCCAGCGGGTCAGGGCTGTGGGGATGCTGGACAGGGTTCCTGTAGGGAGAACAAAGGGGAATGAGATTCTTGGCCTTGTCAAGCATTAACTGATCCACCGATTCAAAAATTGTAGTATTTCCCTAAAAGGATCCAAGGTCTATCACAATGTTTAGCACATAACAAGTACCTAGAGACAATAAAGTTTTTGTTGCCCATGGCTAAGTCACTGAGTGGTTCTGGCTCCTATAAAATGGGGGTTTTCGATAAGGCAGACACTGTCTTGCTTTTCCTCAACAGGGAAAAAGTAGAATCTGACAAATTCTACCCTCCCTTTCACCACACAAACTTGCCTGCTTGGCTGGTAGCTGTGCTCTGATCATGGAAAAAGTCATCCAGCAGCTCATCATCAGAACGGGCGATGATGTGGACGTCATCGTTGCCTACCAGGAGGCGGGCCCGACCCCGGCTTTGTAGGGGAAGGCTGCTGCTCAGCTGAAGGATGTCAGCAGCAGCTGAGGGACCAAGCAACCTGTAGGGTAATGGTGGGTACCATGATCACTTTTAAGTCCAGAGGTGCCCTGCAATCTGTTACTGTGAGATCCTCTTCACGCATCCTCTATTAAATGCAGAACATTATAAACCTTACGATGTGCACACAAGTCTAAGTTGTTTTTCTGAATACCACCCTGGTTTTGTACTTAAGTTGTATATTATTCCATAGTTTCTGGCACCAAGTGGGTGTCAATAAGCTCCCACGTGCCAGGCACTGCATCAGGTCACATTGCCTCCACTACACCCTCTCTGTTGTCTGTACACCAACCATTACAACACTTACATGCCTTTCTTTTACTTCTTAAGATTGTTTGTTTCACTACACTCTAAGCCGGAGGGCAGGGCTCTTGTCCCGTCTCTATCTAAAGTGTTAAGTGCTTGGCAGGAGACACTTAATAATTGCTAAATACATGCACAGAACTATTGACATAATTTGGTATTCCCCAAAAGGCTGCACTCCCCAAAAGGTTGCACATGTAATCCACAAAGAAATGGAACAAATATTTTATTTGTGTGTGTGACAAGAACATTAAGTGATGGACTATTTCCCCCAAGGTTAAGACAACGCTGAAGCACAGCGAAAATTCTTACAAGAGCTCCGATGAATCCAACAGATCTCTGTAACTCACCTCTGGAGTATAAGAGGAGGGTTGGGCTGGCGATTCCCAGGGTAGTGAACATGAATGGTGTGGCCAGTATTGGCTGTCAGCTGCCTTAGGGTCCTCTGACTGCGCCCGATGCCCTGGGTGAGACGAGTTGTTGAAGAGCCACTGCCCAGTGTCAGAGAACTGTGGTCTGCATGGCGCACCATCAGTGGATGGGTGGTAGGGATATTTCCTGGGGATGGGGGGATGTCTGCTGCAAGGACAATATGTAAAAGGGTCAGTGTCAAAAAGAAATTTCTTCCATGTTTGTTCAAGCAGAATCATGTCTCCTGGGCCTTACTTCCTCACACGGAAACCTGAGCTTTGTCCTTTCTCCCTCATTCCCACAACTCATCTACAATCACTGAAACTACCATAGCTTATGCCATCATCTCTCACTTAGATACTGCAACAGCCTCCTAAATAGTACCTTCTCCCAATCCATTTTCCACACTACAGTCACAGTGATGCTTCTAGGCCCCTCAGATACATGCTGCTCCCTCCACCTTGAAGACTCCTCTCCCGCTTCTTTACCTGCTCTTCTGTTCTTGGCCTAAGATGTCACTTTCTCTGTAAAGCCTGACTTCTACAGATTGGGTTAGATAACTCTTTACCTCTGTGCTCTCTTACCATACTGCAATGTAATGCCTGCTTAGCTATAATTCCTAACAGACCACTCCTATGAGGAACGAGGACTGTTTTCTTCTTTACTGCTGTATCCCTAGTACCTAGGATACAGTAGGCACTCCTCAAATATTGTTCAATTTGCTGAATGGACAGAGGCTCAACTCTAAGGGAAACTGATGAAAATCACAAAAATGCAAAGAGAATCACAGACGTTATCTTGAAAGTTATCTAATCCAACCCATTTTTTTTCTCAAACTTTTCATTTACAGGTGACAAACTGAGGCTCAAAGAGGTAAGAGATTAATTGGCCAAGATAACAGACCAGAATAGTTCAGTGTTTTCTGCTACATCATGCTTGTGATTTAAGTTGTCAAGACCTGCCCTATCAAGACAGCTTGATTCTAAGAACTTGATTCTAACTTGACGCTAAAAGGGAACTTTGACGCTGATGGGGGAGGAAGAGATTCACTCGTTCTCCCGAAAAGATGCATCCTGGATGAATAGAGTGAGTATGTTCAAATCTGCTCCCTAATGCCAAGCTCAAAGGTGACCATTCAAATCCTCAAGATCTTGTGTTATGGACATAAGGATTATTGATTGCCCTGCCACTGTGGTGTGCACATGGGTGCCTGATGCAGTCAGCCTTGGTCTCATTTTTTTTTTTAATCAAGCAAATCATCAAGTTGTCCAGGCTCTAAAATGGCTGCCTATTTACTGAGGTGAAGGGAACAAAAGCAGCCTCTCACTATTCCTTCTCCTAAGTATACACTAATGAGACAGATGGATTCAGATATCCCTTGCCCCAGGAAGTCAGCATAGGAAAAGAAGTGCTGTCTGTATCAGATCGGTTTGGTCCACTGCTTGGCTTACCCTAGAGAAGGGTATAAGAATCAAGAGAGAAAACCCAGCTGAGCCCCTGTATCTTACTAGCACTGGAGAACATGTTGTCAAACTCAATGATGAGATCATCCTCCCGGTCAAAGCGCTCAAATCGGACCAAGGGAGAAGCGTTCATATCAGGATAATCCTCATCCAATTCCATCTCAGAGCCATCGTCGTCATCGTCTTCATCTCCCTCTTCACCTTCATCATCCTCCTTAAGGGAAAATAGGAGATGGAGAATTGCTGGAGGTAAGGGTTTTCTGAAGCCTGGTGCCATGGCCACATGTGCACATGAGGGAGGGAGACGTTGAGGCTAGCAACCCAGACTGTTGGTTTTCTGCAGCTCTATGTTCCCATGGAAGAGGTCATCTGAACCAACCCAAACGCAGTCCCCCCTCACCTGATCATCTTCCTCATCTTCCTCCTCCTCCTCCTCTTCATCCTGACTATCATCCTCATCCTCGTTACTGCCACTGCTGTCCTCTTCCTGAGTGTGCTCCTCCTCATCCTCAGGGTCCAGGATATTCATGGAATCTAAAACAAAGGGAGCACATTGGAGGACTAAACTGAGTAGCTAGAAAACAGGCTACTGTGCAGGCCAGCAGGCTGAGTGGGAAGGTGATGGGATATCTGACTCTATGAGAGGAAGAACCAGATCTGGGGTGATGTACAGACTTACTGAGCCAGACCCGATTTCCTGAGAGTGCCAATCAATGCATCAACACACTGAGCAGGGTGGCTGAATGTGGAGGCTGGCTAGAGGGTGGTGCTTGAGGAGCCATGGTCTAGGACTTGGCCAAGTCTGCTGGTGCCCCCTTGCCTTTTCAGCCCTACTTTGCTACTGACTATATCCTGTTGGCAAGAGGGAACCTGCAGCGATGATAGCAGGCGGGTGAGAAGAAAGCGAACCAAGTAAGAAGTGACAAACTTTGGGCAAGCAGTAGTAACATGTTATTTGAAAAACTGGCTGAGGATAAAGTGGATGGTGTATGTCAGCGCATGCAGAAAGATGCTTCCTTATTCTGCACATGTGGGCAGCTGCCTCCAGGAAAACCCTAGTGTAGTGTCTGTCAGACGTGCAGGGCAAGAAGGGAGGCCTTTCTGGCCTCGGCACTCTCACCTTCTCGGTTGGCCTGCAAGGTGGAAGCTTGGCTGAGGTTGGAAGGAGCTTCATCCATCAGCACGTCCTCTTGTGATTCATCCTCTCCACTTCTGCTCACTGAAGGTTACAGAGCAGAGCCTTCACTGAACAACAGAGGACTTCCCTTTCCAGACTGGGTGCGTCTAAAGTAGCTATGTACACCTAGCAGATATCCATTTTTTTTGGATGAGGGAGAAGACCTGGATTGTCTGCTGTCAGATAGCTAGGTGAGCTTGGCCAGTCACTTTACCTGTCAGAGTCTCAGTTTCCTCATCTGTAAAACGGGATGATTACATCTGCCCTGCCAATCCCACTAATTGTGAAACCACAGAGGATACTGGGTGTGAAAAAGCTTTGTAACACTTAAGAATACATGTCTACTTCCATTTATCCTTTGATTTCCTCGATCAACAAAGTAAAAACAAGTAACACATACACCCTCAGAGCCAGGTGACAGTAGGGTACCTTTGCCATTTTCCCTCTGAGATTTATAAAGGGCCACCCTCAGGGAATGATCATTCTTTTTACACTACTGAGACTCAGGGGCAGAAAGCCCCTGGACTTCATTGAAGAACTGAAAGGAAGCGCTTTCTCACCCTACAGCCTCCTCTAGGCCTCCATGAATAAACACTCTTTTGATGTGCTTGATGTAACATCTGTATCAATGGCCACTCCCACCACCTCCCCCACATAGGCAACACTTCAGACTGCCACAGGCCTGTAGATGTCTTGTGAATTTCTCATCTGTAAGACCGTCAACATCAAGACAAGCAGCGATCTAGGTTGGCTATGAGCCCTTAGGCAGAGCTGAGCAAGCAGATGATGAGAAAAAGGGTCCTCCCAAGAGAGACTGAGGCAAAGGAAGAGGCTATACTCAGTTCTGGGGCTCTCACCTATAATTGTACTGTTCCCAGATCCGCCATCCCTCTCAAGCAACTCATCTATCAGGTCCTCCAGCTCATTCTCAACCTGGAGAGAAATAGAACATATATATGGATGCACACAAGTCTATCATTGTGCTAGCACTGAAACCCTAAAAAAGGCCAGCAAAGGAGCATACATTTCTAGGATAACATGTGACAGAGGATGTTACATGAAACCACACATTCGGTGCTAATTAGCACAGAAACTACCACGTGCTGCCAATCCACAATCAGACTGTCCTTCAAATGGGTCCATCCCAGTTATCTGATACTGGGTTGTCTTTATACTGTCCAGGAAGACATAATAGATCTCTTTAAAGCCAGCAGCTTAGGACCACAGGCCCAATTTCTTACCCAATGCTACCAGCTCCAGAAAGTACAATGCTTTCCTTTAGGGTCTTTAGAAGACTGCTGTTTTAATGCTCCAGCAAGAGCTGGTGCTATAGGTAGAAGGTGGTGTTAAGGAGCTTCCATTAATAACCAGAGCCAAAGTAAATCAAAGACCCTGGGCCCAACGGTCTCAGGCCAGCTTTCTACTTCAACATTTCACCTGTGCCTGTTTTCTGGTTGGGATCTTCATCATTTCATAGTACATGGCATCCTGACCCTGCCCCCACCCCTCTTTTAATACAATACAAACACATTTACTGAGCATCTACTAAGCATATCACCACCCATGCTCCTCTGCAAAGCAGCCAGCATTGAGGCAAGGATCTAAAGTACTCACCCACCCACACCACCTGGCAAGGGTTTGATTCAGCGCCGCAACAGGGAAATGCTGGGTGATCTGCCTCCCTACCTGCATCTCTTGTGAACTGAGCACCTCAGGCTGCCCAGCAATCACCACTGAGTCGGTTTCAGCCTCCCCATCCATGATATCCCCATCTGCCACCTCTGTCTGAGTGACATCATGATCCTCCTCCTGCACTTCTGCTTCCCCAGGCTCGCCTGAAACAATCAACCAACCAGCAAAATAATCAAAGAGTGCCTATGTGCTGGGCACCACGAGGCAAGCGCAAAGACAATAAGGTCCCTTCCTTGGGCAAGTTTACAAGTTCTCAAAGAATAAACGAATGGGTGACAAAGGAAAAGACAAGGCTACGTGTGAGGATAGCCAAACAAGGCTGCATTTTGAAGGAATTCTTTGTGGGGCAGATTCCCACGCCACTATGACAGATCTCTGGAAGGCCAGCAAGTTCCCAGGGAAACACCACCAAGCCAGAACAGTTTTGTGATCCCAGGCCCATAAAACAACTACTCCCACCCCTCCAGCTCTCCAGTCCATTGGCTCTGATTCCCTACCTGGGTCCTGCTGGTTGCTATTGGAATCTTGAGAGGCTCCTTGGGCATCCTGCTCAGACTTGTTCTTGCTAGAAGCACTCTTACTGCCAAAAAGGCTACTGGGCTGGTTCACAATCCGGGAAAGTGTTTCCAAAGGCTTCAGAGCAGCATTGACTGTGTTGGCCATGTTGGGACTGAGATAAGGGAAGGTAAAGAGATGGACTGAGCACAGGAATACTAGGTATCTATCTTCTAAGTGACACTAAGCTTCTTACAATGGAATCTACTAAGAGAAAAGGGGCATAAGGTCATACAGCTAACATTCTACTTTTGTTTAGAAAAAAAAAAATCTGACTTAAATGTCTTTAAGGGACCCAACCTAAAAGCAAGAGTTAAATCAATGCCATATTTCATGGGGCCATGGAAAGGACATAAGTAAAAAATTCTTGACTGGAAGTCAGAATGTATTCTGGATGACCACATGCAAGCAAGGCACTTCTCAGACGTACTCAGGATTTTTTCTTTTTTTTTTTTTTTTTTTTAAACTATCAGCATTTAGTCCCCAAACCCTAAGAGCTCAAAGGAAGGAACATGATAAAAGTTCTTTCCTTCCTTTATTTTGGAGACAGGGTCTCGCTGTGTCACCCAGGCTGGAGTGCAGTGGCATGATCTCGGCTCACTGCAACCTCCACCTCCCAGGCTCAAGTGATCCTCCCACCTCAGGTTCCCAAGTTGCTGGACTACGGGCGTGAGCCACCATGACCATCTAATTTTTCTACTTTTTTGTAGAGATGGGGTTTCGCCATGTTGCTCATGCTGGTCTCGAACTCATGAGCTCAGGCAACCTGCCCTCCTCACCCAGCTGATAACAGTTTGAAGTTCTGTGAATTTGAAATTACACTCTGTAGGGCTTCCTAGAGTTAAATAAAAGTACAACGGGCTGCAGTTGAAGGTGTGGTGTGATTTCTAAGTGTAATAAGGTGTGTGAGACCAACTAGGTGCCCACTAAAACAAGAGCAGCTCTGCTTTTATCTGCTTTATGTGTGCATCTATGTGTGAGCCTATGTATGTATATATGTATGTGTGTGTGTGTGTGTGTGTGTGTGTGTGTGTATACCCACTAGTACCAAGATAGCAGTCTCTGATACCATATCACACTAAAAGTAACCAAGACTCATCAGAACAAGTGATCCCAGGAATAGGGCAAGGAAGGTATATTGTGCCAAAAAGCTTTCAAAAATTAATGGGACAGCTGGGTGTGATGGCTCACACCTGTAATCCCAGCACTGTGGGAGGCTGAGATGGGAGGATTGCTTGAGCCTAGCCTGAGCAACATAGTGACACCGTTTCTATTAAGAGGAAAAACAACAACAAAAATGGGGAGAAAAAATTAATGGGATCATTACCACAGGCCCAGTGAGTATCAGAAAGAATAATGATAGTAATGGAATTATTCATTGCAAAGTGGAAATCTAACAGAAACCACCCTCCCACCTTAGCCTCCCAAGTAGCTGGGACTACAGGCATACACGCCCAGCTAATTATTGTATTTTTTGCAGAGACAGGGTCCCACTATGTTGCCCAGGTTAGCCTCGAACTCCTAGGTTCAAGTGTCCAACAGCCTCAGCTGTGATCAAATTAGGCATCACAAGTAATGGGACCAAGTAGTATTTACCTGTCTCCTGAAGTGATGTGAGAAGGGCAAATATAACCCATGTAGTATTTTTGCCAAAAGTGTTTAACCTGACCCTAACCATTAAGGGAGCAATTACACCAATGTAGACTGTGAGATGTTCTATAAGACATCAAGCCTGGATTCATCAAAACAGGAAAATGTCATAAAAAAGAAAAATGTGACAACCAAATGCAACATGTGATAACTCACTGAAGCCTGGATCAAAACACTCTCCCCCAGAGTACAAAGACATAATTGAAATAACTGGAAGTATGTCAATATAAAATTATATAAATTTAGTATTATTATATTATTGGTAAATTTCTTGGATATGACAATGGAACTGTAGCCATACAAGGAAATGTCTGTTCTTAGGAGACAGATGATCAAGTACTCAGAGGTAAAGATTTATACTGTTTGCAACTAATTTCAAATGATTCAGCTCCTGAAAGGACAGAAAGGGAAGAAATAAAGCAAAATGTTCAGCAGTGGTTAATCTAGGTAGACATACGGTGTTCATTACAGTACTGTGAGTTTGAGATTTATAAATGTTTCAAAAAATTGATATGTTTGTAGCAAAACGACAATTTAGTCATCTTGAAGGGGTCATATAGGTCAAAGGTATAATAATTTGAGCATGAAAAAGTGACTGCAATGATCCAAATAAATTCAATCACCAGTTTAAAAAGAAAACAAAACAAAAAACAATGAAAAGTTGAGTCCATAACAGACTTAAAAAACAGAAAGCCAGAAAAAAACCTACATTTGAATCTCAAATGTAAATAGAAAAAAATTAAGAAATTAAGTTTTTATACTGCCTAATAGAACTTGTATTTTAGCACAACCAGACATTCCCTTTGGGGCTAACACAGAAAAATGCCAGTTAATAATGTATTCGAAATGAGAAATTAGAAAGCTGTTATTCATAAGCCTCAAATAATTGACCCAGGCAAGAATTATCAACTGATGTTAAGGCTATTATTTAGGTATATGATTGACAGTGCAGACATCTGTAAAGTGCCAAAATAACAACAGAGATGACTTTCTATTAAGAATAAAAAGTGCAATTACCATGGGAGATGTGTCTCCCACAATACAATATGAGCTATACATTACCTAGGCTACACATTTCAGCCCAAAATGTTTAAACTGCTTCAATAAGCCTCTAAAGCCTCTAGATCTAACTAGAAGTTTACAGAAAATAACAGGAAGTAAAGGATCAAGTTAAACTACACTGCAAGGAAGCAACTGCACCAAATTTAGAAGGCAAAAACATGGTCGCTTCAACAAGCTAGAATCATGAAAAACAAAAACAAAATAAAGATCGAAATAATTTAAAAAAAAATTTGTATTAGAATAAGAGAGATTCAGAAGACATAGCCAGATGTAAAACAAGTCCTTAATTGGATTCTGGTTTGGAGAAAAATGCTTAATTATGGATTTGGGCATCAGGTAGGATGAAATTTATTTTCATAGCAAGGAAGTGATCGGTAACTGAAAATAAAAACGAAAATGCCCCAAATTTCCCCCAACACAATAGCATGTATCATATAATATCATTTTAGTAAAAAATACATTATTTATGCATGCAAAGAAAAACACTGAATAATAAACCAATAAGGTCATTATGGTATCTGGGTGGTAGGAATACTTCTTATTTTTACTCATCTGTTATTTCTTATAATATACATATAATCTAATAAGTGGTTATTTTTAATTAAAATGGGGGAAACTTGAAAAAAAAAGTCACTAATAGTTCAACTCTTGAGTTTATAGCAAGTAAGAATCAAGGCTTTAAGAAAGACAAGTGCTAAAAGCCACAATAAGAAAGACTCGGGTCTCCCACTTGTACCCAAAGTTTTCGCACCACACCAGCTACCTCCACATCCTTCACATAGTGAGGCTGAAGAGAAGGAAAGCCTGGGGCTGGGGCATGATTTTACCTGGACAAATCTAAGCTGTGAGGTACTCTAGCCAGGTCATTAACCAGTCCCTTCTTCAGGAAGAGCCGAATGATGTTGTTCATGCCATTGTGCTGGGTCTTCGCTGTGGCACTGCTGTAGAAGCTGGAGGTGGAGGGGCAGGACTCCATGATAGTACTGATGATACACATTACTGCCTGAAGCCTGGGAGAGAAGTTTGACATCTCTATCATATGAATATAGCCATTTCTCAGGCCAAGTCTTTACAAAATAGCCTCAGATAACCCTCCTGTAACTTCTGTGCTTCCTTCTGGAAATAACATCTAAACAAACAGGTGAAAACACACTCCCTAGGTGATAGCATTCATTTTCTCTTTTTTAGACAGGGTCTCACTCTGTAGCCCAGGGTGGAGTACAGTGTGTGAAATCTTGGCTCACTGCAACCTCCGACTCCTGGGCTGAAGTGACACTTCCACCTCAGCCTCCCAAGTAGCTGGGACTACGGGCAGGTGCCACTATGCCCAGCTAATTTTTTGTAGAGATGGGGTTTCGCCATGTTGCCCAGGCTGGTCTTCAACTCCTACTCCTGGGCTCAAGCAATCCACCAGCCTTGGCCTCCCAAAGTGCTGGGATTACAGACGTGAGCCACTGCGCTCAGCCCCCATTTTAAATAAAATTTAAAATATAAGATCAAATAACCTGCTCAACTTCCTTGAAGACCCTAAAAATACACTTAACATTTCCCTTTGTTTTCTCTATGTTTACCCACTTACTCTAATGGTAATCAGTGCTCTGGGTATTTTCAAGCACCAGAACTATTTGAGCGGACCAGAGTGTATGATGCCAGTATGACAAGAAGTTTTGTTCAAATGCAAAACCACCCATGGACTAAGAAAAGAGTAAGGGGATGTTCTTGGCTATTAGACCTGGATCAGGTATGAATCTTACCTGGCATGCTTCTCTGTACTCTCAGCCATAGCCAGTGCCCGTCCCAGGGCTGCTTTTACTTCATTCACTAGGGCCACCTGGGCATCTGTGCCACTCCCTGCTGCAGCCAGGCTTGCGAGGAACAGGCGGGCCAGGGCAGGGGTGTCCTTGTCTTCTGCATTCTGGGTATGTGGGAGCAGGTGGTCCAGGACAAAAGCTAGCACACTGCAGTCCTGAAAAGTCATGAATCATGACATTTACTTAAAAGCACAATTATGCCATATCATTTGCACAGGACCAAAGATACACACACACATAGTATTTCCTTAAGTCACCCAATGAGTGATTATGATGTCCACTTTATAGATGAAGAAGCCAAGGCTCAAAGATACAAGCAAGTAAGGAGCAAATCCGGATTTCAGAAAACTTCCAAACGCCACCCATTTCCCACTACACAGCTTATACACTGTTATGTAGATGTCATGTATTTTTAAAACCATTTTTAAAAAACTTTATTTTTATTAAAATGTTTTTAAGGAGATGAGGTCTCACTAGATTGCCCAGGCCAGAGTACAGTGGCTATTCATAGGCATGATCATCTCACACCACAGCCTCAAACTCCTGGGCGTTTGTTCTCACACCTCAGCCTCCCAAGTAGCTGAGACTACAGGTATGTGCTATTGCACCTATCTTAAAATATTTTTACATGTGTTATTTAATAGAACTACTTACAGCAAATCTATAAATAGGTAAGTATTTTCTCATCTGATAAGCAGTAATCTGAAGCCTCCTAAAAAAGTGGCTTGCACAAACGAATTTAGTCAAAGGCTAAGGATTCAAACCTTGATTCCTAATTAAGTGGTATAAACCCTTCAGTGTTCAATTAAATTGAAATTATTTACTGACACAATGTGCCCAGGACCCTGTGCTACAATAGAAGCTGGTAAGAGCTGAGCAAGAGACAGCAAAGTCACAGAAACTAATATGCAAAAATATTTAATGCAAGGTTATTTAAAATAACGAAAAAGGCTCAATAGAGGACGGAAATTAAGTCAGACTCTTCTTTTTTCTCTAACTATAATTCCTGCCTAGACAATTCCATATCTTAGAAACAAATTCTGTTGTCATTCAAGCAAATTTTGGATGAAAATACACTGAATATTTTGGAACTAGATAGGTGACAGTTGCACAACACTGTGAATGTACTAAATGCCACTCAACAGTACACTTTAAAATGTTTGATTTGTAACTTTTACCTCAATAAAGAAAATGCATTGAATAATTCAAGTCTGGGAAACTGAATAAAGTGACCTTGTTAAAACAAAACAATTAGAAATAACCATTAATTTCCCAGTGGTGAATACATACAAAGTTAAAACTGTTTTCTGAATAACCACATAGAAAGGACTTAGCTTTAGAATCACAGCCCTAGCTTCCAATTTTAGCTCTGCTACTCTAGTATGGTCCCAGGCAAGTTACTCTCCTCTATTAAAGAGATCAGTATCAACAACCTTGCAGTGTGGAGGTGAGGATTAACAAAGTATTTATAAAGCACTTACCAGTACCCAGTACTGGTAGGTCACTGGACACATATTAGGCAGATACTTAATAAATTTGTAATTAAATGTCTTAATCCACAAGTAATACTATTATACATTATGAATACAACTGGCATAAATGAGTTAAAGCTTTGGAATAAAGCCTGGCTAGGTGTGATGGCTCATGCCTGTAATCCTAGCACTTTGGGAGGCTGAGGCAGGAGGATGACTTGAGGCCAGAAGTTTGAGACCAGCCCGTGCAATATAGCAAGATCTCAAAAAATAAAATTAGCTGGGCATGGTAGCATGTACCTATAGGTCCCAGCTACTTGAGAGGCTAAGGTGGGAGGATCACTTGAGCCTAGGAGTTCAACGTTGCAGTGAGCTATGATTGTGCATTCTAGCCTGGGAGACAAAGTGAGACTCTCTTTAAAAAAGGAAGCCTGGCCGGGCGCGGTGTCTCACGCCCGTAATCCCAGCACTTTGGGAGGCAGAGGCGGGCGGATCATGAGGTCAGGAGATCGAGACCACCCTGGCTAACACAGTGAAACCCCGTCTCAACTAAAAATACAAAAAATTAGCCGGGTGCAGTGGTGCGCACCTGTAGTCCCAGCTACTTGGGAGGCTGAGGCAGGAGAATGGCGTGAACCCGGGAGGCGGAGCTTGCAGTGAGCCAAGATCACCCCACTGCAGTCCAGCCTGAGCAACAGAGCGAGACTCTGTCTCAAAAAAAAAAAAAAAAGAAGCCTATTTATGTATTTATAGGACTTATGTCCAGAATACATTAAAAAACTCAATAAGAAAATAGAATAAAAGAGTTGAACAGACATTTCCCAAAAGAGAATAAACAAATGGCCAATAAAGACATGAAAAAAATGGTCAACAGGGAAATGCAAATTTTAACTATAATACAATACCACTACAAACCCACTAAAATTGGTAAAATGAAAAAACACCAACTGTTGATCTCCCATATGCTGCTGGTAATAATATAAACTGACCTGGCAACTCCGGAAAACTTTTGGCATTAGCAGAACAACTATCATACTCTAGAGCTCAGCAATTCTTACTCTTAAGCATATACTACCCAACAGAAATTGGGTAGTTCACCAACAGACATATTCATAAGAATGCTCATAGCAGCACTATTTGTGATAGCTCCAAAGGGAAAATTACCTAAATATTTATTAGCAGTAGAATGGGTAAAAGATGTATTTGTTTTGGTACATGGTGCATTTCACAGTGGAATTTTATACAGATGAAAATAAACTTCACCTGCACGCAAAATGAATCTTGCGAGTATGTTAAGCAAAAGAATCCAGGCAAAAAAAAAAAAAAAAAAAAAAGAGTACATTCTATGCGATTCCATTTATATGAACTACAAAACCAAGTTATGGCACTAGAACTCAAGATAATGGTTGAGTGAAGGTGAAATGGTTGGGAGGAAATGCACTAAAGAACAAGGAGGGCAGCTTCTGGGGAGCTTGTAATGCTTTATTTAACTTGGCCAGTGGTTACCTAGGAAAAATAGACTATTTTAAAGATTTGTGTATTTTTCTATGTATATTAAACTTGGATTAAAGTAAGAATAGCTTTAAAAATGGCAGCTGCTTTCAAAGACTGCAACACTAGTGCCCCTACTCACTCTCAGACCCTTTTACCACTTACTAACTATAAAATTACAATGTGATCCACAAAACAAGACACCCTTATGGGAAAAAATATCTGGGCACCCATTTTACATATGTGGGAACATGATATAGTTTCTCAAAGTGGCCCACTCAACTTAAAAAAATCTAACCTGAGGATAATCCCGCATCAGGACACTTCATTCTTTTCCACAGCTCTACTAATGAACATTTAGGCTTTTCCTATATTTTTATTACCAATACTGCTACCACATCTGGTGTCTTTGCACATGTGTGAGTACATCTGGAAGATAAACACCTACATTCTTATTTATAAGGTTTATTCAACTGTCCTTTAGACACTTTTACTTAGATGCCCCACAGATACCTCTCAAAACTCCACATTTTCTCTTCAAACCTTCCCCTCCCCTTCTATTTTCTTGTTAGATGCCAACCCATAAAAGCAATAAAAAAACCCCCACAAATCAAGAAACATCCTTGAGTTTTTCCTTCTTCATCTTCCAAACCCATTTCTTGTCAATTTGTACCTTAAAAATGTTTCTTCAACTCACTCATTTTCCTCCAACTTCACCAAGATCATACATTACTAGATTACTCAATCAGATTCCTAACTGGTCTCTCTGACTGCAGTCTTCCCTCTTCAATCTCCACAATGCAGAACAAGGGACTTTCAATAGAACAAATCTCATTAACTCTCTCAGTGAACCTGATGAAAAAAGGCCTAGCTCTTTGAAGTTTCTTTTGCCACAGAGTTTCACTCTTGTCACCCAGGCAGGAGTGCGACGGTGCAACCTTGGCTCACTGCAATCTCTGCGCCTCCTGGGTTCAAGTGATTCCCCTACCTCAGCCTCTCGAATGGCTGGAATTACAGGTGCCCGCCACCATGCCTGGCTAATTTTTTTTTGTATTTTGACTAGAGACGGGGTTTTGCCATGTTGGCCAGGCTGGTCTCGAACTCCTGACCTCAGGTGATCCGCCTGCTTCAGCCTCCCAAAGTGCTGGGATTACAGGCGTGAGCCACCGCACCTGGCCTTGCATGTCTTAAGATGCCTCTTCTCACTCATTACTGGGGTTAGCACTTAGCATGCACAGCTTCCCAGCAGTGTCTGACACAGGCGGTACCCAAATGATGGAAGTACAGTATAACATCTTAAGTAGAAGTTGGAAATATTACCTCTTTGATCAGTTCAGACTGGCCCACAGTGTAGCTGTAGTTGGCAATCAGGGTAGCAATACCAACATAGGACCTCACCAACTCTGCCAGAAGACGAAGGATAGTGGAGGTAGGCATTAAAGGTTTGCTGCCCTTGCCTTTCTGTTTGCCTTCCTCAGAGGCCCGGTCCCCTTCTTTATCTTTCTTCCCATCTCGAGACTCCTCTGGAGTTGAAGCTGTTGAGAAAAGTCAAACACCGGTTCAATTCCACACTGGAACACTGGCAAAATCAAGTCTTAGATGGAAAGAATGCTATTTCTCCTCCTCTTTAAGCTACTTGTACAAACTGAATGCTCTTGTGACACTGCAGTGGAAGAGCAGAGAACCAGGATAACTCAGGTCTCAGACGTATGTGGTTACAGTACAACAGGGATGCTTTGCCCAACTATTTGTGCATCTCCCTCCATTTCTCTCCTTTTACATACTCCAGAAATACTCTACTAACAGTTCTTCAAACACGTCTTACTCCCTTATTTCTTTCTTCCCTTACGTCTGCCTGGCACACTTTTATCTAGTTCAGCTCAAATGCTGACCTCCTCCATAAATGCTTTCCTTTCTCATCTAGACACATTGTGAGATACTTTACGTGTCCATCATACCTTATCCAAGTATGCCTTCATTCTGGCAGTTATCTTGCATTATAACTCTTGCAGGTCTCAGTCACTAGACAAAGTTCTTTAAGTACAGGGAACAAATCTGATCCATTTTGGTGTCCAATATAGTCTGCCACATAGTGGGCAATGCTTCTCTTGAATCAGCACCATCATCCATACTATACACTACATATGGCCAGTACACCCAGTAAAATGAGTTAACCAATATTTCACTAATATTAGCCTTTTAAATTTATCTCCAGGAACTAGTATGATTTTAAACAAAATGTCTCCTAATTTGGATCACAAAGACCTTTCCTATATAAGGAGAAGCAGCTCTTTAAGGGTCTCATTAGACTTACTTCCACGTGACATTTTTCTAGTTCATGGTGAGTAGTCAACGGGCTCTGTTAACACTGCTGGAAGGCGGGAATCCACCACGTAAAGCATGTAGCTAGAATAGTATCACTGGCACAAAATCTCTATAAGTCAGCTTTTAGAAGCCCCCAAAATAACTATAGGGTGATTTAAAAAGTTAAAACTAAAATATGTTACCATAGCAACCATTACTAGGTTGGTTAACTTATAGTTCCTTTAACTTTATCATATAGAGACTCTTTATTTACAGAACACTGAGCTCACCTGAGAAAGTTCACTTAGACAAGTAAACGTTAATAATTAAGTATGTATTCTCCTCCCCCCTGCACAGGACACCCATAGTTTTTTCAAGTTGTTTTCCTAAGGAATAAGAACACAGGAGGGAGAAAAGCAAATCATTACCCTCTCCTTGGGAGGTCCCAGATGCGGAAGTCTCAGTGGAGGCACCATCTGCAGCAAAGACCTGACTCTGTAGAAGAAGAAAACTCCTGAGCTATTATGAATTTCAAAAACACCCGCCTGCAAATGGCAGAACTCCTTCCCAGGGTACTGGCTTGGAATGCCACAGATTCTCTTTGGCCAACCTTTTAACCACCTTACACCTTTATACTATAATCTGTGGGAAGCTATTATAAATACAGTGACTGGGAGACTGCAGGGGGAGGTGGGGAAGGAAAAGGAAAAGAAAAAAAATTAAGGAAACAGTTCTAATCCTAGGAGAGGAAAAAAAAAAATCTCCAGGGACACCCCAATTTTGTCTTTGTAGTCAACAGATAATTTACAAATACATCAAAATTAATACTTTTGAAATTCCCCTGGGATAGCCCTAAATACTGAGACATTTCAATACACAGGCATTAAAAAATGAGAAGAAAGATAAAATGCTGTTGGAATTGACTTACATTAATGGAAAAACCTGACTGCGTATCAAAGTCACTGCTCTGACGCGTAAGTGACCGGTACTGCTGGTATACATCATCACCCATGTCTTGCAGGAGCTGGCCAACCTCTTGGGTCATACCCCCAGGTTTAGGATCAGATTTATCTGCTAGAAAAACAGTAACAACCATCAAAAACAAAATAAACCTCTTCTACAATTGGACAATGTTAATACCTATCTAGTAGTCTTGGTCAATTTCACATCAAGTGCCTATGACTGTTTACATGGTGATATTATAGATAATGTTAGAGTGCCTCACCCTAATATTACAAAAACTAGTCTTGTGATCACAGGCAATTAACTTAGTCTCACTTTCCTAAGCTGTAACTACAAACCTTAAGTGAACACAGCTGGCAGTATTGCTCATGCAGTGGTAGGTCAATAAATGGTTGCCACAGCTATATAGCTAAACTATTTCGGGGAGGAGGTGATAAGATAGGGTAAAGATTCTGGGGTGGTAGGAGAACCAAGGAATTCTATATGGATCAGGGTGCTGTACAGATGAAAAGCACCAAAGTCAAGACTCAGATTTCTTTTACTTATTAAAGGCAGTATTCATCAATTTTTGGCAGTTGTTACCTATCAAGTAAGTATGTCCTGAATAAAATCTAGAAGGACCTTACTATAATGAAATCCTATGTTCCAAGCAATTCAATCATGACTTTCCTAGTGCTTGTAAGATGCACCTTAACTAGGAATAAAGGTGGATGGGTGTGGTGGTCTCAACAGTTAGGAAGCCCAGACACACCTCCTAATATTGTCTCCAGCTCAATAAACAATAAAACAACAATGAAAAGGTTTTGCTTGAGTATGAAAACATTAGAGACTTCCTGGTGTCTTATTTTCAACCTCTCACAGAACGCTATTATGTCCTTTTAAATCTTTGTTCACTCTTCCCCCTGTATGGTGTGTATTCTCATATAACAGAACTCTGGCAATCTCCTCATCCATTAAAGGTTCATTTTAGAAATCACGTACACAAACAAATTTTCTTACCTATGCACCCTCACTAGGTAAGGTGCCTCACCCTAAGGATTTACCATCACCCTGGTATGTCATACTATATGACTATTAGCTTCTTCAAAGACATGCAATGGGTATCTTATTTATCTGAGCCCCAGAGTATGGGCACATAGTGAGTGCTCACTAAGCCATGAGTTGGCTGAAATGACCCAGGCAAAGTAACATATCCTCTAGTGCCCAGTCTCCTGAGGTAGGCTAGCCACATACCTTCCTCTGGAGCATGGTATGCAGCCAGAGCATTCAGCATATCATAGATCACTTCCTTGATAGTATCAGGGATGACAGGCAGAGGTGAGGGCTTCAAAGGGGTGGTCTTCACCAGCTGTACAGCATTAGGGCCTTTAATTCTAAGATTCTCAAATTCATCATCTGAAGCTAAGCCAAAATGAGAGAGAAAAACCAGTCAATCATGAACCAGTACCTAAACTAGGTTATTAATAAAGACTCAGAAGGGGGCATGTGTAATATACAAGCTTGAGATAGGAGACCATTTTCAATTAATGTTCAAGTACTCTACTATAAAACCTGGTTTCTACTTTCCTTAAATTCCACAGGATTTAATACAGCACTACCAAATAGTAAAGGCTTGTGTTAGAGAAAACTGGTTTTGAAATCCAGTTGTTACTTCAACAAACCTCAATTTTCTCACTCTTCAAATTTATTTTGAGGATTAAATGAGGATATAATCGAGAAATGCCCAGCACAGGGGCAGGCACATAGCTAGAACTTCCAAAATAATTTCGTCCTCTTCCCAACTTTTTATTAAAAAACAAAACAAACCCAACAAACCTATAGAAAAGTTCAAATAGTGTAATATGATAAACATCTATATACTTTTCATCCAGAATTACCAAGTGACTACTCCTGAATACATCTACATGTAGCTCCTAAGATCAAGGACATATGTATTTTTTCTTTTTTATTACCAAAAAAGTCAGCAGAGAGGAGATCAAGGGTATTTTTCTACAAAACTGCAATACCATTATAATACTCCCCAAATTTAACAGATACAATTATATTACCTAATACATAGCACTCAGTTTTCTCCAAATCTCCTTTATCTGCATCCACAGCCCAACCAAGGCTGGTGGCGATTATCTCTCTAGACTACTTTTCTCTAGAAGAAATGATCCTGTATTTTTTTCTTTCATAACATTAATATTTTTGAAGAGTCTAGGACAGTTGTCTTATATAGAACATCCCACAATTTGTATTTTTCTAATTGTTTCCTCATAATGAAATACAGGTCAAACATTTCTTGACAGGAATACACAGATGATGTCTATTTCCCACTGTGTTACATGAGATGTACATCCATTTAATCCTCAATTATCACTTGATTTGTAAACCATTAACTATATGTAAAGCCTACTGCCCCACTAAAATGAGCTCTTTGAAGGGAAGGACTAGAATGAATGAGTCCTCAGTGTCTCTGGCAGGGATTACAACAGGGCAAGGCCCAGAGAAGCTACTGAAGTACCTAATGAATTGACCCAAATGATCAACTAGCTAGCAAATGTCCTAATAGTTGCCTAAGGAGGCTCTTCAAGTCACAGACCCCCTCATAGATAAATTTCTGGATTTATACCAGGCCACAAACTTAATCTCAAAGGCCAGGAGCAAGTGAAACTTACCAGTTCCTGAGCCTCGAGGGGCAGGAAGGGCGATGCGGATACAGCAGTTGGCCACTTCTGTGAATATGTCTGGATTGCGGCATGCGGCTGGCCCGAGGACACGAAGGATGTAGTTGATCTCCCGAGAGCCGAGGCTGCCAGACACAACACCAGAGGTAGTGCTACCAGCTCCACTTGTAGCTGCTGAGCGAACAACCTAGTAAAGAGAGAAAGAAACACCGCCGATTAAACACTACTTTCTAAAAATACAACTGCAGTCAAGGAAGAGTTACCAAGACTAAAAGCTTTTGATTTTTGGGAGAATAATATTTCATTTTTAAGTACTGTCCCATCTTTTCTTGATTCAAAAAACCTGGCTTATAAAAAAGTTGCAGCATGTCTCAAAACTGTCAAGTATTAGACCAGACTGCATGTGATCTTTACAGAAACTGGGAGATGTGTCAAGACTATAGATCCCACATAACTTCCACATTAAAGTGTCAGCTCCTAAGCCTCTCCAAACTGTCACAATTTTAAATCAGAATGGTTCAAAAATATGTAACACTGTAATCCACTTAGTGTACTGGAACACAATTAAATATTTTCTTTACGTCTCAAAGTCAACCATCAGTCTGAGATAATGATAGCCACTGGAGATACTGAACTATCTATATATTGTTTGCCTTGATAACATAGGGCTTACATATAGCTATGCTTTTGCTCTTCTCATAAAATTGCTTGTTAATAATGGAAAATCCATGAAAGCATGAAGAAAATAACTCAATTGTATTATTTTCCATTATCTATAATTTCGCAAACTACATGCTCACAATGAAAAACATCTTTTGGTATCTTAATGCCTTTTTTTTTTTTTAACCAAATCAATCATGCCCTTTAGTGTATTATAACCTCTGTATCTTGCCTGTCTGGCTGTAATTATAAAATAATTTCCATTTAATAAACACAGAAAAGTTTAATTTCAATATAAAGGATGAGCCATAATTTATCCAATCCCCTACTGCTGGACATTAGACCTCCAGTTTCTTGATATTACAAGCAATTCCACAGTGAACATTCTTACATATGCATCTTGGCATACTTGATGTTAGTTACCAGATAAATTCTTAGCCATAGAATTTCTAGGTCAAAGGATATCTTAAACCGAGAGTATCAAATTGCCCTCCAATGTGGCTACACCAATTTCCACTCCTACCAAAAGTTAAGAGTATGCCTGGTTTTCCACACCCATACTAGTAATGAATAGTATCAAGAGTTTACATTTTGCCATCTTGATACATTAAGACTGTCACTGATGTTCCTTTGTTCCCCACACCCCAACTATAATTTACCTAAAGTTTAAAACTTTAAAAGTTTTCCCTCATCCAATGAGGACTTACACTTTCTCCTAGCCCTTTGAACTTGTAACTTTTAAACATTTATTTATAGAAAGCATTTCAAGTTTCTAACATCAGAATTGAGTTGTATACAGTTGTTCCTTCCCTGCTGGGTTATCTCCTGGACTGTGGATCACTGTACAAGCTACCTTAAACAGCTCTCTTTCTCTTGATTTGGCACATGTGAGGTGAAATCAAGCAGGCTGTGTAAAGAATTGTCTGAAGAATCTAAAATGTATACTCAGATATACAAAAACTGATACCACTTTTCTGGCAAGCAAGTTAAAAAAATACCTTTTGATCCAATTACTAAAAATCCCTAAGTAACCATCTTAAACATGAAAAAGTTAGGCACAAAAACACATATTGCAACACTACTTATAAATGCAGGAAACAATGTCCTAAGAGAGGAAAATGGAAGCAAAGTCTAGTAACAGTCATTATTGATGACAAAGAATCAGTAGAAGAAAGGATTTTGTAGAAGTACTGAGAAGGAAAAGCCTCACTAGTAGGACATTTGCCCCTTACCCCTCCACTGTTGTCTTTCTTTTTTTTTTGAGACAGTCTCACTCTGTCACCCAGGTTGGAGAGCAGTGGTGCCATCTCGACTCACTGCAACCTCCGCCTCCCAAGTAGCTGGGATTACAGGCCGTGCCACCACACCCAGCTAGTCTTGAACTTCTGACCTCAGGTGATCTACCTGCCTCGGCCTCCCAAAGGGCTGGGATTAGAGGTGTGAGCTACCACGCCCAGCCTGTTGTCTAAACTTTACAAATGTTTTTATTTTTTATAATTATGTTGCTATTTCTTCTACTGCTTTATAAGTTTCCCAAAATATAATAACCTGTTTTCTGATCTGCACAATGGGTATTTGTTAAGTGTCTATCACAGTGCTTGGCAGATTACAAACATTCAAAAAGCTTTAACTATACTTTTATATTCCAAAATACACTGTTTTGAGAATATGCTCTTGGCTGAACACCTGAGAGGTACTCCTACAAAGGAATGATTTTGAAGGTATGAACTTAGGAGAAGGTATCCCAGTTCTTTACTAACAGTTTTTGGCTTGGTTAATGAAACCTAGATTAAAAAAAAAAAAAAAAAAAAGAAATCCAGATTGCTGGAGAGGACTTTCTAGCAATAGGATCATCCCTCCCAAGCACAGAATTGGAAAATTCTGTTGGGCGGAGTATACAGTATACATATCCAGCTATAGACATGTAAGAAGAACCAGAAGTCTATTTGTTCTCAGACCAAGGAGAACAAAGGTATGATGTAAAGCTAAACCAGAATCTGATACAAAACACACTCACCTTTTCCATGGTATGACGAAGGGTACAGGGGTCCTCAATGATGTGTCTTAAGAGAAGGGTGACCAGGGGAGTAAACCCATTGAAGCCTGAGCTCTGGGTCAAATTCAAGATCATGCGGGTACTCTTCAGTTCTGCAAACATCATGGCATATTTGTGGTCCCGGGTGAGCCTCAGGCAGAGACGAAGGGTGGCATGCAAAGTATCTGGGTCCACAGGGACTCCCAGCATGCTCACACAGGCCCGGATTAAAACAGTCACCATATCTTCTGTCAAGCCCTGGATCAGGATCTCCCCGATTTTTGTTTCCTCCAGGCTTGTCTCCTTTTCAGTGTTTGTACCCTCTAGGGCCAAAGGGGTATCTATGAAATGGGAAAATAACAGTTTAAGACAGTTTAACTTGATGTTTATTTTCTTCCATGCCTCCCTCCTAAGTAACTGGCCAAGCACTTGGGTCCTATTAAGAGAAGCATGCCAAATACCAATTTTAAGACCAGATGAAAAAGCGTTAAGGGAGGCCTATATATCTTTAATCTGTTAATCAAGCTGATGAAAATAACTCGCAATGAAATTGGCCAGACCTTAAGCCACAAAGGCACATTAGCTTTAGGTAAAACACTCTTGGTACATACCGTTGCCTTTATTTTCTTTACGTTTGATATCCATTTCTTTGCTTTCTTCCAGCGTCTTCTCTAGTTCCTGTCCATTGCTGTTTTTTGAATTTTTATTCAGCCGAGGTACCCTGAGGAGAGTCAGCATCACAGGGCGTCGGTTCCCTGTTTCCTCATTAACCTAGGAATTCAAACAGACATTAAAAGAACCTCTACCAAAAAGGAATTATAAAGGTGGGGAAGGGGAGGGACATCTCCCAGATAAAATGCTACAACAGAAGGAACTCTGGCAATTTATCTCACCTTTATCATTTATAGAGAAAAAACCTGAAAGTCCCCAGAAGGCAAGTGGCATACACAAGGCCTTATAATGAACTGTAAACCTTCCAACAGAGCAAATACCATCCTTAACCACTCCCTAGCCCTTGACTAAACACTTAAAATCATTTCTAAGAGGGATAGTATCAAATTGCCACAGACTCAAGGTCTAATCAATGACCTTAGGAAGACTCAATTTTCTGAAATCTATACTTAAGTAGGTAATGGTAACTCTCCTCCTCATAACACATGTTAGGAATGCTGGTTCATAAAGAAGAAAACCAAAACACCCCTCTTTTTGACAAAGTTTACAGTAGGGGTGTCCAATCTTTTAGCTTCCCTGGACCACACTGGAAAAAGAATTGTCTTGGGCCACACATAAAAACTACACTAACGATATTTGATAAGCTAAAAAGAACAACAAAAAAAACCTCAATGTGTGGTGTTGGGCTGCATTCAAAGCCATCCTGAGCCACATGTGGCCTGTGGTCCACGGGTTAGACAAACTTGGTGAGTGAGCATGTACCTGCACCATTGTAGTGAACTGGACTGTGTATCTTCTTCGGCCTGCAGTGAATCGCACACTTGTCTCTCCAGATTTCCAGGCAGAATCAATAGTGCTATTGTTGCTTGCACTGTAACTACACCAACGCCCAGAGCGATCATCAAACCAGCGCCAGTTGTTGCTGTTGGATTGCAGGTACTGAATATAAAAGTACAAAGTTTCTTTGTATTCCTTTCAAGGTTGATTATTAGAAAAAATAGTAACTTCATCAGTGTTCACTGCTAAAACTCAACCAGGAAAAAGAAATATACTGGACAATTAATAAATTTTAAAAACCAAGAGAAAAATTTTCATATGCATTTACTCTCACATTCCTTAGTCTCTCAGCTACACGTTTAAAATCGTGTCTTCTAAAGTTCAGGTGATGAAAACTTAATCCCTAATTTAACAGTGTTGGGAGGTGGGGCCTAATAAAAGATAATTATGTCATGGGGACTCTGTCCCTCACGAATGGATTAATGTCATTATCCAGGGACTGGGTTAGTTATTGTGACTGGGTTGGTTATAAAAGCGAGTTTGGGCCAGGCGCGGTGGCTCACGCCTGTAATCTCAGCACTTTGGGAGGCCGAGGCAGGTGGATCGCCTGAGGTCGGGAGTTCAAGACCAGCCTGACCAACATGGAGAAACCTCGTCTCTACTAAAAATACAAAATTAGCTGGGGTGGTGGCGCATGCCTGTAATCCCAGCTACTCGGGAGGCTGAGGCAGGAGAATCGCTTGAACCCGGGAGGCAGAGGTTGTGGTGAGCCAAGATCGCGCCATTGCACTCTAGCCTGGGCAAAAAGAGTGAAACTCTGTCTCAAAAAATAAAATAAAATAAAAGAGAGTTTGGACACCTCTTCCTCTTCCACCTTCCGCAACAGAAGGATGCAGCACTAAGGCTGTCACCAGATGTGGTCCCTTAGATCAGCCTCTAGAACTATGAGCCAAATAAACTTGTACAGTTTATACTAAATATCTTTTTTTTTTTGGAGACAGGGTCTGGCTCTGTCACCTAGGCTGGAGTGCAGTGAAGCAATCTCGGCTCGGTTCACTACAACCTCTGCCTCCCGGGCTCTAGGCCCACCTCAGCCTCCTGAGTAGCTGGGACCGTAGGCGCACGCCACTATGCCTGGCTATTTTTTGGAGAGATGGGGTTTCACCATGTGTTGCCCAAGCTGGTCTTCAACTCCTGAACTCAAGTAATCCACCTGTCTCAGCCTCTCAAAGTGCTGGGATTACAGGCGTGAGCCTACAGTGCCAAGCCTATAGTTTATAAATTAGTCCGTGGTATTGTTACAGCAATAGCAAAACGGACTAAGGTACTTTTCCTAGACAAAAAAACTATCTACAGTCCCTTATCTTGCCATTTTCTACTTTCCTTTTGTTTCCACTGATTTTCCCTAAAAGGGGAATGTCCACCTGAGATGTACTGAAACAAAAATCCTGTTTCCAAGAACGTAGTGAGATGATGTGGCACAATAATCTTGATCTAAGAAGTGTTTGCTTTTTGGAAGGATTGCTGTATACTCAGTCCTTTACATAACAGAAAAGCCACTCCTCCTCTGGAGATAGCACGCTCCTTCAAAATTTACTTCCACAGTAAATTATTCAGAAGAGAAACCTAGCTATGAAAATCCCTAAAGAGATTTATACATTGGTCAGAGACTTCTACATTCTTCACTACTCTCTCATATTCTCTTCTGGTCTACTCTTGCCTCAGGAAGCTAAACCGTCCTGCAATCATACATACTACATTACACACCTTAGTCATCTGGGCTCTCCTTTTTGAGGAGATGGCTGTCTTTTCATAGAAATCAATCAGGAGCAACACTGGTGTGATCCACCTAAAAAAGAAAAATGATTTGTTTTGGGCAAGCAAGAAACCTGCACGAATTGGGAAAATATATCTTAATTTCATTAGGTGCTTCCTTTATAATTTTAAAACTACAGAAGTACCACAAATTTGCCCCATACATGCCCCAGAAGAGTGCCTGATTCAGGCCCATGTCCCAGGGAAATAGAAATGAAACTAGGAAAGATATAGGGTCACTCACTTTGGGGTCTGGACTTCCTTCTGCTCCTTGGCTGCCTGGAGGCAGGGCTGAACCACTTCCAAGAGTTTGATTAGGACATTAAGGATGCCACTCGATTCAACCACCCAAGCACAAGGTAGCTTCAACTCCTGATAGATCAAAGGGAAAAACAAAACAACCAGATACTAATTTCTACTCAGTATCAAAGATTAGCATGGGATAGGGGAACATAAGGGTAAATAATAATAGAATTGGTTGAATTCAAATTTTACCCCTTAGCATCTACCAGTTGTGTAATCTAAGATGTGTTAAATTTTCTAGGCTTTGGTTTCCTCATGGGTCAGAGGAAATAATTTTTACCTTCAGAATAATTGTGATGATTGAGGTTTCATCTATATATTAATATAAAGTACCCAGTGCCTGGCATATTAGTATATGCTTAATATGGAAGCGGTTTGTCACCTAGGTTGTGCAGTCTAACGGTGTTGAAGTTGTAAAGCTTTAGATTTACAGAGAAATTTTATAATCTTTCAAGGAAAATGCAATAATTAAACGCAGTTAGTGGTTCGTCTTACTGGGGCTACACTAAAGTGTTACTTTTAACAGGAACTTACTGGAAGTAAATGTCCAAGGATAGGTAATCATTTAAATAAATTAGAGAACATTCAAAAGATGGAGTAATGTGCATAGCAAATGGGAAAATAGTCGTAATACTTAACAAAAAGAATATAAAACTTTCTATACAGTCTTATCCCAATTGTTTAAATGAACAGGAAAAAATACTAAAAGAAAATACAAGACTGTTACTTGTGATTTGTTTTAGATGGGGGTCCATGAATGATTCTCTCTTTAGTACTCTGAAACCTTTCCCACAAGTATCTCTTTACAAAGTGCTACAGTAAGAGTTATCACTTCCATGATAAAGGAAACCCCCAAGACAGCTGTTACACAGTTTGACTCTTATATTGGACTTATCTCCTGAGTATGTAAAGGGTTCACTTCATTAAGTTCAGGTTTTAAAAATAGTGAGCCACAATTGAAGTCATTTGACCAAGGTCAGTTGCCTTCTAGTTCCTATGTTGGTTGGATCAGGTCTTGCCCAAACCACTCTCTTGCCTCAAATAATCTGCTGACTAAATAGGCAAGGAAAAGAGAGAGGAATCTGATTCCATCTAATGCCTATCACCTCAATACTGACCACATTCAATTTGCATACCCTACTCTACTATGTGGCTGCCAGTTAAGTTTCCTCAGAGCAAAAATATTCTATGACCAAGCTCTTTGAGTAATTTAAATACTTCTCTTTTAAACTACCACCTCACAATTCCGACTCAATTCAATTAATGCTTGTTCTCAGAAGCTCTTCTCACATAAATCCAAAGTGATGCATACGACTTTCCTAAACCCAGATAAAACTGTTAACATCACTCTAACACAGAATGCTGTATTTTCATACGTAATTATGTGCATTTTAGCCTATCAGAAATGGGGCTCACGAAATGCAGGACTCATGCCTTATTCTTCTCTTTATTGTCTTCAATTCCTCATATATCGTGTTTGGTAATTCTTTCATAAATGAATTACAGGGCCCCAAAGATCTAAAACTTACCTCAAAAAGTAGCGTTAAAAGCAAGATTCTAGTAGCCAAATTGGAGGCCTGGGGCAGTGTGGCCATCTGACTTATCCACTCTGACACGGTTTTTGTGTCACTTGTTGTCAGGGGAAGAGCAGCTTTGATCAATACATCAGCAGCTTCCCACACCTTGAAGAACAAAGAAAGGTTTAAGTCATGGAACCTCAGAGCAAGATGAGGTTTCTGAAAATATTCTCAATCTTTTAAAATACTCCCTCTGCCTCCAACACATCCACTGAAGAAAGGTAGGTAAATCTAACATATTTACCATAGGGATTTAGAATCTATACCAAAAGATGTATGTTACTAAAGGATCACCACTGAACAATTACTTTATTAGGCTAGACTATAAGAAGCCTAAAATCTAAGTTAAAGGAAATGATATTTTAAAACTTCCTGGTGCATACAGTCAACCCCAAAAAGGTTCTATCAACTTATACTTCCATCAGTAATCTTTCATTATCTCTCAGAATTATTGTTAAAAAATAGACACTAAAACTTTCTGTGAAAAAAAGTTTTATCCAGTTTTCCTTTACTTGTGTTCTCGTGCATTAAAGTTCTATTTTACAAAGCTCAGAAAAAAGTTTTCCTTTTTTTAATTTCTTTCCCTGCTTGTAGAATGAACCATTATATAAAACAAGATTCCAATAACTTAAATACAATAGAAATGTTAACTGGCTATCTGGGTGTGGGGATTTAAGGTAATTTCTTTCTTATCCCACTTCTGTAATTAGCATACAGTAATTTCATAATGAGAGAAAAGAAAAAGAGGACAAATATCAGGTCACAAGTATTCATCAGGATGGGGACTCGGTTGTTCAAGTCGCTGTTACATAGGAAAAAACATTTATTCAGTATTAGTCCAGGGGACGAACTTGACTCAAGGGTGAGGCACATTTTGGACATTTTAAGAGAAAAGTAGAAAAGGAGAGCTTTGTTTTTCCCTTCTAAAGACATTTTTGTGTGTGTGATGTAGTTAATACACTGTTTCAGGATTACCAGATTGAAATAATCCAAAGAGAGAATATACCCCTATCAGGTAGAATGAAAATATGCTGATTTTTCAGAAATCAGGTTTTGACACAGGCAGGCAAACCACTTCACATACTCCCCTCTTCTGACCACTTGAGAGCTCACCTGATTGACTACTTGCTTCAGAATCATGTCACGATAATCTGCTCCATTACGTTTGATTGCTGTCATGATCAGGTCACACACACGGTATACCGTGTCTGGCAGCTCATCAAGAAGGTGGAAGCAGCCTGGCAACATAGTATCTGTGAAAGTGTGGAGCTCATCTTGTTCCAACGGGTCAGCATCCTGGAACTTCTCTAGACATTTAGCCTCCTCCTCTTCCTGCTTTTCCCGCGCTTTCCGTTCCTCTTCCTCCTTCCGGCAAGCAACTTCCTGGAAGCAGGGAAGGAAGTGTGAATAGTACACAGGAGAGGTGAAGGAGGAAAGATAAGAGAGACTCTGAGAATGTATTTGCTCTACCATATAAATACCCTCAACCTTCTCCTCAAGCAGCTGATACTTTCATCCAGGGTGTGGCAGCCACAAAGTTTAAGGCAAGACAGGGAAGGTAGAAGGGAGGGACGCTTCAAACAACTTCTACTGTCAAGTCATTTCTAGCATTCTATACTACCTCCTGCAAAATCATTTCTAGACACTGTTCTATATTCTCTGCCAGCAGGGAAAATTAAAGTAACTGTCACCTAGGAATATACAGCCAAGTTCAGCCTAATGGCATTACTGAGTACACTTTGGGTCTCTTATTTGACAATAAAGATTAATGCTTCATCTGTCTCCCTTAAAGCTTCAGGTCAATACAAGGTAGCTCAATGACAGATGGCAAAGCTGGGATTAGCACTCTTCTCAGGTATTCCCTTAGATTTGAATTCTATCATTACTTTGCAATTACAGCACAATGTTCACAGAATACTAAGATTCATATGCCATGCCCTTTAGGATGCAGTGTCCTATAGTTACCTCAGGTGACTCTGCCCTTTGATCCATTGGAATATCCTGTCCCAGAGACATAGCAATTGCTCTCATCATCTGGTCCTCTTCAGACATGCTGAGATCCTACAGAGTATTAAGAGAATAGCCAGAGAGGAGACACATTCAAAACGAAGAAACCCAACGAGACCACCGCAACTCACAGGGAATCAATCAGACATCTTGTGCTCAAGCTAAAGAGAGAGGGAGGGGCTCAAAATGCTGCTCTTGTATAAGTCAAAACCAATCAGGCTTATGTGGTTACTACAAACAAGAACAGATGAGGAAAATCACATGTAAAATTAAGTACAGAAAGGGGGCTTCAATGTGACCATCTATTCTACATCTTAGAAAAGTGTGCCTCTTCTATTGTTTTGTGACTGAGGGTTCTCCTGAAAACAAAGTATAGTAATTTATACTGCTAGGGGATAGAAAACTTCTGTTATTATGAAAAGAAAATACTGGCAGCCGGGCGCGGTGGCTCACGCCTGTAATCCCAGCACTTTGGGAGGCCGAGGCGGGCGGATCACAAGGTCAGGAGATCGAGACCACGGTGAAACCCCGTCTCTACTAAAAATACAAAAAATTAGCCGGGCGCGGTTGTGGGCGCCTGTAGTCCCAGCTACTCGGGAGGCTGAGGCAGGAGAATGGCGTGAACCCGGGAGGCGGAGCTTGCAGTGAGCCGAGATCGCGCCACTGCACTCCAGCCTGGGCGACAGAGCGAGACTCCGTCTCAAAAAAAAAAAAAAAAAAAAAAAAAAAAAAAAAAAAAAAAAAAAAAGAAAATACTGGCATGCACATGTCTGAAAATGAGAAGCAGTTTATAGAAAGGAAGACCAATGACAGAATAATAAGGGGAAAAAGGACTTCAGCAGTCAAACCAATATCCTGGAAAATCACTGCTCCTGAGCCAACTTACCCGAACAACTCCTCCCATGATTGGAGGGGGGTGGGTTAGAAGGTACTCTGTGGCCTGCTCCATGGTGCTGGTGTTCAACAGTGCCTCCATGGCATGTTCCCTTGTGAAGCCCATGTCCATGAGCTACGTAAAGAATGCAAGGGCTCAGAATCACATAATAAGAGAAATCCAAATACATTTTTAAAAGGAAGGAACCTTTCCAAGATGGAAATAACTTTTTCTAACTTCACCTGAGCTGAGAGCATTTATGAGCTAGGGCAATTAGGTAAAATGAACAATCCTTTCTGTTTGGTGCTTCTATAATATTCTAAGCTACACAATGGGTAAGGAGCCAAGAAGATTCTCAATTTCATCTTCCAAAAAAGTTGGGGGGGGGGATGCATGGTTATTATGATTAACAGAATTATTATAATTAAAAGATTGAGACTCATACAAAGAAGTATAAATTGGTCCCAATTTTCTGGAAAACAAACTGGTAACAGACCAAGTACCTGAAAAACTGACCTAGTTATTCTACTACCAGGCAATAATCATGAGATGTATGTAAGGATTGGTACATAAGGAAACTATACAACACAGTGTTAAAACATCAAACTGTAAGAAAATTAGCATCCAACAATAAAATAATGACCAATTAGTAAAAAAAAGTTCTTGATAAAAGCAATACAAGTATACATATTGCTTGATGTTAATGATGTAAAAATTAGGCACAAAACTGACTGAAAAAGGAGACAATGACTATCTTGCGTGATAAAATTATGAATGCCTTTTAAAAGTCTTGTATTTTCCAAATTTGGTAATAAGAGTACTAAAAAACGGGACAAGTGTATATAGTAGACAGATTTGAACAGGACTCTATACACAAAGCTAACACACATACATACAAACTCCAGGAAGAAGACGTTAAAATGCTCTTTGAGATGGAAGTGGCAGGACTTTACGTGCCTTTCCCCTCCCCTCTTTCTAGCCTCCCAAGTTTTAAAATGCCCCTTATACATTTTATTTGCAAGTGAAAACAAAAGTTTTGTAGGTGACCAAGGTTTCTTTATTTATTTTATTTTATTTATTTATTTATTTATTTATTTATTTTGTTGAGACGGAGTCTTGCTCGGTTGCCCAGGCTGGAGTGCTATGGCTGGATCTCAGCTCACTGCAAGCTCCGCCTCCCGGGTTTACGCCATTCTCCTGCCTCAGCCTCCCAAGTAGCTGGGACTACAGGCGCCCGCCACCTCGCCCGGCTAGTTTTTTGTATTTTTTTAGTAGAGACAGGGTTTCACTGTGTTCGCCAGGATGGTCTCGATCTCCTGACCTCATGATCCGCCCGTCTCAGCCTCCCAAAGTGCTGGGATTACAGGCTTGAGCCACCGCGCCCGGCCGTGACCAAAGTTTCAGAAAGCTCTTGTTGGAGAATAAACCTGGTTCACAATATCCATTCTCTTTACAGGTTAACCAGAAAGTTAACTGAGGACAGTTTGCCTCCACCGAGGCAGCAGGAGGCTACTGAGAATACTCATCAACATGCTTGAGAGGAGTATTACCTGTGCAGAGCATCAGGACTATATTCCAAGTCTTCCTCAGGAGAAAAAAAATAAATACTAAAGGAAGGAGCAAATTTAAACTGTCTCCTGGTTAATGTGATCAGGGACTTAGTGGTGTGTGAGCTTAGAAGATCCATAAGCATCACACTCCACTGGGTGCAAAGTCTGGACCCTGGAGTGTGAGGCCAGCACCCTACCTGTTGCAGTTGTTGCTGGTTGACTTGAGGTTCCCGGCGGGAGCCACCTTCCTCTTGCCCTGTATCCTCTTCTCCTCGAGACCCCTCTTTCTCCTTGCTTAGTCTCTCTCGAATCACAGGTTCTCCTCGGAGGATGTGGCACAGAATGGCCAGCATGGATTCAGCCATTCGTCCACCATATACCTTCAGAGGTTTCCGGTTCCATAGGTTTTTGATGCAAGTAAAGGCTGCCTATAAGTAATTTGAAAAGTGTGTGATAATCATTTTGCCTCAATTCAAAGCTCAGAAAGATTAAGTTAAAGACCTATGGAACAGTCCTTCCACAACTAGTACCAACAACAAAATCCTTGGCCAACATAAGAGGGTCTAAGGAGGCACAGAGAAGAGGCATTTTACTCAACCTGAAGTAGTGACATAGTTTGCAATATTTGCTCTGCCTAAATCCCATGTTGAATTGTAATCCCCAATGCTGGAGGTGTTTGGGTCATGGGGTGGATCTCTCATTGTTTAGTGTTGTCTTCATGATAATGAGTTAAAGCGTGTAGCACCCTCTCCACCTCCTGGCTCCTGCCACGTGACACGCAAGCTCCCACTGAACTTTCCGCCATGACTGTGAACTTCTTGAGAACTCCCTAGAAGCCCAGCAGATGCTAGCACCATGCTTCTAAAGCTTGCAGAAACTGTAGGCCACTTAAATATCTTTTCTTTATAAATTACCCCGTCTCAGGTATTTCTTTATAGCAATGTAAGAACGGCCTAATGCAAGTACCAATCTGAAATTTACAGTTCAAATGTTTATCACGGAGAATTCTCAAATGGTCTATATTCCATTACGTAAGGCAGCCCTAACTGGGAGCTGGATCCAATGGTTCTTAAATAAGCATGTTATTTCATTAAGCAGGACAAAACAGAATGGGAACTACTTAGCATGAGCAATTTCTTTTGATTTTAGAATACCGAATACTCACTTTCTGAGTTACCACAAGGAAGCGGAGGGCACTGAATTGGGGAAAGTTCTGGACACCTCCAGGCAATTTGGCAGGCAGTGAATGTGGAGACTCAAGCACCGTGGTGGGATTCACCATCTTCTCCACCAGCATAAGCCAGGCATCTAGGAATTCTCCTGTGCCATCAGGCAAGTCCGAGTGTTCCAATCCCTCAGAAACAGGAACTTTACCTCCCATGGACAGAGCCCAGTTGAAAGTTCTAAATTCAAATAAGGAAAAGTAGACAGATAGAATATTAGTATTTTACCCTGGCAAGGGGGGTTTACATCTAAAAGGCCCCCAATCTCTATATTGGCACTACATGTCCCATCTTCTTAGAGCTATTATGTCTAATCTGTCCGACAGCCTTCAGCTACACTATTTTTTTTTTCTTTTGTTCCACCTCCCCTCCTTTACTTTTCAGTGTCTTAAAAACCTAAACCAGCTGGGTGCGGTGGCTCATGCCTATAATCCCAGCACTTTGGGATGCTGAGGCGGGTGGATCATGAGGTCAGGAGATCAAGACCATCCTGGCTAACACGGTGAAACCCCATCTCTACTAAATACAGAAAAAATAGCTGAGTGTGGTGGAGGGCGCCTGTAGTCCCAGCTACTCAGGAGGCTGAGAAAGGAGAACAGCATGAACCCGGGAGGCGGAGCTTGCAGTGAACTGAGTTCGTGCCACTGCACTCCAGCCTGGGCGACAGAGAAGACTCTGTCCCCCCCCAAAAAAAACCTAAACCTATGAAACTCAGCTTGGAATCATCTGACCAAGAAAACCAGAAAAATTATATTCAGAGAAACAACAGAAAAAGACAAACCTATTTTAAAAACCCATACTGGGAACCGGAAGCCACACGAGAAAAAGCAGAGACCCTTATAAACACAACTCCAGGGCAGGCTAAATCCTACCCTCCAAGGTAAATGGAGACAAACATGGCTACTTCCCAGAACACTGAAGGATACAACCAATGGCTATTTCTATATATCCCACTGTTACAAGATAGGGTACTTAAAAACAGTGGGCTGGGAAGGTACACAGCAAAGACCAAACTCCAAGAAATGCTCCTCTGTGAAGCAACTTGATCCTTACTCAAAAAGAGCATTGTGGCCTCCAGAGCAGAGAAATTTTTGCAGCATGAGGTGGTAGGGATACTTCCTCTCATCAAACAGCATTGGGGATGTGAAACCAACTGAACAGATGAAGAATGTCAGCCTGAAGGTGGAAAACAAAAAGGCAAAAATTTAACCTTCTGTAAAGCAGACACAGAAGCAATAGGAAATTCATGTAAAAGGCAAGAGTAAAATTTACACACTGAAGTGACACCTCCCACCTACTAAAGAATACAGGATGAGTATCCCTATCAGAAAACTCAAAATGTTCCAAAATCTGAAACTTCTTGATTGCTGACGTGACGCTCAATGGACATGTTCACGGGAGCATTTCAGATTAGGGATGCTCAACTGATAAGTATTCCGCAAATATTCCAAAACCCAAACAATTCCAAAATTCAAAACACTTTCTGGCCCCAAGCATTTTGGATAAGGGATACTACCTATGTAAGACTACTGAAATACAGTTTGATGGTAAATACCTAAAATATTACCCATGTTCTATACTGGTACAACCAAGACAAGTAACTTACATTGCATTTTCTACGGTAAACAAAGGACCTCCAAGTTCTCAAATTCAGTGGCTCACTCTCCATTTTAAGTAGTATAGGAACAAATTACATGTTTTTTTTTTTTTTTATTGTAACTTTCTAGTCCCTCAATCTCAAGCTGAACTTCACCTGAATCGGGGAGTAGGTGTATATGGCGGGGGCTGCCAAGATAACCCCTTAGTCAAGAGCTTGGTGAGAGCTGAGGCTGTTGATCGAGCGGCAGGTGTCGGTGCTGTAGTGGTGCTGGCAGCATGATGGCTCCTTCTCTGACGGACAGGAGATCCCACACAAAGTTTAACAAGAAGTCCGAATAGCTCAGCAAGTGCTCGGCCTAATCTGGAGGAAGCTGGAACCAGAAGTCAGAATAAGACTATTCTCAGAATAGTTTAATTACAATGGACACATTACCATTAACATATTTTTATGACTCACCACTTCCTCCTACAACCCCTAGTTAATGCTTGGATTTGTTCTACATTCAATGATCCAAAAAGGAAGTCCCACAAGGAACAAATGCCACTTTTGACGGTAGGAGACAGATATGTGCCACTCAATAGATATCAAATGTAAAAGACAAATAAGCACTCATACTGTTAGAGGAACATAAATTGAAACCACATTTGTAGAAGCAACACAGCAACATGCACTATTTAAGTTAAATGATATCTAGTGGATGATGAAGTCACTGAAAATGCCTACAAAGAACTTTAAAAATGCCAAAACCGATTAACCACTTAGATAAGAAAAGATCACTGACAATATACACAGTCTGATCACAACAAAAAATATGTAGTCCCAGAGGAAAAAAAAAAAACTAGGAAAAGCATGAAAACTGTTACAAGTAGCTTCTTAAGGTATTAGGCAGATTATGGACATCTCAATTTTTCAATTTCATAGGATGCTTTTCAATATATAATTGAACAAAGAAAAGGCAGCACACAAATACAAGCATATGTAAAAGAAAACACATAAAAAACTGAATGCTTTCCAGCTTCTCTTTAAATATTTTATGTTTTTATATTTCTACAATGAAATATACTTTTAAAATCATAAATGAAAATGTTGCCAGAGCATTTTAAAAATAAACGTTATTTCACCATGATCCAGAGACAAGAAGGGCTAGGTCTGAATCAAAGTACAGCTGACACTTGATCAACACAGGTTTTGAACTGTAGATGTCTACTTATGTGTGAATTTTTTTCAACAAATATATTGAAAATTTTGGAGATTTGTGACAATTTGAAAAAACTCCCAGATGAAACATGTAGCCTCAAAACATTGAAAAATTAACAAAAAGTTATGTCACAAATGTATAAAATATATGTAGATACTAGTCTATTTTATCATTTACTACCACAAAATATACACAAATTATAAAAATTTAATATTTATCACACACACATACACTTATATACGGTGCCATCTGCAGTAAATAAGCAGAATTGAATAACTGGATAAAATTTAGTACATATTATACTCTGTAATAATTTTGTAGCCACGACACTGTAACCATGATACTGTGGTGAGCTCAAGTGTTACCACGATATGCTTAAAACACTGTGTGAGGCTAAGCACTTCTACATGAACAGTTTATCTCTCCAATAAATTGTGTAGTGATCTCTCATGGTTCTCACATTGTTTTTCATGTTTACCGCAATACCGTAAACCTGGAATAAACCTGGGTCACTCTATGACCCCATATGAAGTGTCACTAGTGATGTTGGAAGTGCTCCCAAGAAGCAGGGAAAAATCATGACACTTCAAGAAAAAGTTGAATTGCTTGATGTGGATTACAGATTGCCCACCACTTCAGGAAAAATGAATTTAGTGTAAAGACCATTGTTAAACGAAGAACAGGAAATTAGTGAAGCTGCTGCTGCAGCTACACCAGCAGGCTTGAAAAGCTTGCACTTTTGTGAAATCTTATTTCATATTGAAAATGCACGTTTATGTGGGTACAGGATTGCCATAATAAAGACAAACCTATAGATTCTACTGCAATTCAAGAAAATACTGAACTCACTATATGAAAACTTAAAGCAAAAGGAAAGTGAAGGATCTAAAGCTGGAGAAGCCAGCAAAGGATAATTTGATAATTTTTAGAAAGAGGTTTGGCTTAAAGAATGTCAAGATAACAGAAGAAGCAGCTTCTGACAAACCAACAGGCAACAGATTAGTTCCCACACACCACTAAGAACATCACTGAGAAAGGGTATCCGCCTGAAAGGGTTTTTCATACAGACAAAGGGCCCTATTTTGAAGAAAAAGAAAAGGCCACAAAGGACATTTATTAGTAAGAAATAGAAGTGAGCAGAGGGAGTTAAGGCAGGAAGGGACAGACTCACTTCTCTATTTTGTGCAAATGCTACTGGGTTTATAATCAGGACTGCCCTTACCTATATAGCTCCTAACTTCTGAGCCTTGAAGGAGAAAGATAAACTACCAGCTGCTGGTCTTTTGGTTGTACAAGAAGGCCTGGGCAACAAGATCCCTTTTCTGGATTGGTTCCATTGATGTTTTGTCTCTGAAGTCAGAAGTATCTTGCTAGTAAAGGGGTGCCTTTTAAAGTTCTTTTGACATTAGACAATGCCTCTGGTGACCCAGAGCCCCATGAATTCAACACAAAAGGCACTGAAGTGGTCTACTTGCTCCCTAAAACCACATCTCTAATTCAGCCTCTAGATCAGAGAGTCATAAGGGGCTTTAAGGCTATTACACACAGTACTCTAAGGAAAGGATTATTAATGCTGTGGAAGAGAAGCCTGACAGAGGGAACATCACGAAAGTCTGGAAGGATTACACCACTGAAGATGCCACCATTGTTAGAGAAAAAGCCATCAAGCCTGAAATAAATTCCTGTTGGAGAAAACTGTCCCGATGTTGTGCAGAACTTAACAGGATTTATGACAGCGCCAATCAAGGAAATCACGAGTTTGTGGATATGGCATAAAAGGTGACGGGTGAAGAATTTCAGGATATGGATCTTAGTGAAATTCAAGAGCTAACAGACACCACGCCAGAGCAAGTAACAGAAGACGTCTTGATAGAGATGAGTGCTTCTGAACGGATACCAAATGATGAGGAAGAAGACATAGAAGCAGTGCCAGGAATCAAAGTGACATAAGACAATCTAGCAGAGGGTTCTGATTACTAAAGAATACTTTTGACTTCTTTTATGATGTGGACCTTACTATGATATGGGCACTGAAACGAAAGCAAATGGTGGAAGAAAGATTGGTATTGTACAGACACATTTTTAGAGAAATGAAAAAGCAACCAAGTCAGAAAGAAAGTACCGTGTATTTCCACAGTTACACCAAGCATGCCTGCCTTTCCTTCTACCTCCTTTACCTGTTCTGCCTCTACTGCCTCAGAGACAGCAAGACCAACATCCCCCACCACTTCCTTCTTCCTCCTCAGCCTACTCAATGTGAAGACCACCCAGATGAAGACCTTTATGATGATCCACTTAATGAATAGTAAATATACTTTTCTCTTAAGATTTTCTTAACATTTTCCTTTATCTAGTTTACTTTAAGAATACAGGATATAATACATATAACATACAAAATGTGTCCATTGACTGTTTATGTTATTGGTAAGGCTTCTGGTCAACAGATAGCTATTAGTAGTTAAGTTTTTTGGGGAGTCAAATGTTATACATGGATTTCTGACTGCGTGGAGGAGTTTCCTCAACCCCATGTTGTTCAAGGGTTAAATCTATCTCTTCTCAGGATGTACATGCACATATAAACTCATTGTGTAAAAACAGGCTCTACTTGAGCCTAGGTTACATATACTGCTCAAATTTAGTAATAAGCTTAAATGTACGCAGTATAGTAACAAGGAAACGCTCCTTTCTTCTTCCTATTACATCCAAATTAAGCTTTCTTTATCCTAATTAGGGAATAGGCTACGGATATGGGTATACCCAGACTTGAAAACCTAATGAATCCAATCATTGGGTTTACACTTTCTCACCACTGCTTTCAGGTGAACAGATAGCAAAGTGGCGGTAGTCCAAAGACAAGAGGATGGCAAAAAGCCAGTAACCAGAGAGAAACAGTACATGGACTGGGTTCACACAGAAACCCCTGAATGCTCCAAGGTCAAAGAAGTATGACAAAGCAAGGAGAGAGAAATATGTACATGTTCTTGCACGGTCAATTTTCCTTTGAAGATAACGTTGGTAGATTTTCAAATTAAAATAAATGGAGAATTAAACTAATTAAGAGTAAAATGTAAAACGCAATGGGAATTTGAGATAACAAACGGAAACACCAAAGGCCATTTTCTGTTTGCTTTTACGAAGGGCCCCAGATTCCTGTAAGTTAGGTCTCCATTTTCCACTAAATTAAGGTGCCAGAAAGTGACGACAATTTAAGAACACACAAATAGGTTCCCAAACATTGGTATTACATTAAAGGGGGAAAAAATGGGCAAAGACAGACCAGTGCAAATCATTAATGCAGTTTTATATGCTGCTAATATAGTCTCAATAAAGCTGCCAAAGTGACTTTAATATAAAACACCTATCAGACTATGTCTCTTGCCAGGTATGTTCAAGGAACACAAAAAGAGAAGACTAGGTGGAATAGCCAGATAGTTAACAGGGAATCAAGATAGCTTAATAACACAAACACCAAAGGAAGAATATTTCTAGATGGAGATGGTGGGTCAACTACCATGCGGCAGACAAGTGAGAAGGGACTTAGGACAAGGATGTTATAGATGCCTTGCTGAGACATTTCAGTGAAATGGTAGGAGCAGAAGCAATATGCAATAGTCGAAAAGTAGGAGGAAGAAATTAAACAAGGGAGGGTAGCAGATAGGGCTCTCAAGAAGGGATTCGGTCATCTCTGTATCTGTAGCAGCTACTACAAAGCCTGTCACATAGCAGCCACTCAACAAAGGACACTTGAAAATGAGTCACAGAAGTTTTAAACTTCCTTAAATGAAACAACATAGCCTTTCTAACTCAATCTGTTTCAGGACTAAGGGACTGAAAGCCAGAAAAGGTAGGAGAAAGGAGAATGACTCACCTGATAGTAAAGGCTTGATTTGCTTAATTCTGGCAGCCATTGCTGGTGTGATTTTAGATTTGCCCTTAGAGTCTGAAGCAGTAGGTTCATCTGTCTCCATGGGAGCCAACGTGTCACCATCTAGCCCAATGCCTTCTAATAAGCCCTGGGTAGAAGCATCCATACTTCCAGCTGTTCCATCCTGTTCCCCATCTACAGATGTATAAGAGGGGAGCAATAGGACATTGTAGAGCCAACATTTACCTGGTTCCTTGAGAAGTACCAACAAAGATTACCTACAGTTTTTGTTACTCTTTCAATTCCCATGGCTTCCTAAATTTGAAAAACAAAAATACAACCCAAGTATTGTACTGATATGCTCCTCTGTTTGGAGTTCTAAGTACCTAATGCTGACATCTTCAAATGACAGCATATGAATAGTATTAACCCAGGGCTACCTTGGAAGACTGTTATAGGCACAGCTCAACCCAGGGGGTACCATTCACATGGACTACAGTGTGCACAGTGCCCAGTGCTGTCAATGTGGATGCCCTACTAGAATGTTACAGCTCGTTAAGTTCAAACTGGACATCACAGATTGCCACTGGAGAATTTTATTCCCTAGCATTTAAGAATTATGTATATGAATGTGAGATGCGTCTTTTTCTTTGGTATATGTGTGCTCTTAGATCTAAGAATGAGCTTTATGCAAACTTATAAAACAACTCACCAAGTTTTAATCTTAGCATTCCAGAAAAACTTTGGAGAAGTTGAGTCATTTTTGTTAAATGTGTTAAATAAATTGCTAGAAAAAATATACGTTAGAGAGGCAATTCTTTGACAGTGAATCTAACTTCATTCTCAGTTCTTAGTAAATTTATTCTTTCCCTGAGTTAAATTTGGTATATTTTCACTAAATTTGAGATTCTCATTTTGTCAGGTTTCTTTATACTTTATTAATGTTATCCCATCCCTCACAATAACCAGCTGTCATATGTAAGTCCTTGTTTGTTGGTTCTAAGCCTATGTCAGCTTTATTAGTTCCTTAGAAATTTCCCTTCCTAGTAATTTCTGTACAAGTTTTAAGCATATCTGAGACTTTTTTTTTTTTTAGACAGGGTCTCACTCTGTCATCTAGGCTTGAGTTGAGTCATGGCTCACCATAGCTTCAACTTCCTGGGCTCAAGCAATCCTCCCACCTCAGCCTCCCTAGAAGCTGGGACTACAGGCATGTACCACCATGGCCAGCTAATTTTTGTATTTTTTTTTTGCAGAGATGGGGTTTTGTCATGTTGCCCAGGCTGATCTCAAACTCCTGGGCTCAAGTGATTCACCTGCCTCAGCCTCCCAAAGTGCTGGGATTAGAGGTGTGAGCCACTGTGCCTGGTCTGATGCATTTTGATACACAGAATTACCTTCATTGCTTTCTTAATAGTTTATCCTTTTTTAATTTCCTCGTTGATACTGAACACAGGAGAAAAAACATTCTGGAAAAGTTGCTCGTATTCATTTTATGTTTGTAGCATTAGAGTCAGAAAATTGTGTATGATTTCTACTTACTGAAATTTGGAAATTTTATTTTTTATTTTTTTCTGAGATGGTGTTTCGCTCTTGTTGGCCAGGCTGGAGTGCAATGGCGCGATTTTGGCTCACCGCAACCTCCGCCTCCCAGGTTCAAGCGATCATCCTGCCTCAGCCTCCCAAGTAGCTGGGATTACAGGTATGTGCCACCATACCCGGCTAATTTTTTGTATTTTCAGTAGAGACGGAGTTTCTACATGTTGGTCAGGCTGGTCTGAACTCCCGACCTCAGGTGATCTGCCCACCTCGGCCTCCCACAGTGCTGGGATTACAGGCGTGAGCCACTGAGCCTCGCCAAAATTTGGAATTTTTATTGTGAGATAACATAAAAGCAATCTTCTTTACAAAGCAGCACTGTCGACAGAAATATAACGTGAAACACATATATAACTTAAATTTTCTAGTAGCCACATTAAAAATTATTTGTTAATACCCTCTGATACAATAATTTGTAGGAATCAATCTTATATTTGCAGAAAAGTAAACACAAAAATGTTCATTTAAAAAAAACCAGCATATTAGAAACTTAACAGGGAATAGTTAATTCGTGTACCTTTATATGGTACTTAACAGTAAGTGAAGAAAGAGATCTACGAAATGTTTTTATCTAAGACACTGACAAATACACTCAGAGAAAAAAGATGGGCAGACACTTTCAAAATGTTTTTTTTTGGGTGGCAGAAATATGGGTAATTCTTTCAACTACATTTTCTAACTTTTACCATTATGTATACGTCTTTATGCAGGAAACAACTAAAAATTAGTGAGAGGATGAAAACTAGACTATGGATGATAGAACTAACTAAAAATTTTCATAATAAACCTATAAAGACATAGGAACAAAACTCAGAATTAATGACTAACATTTTAGTTTCTTAGAGTTACCTGATCTTTTTCCGCCCTGGGTCGTACCTGCCTTCTCATCCTTTGGAACCAGTTTCTGCATATCTGCCTGGCCAAATTCACACCCAGATGGTAGGCTGCAACAAGAGAAATACTGAGCAAAAAAATTATATATAATATACTGATAGTTCACCTCTTATATTATAAATGGTCTCTAATTTGCTTGGCTGACACTATCCCTCCAATAGCAGGTAGGTTAAACTGAATGTAACAAAGCATCTGTAATTCCTGAGGTAGCACCCCACAAGCTTTCCAACACTTTTTTTTTTTTTTTTTTTTTTTTTTGGAGACCCAGTCTCACTCTTTCGCCTGGGCTGGAGTGCAGTGGCATGATCTTGGGCTCACTGCAACCTCCACCTCCCGGGTTCAAGTGATTCTCCTGCCTCAGCCTCCCAACTGGCTAGGATTACAGGCGCCCGCCATTACGCCCAGCTAATTTTTTGTATTTTTAGTACAGACAGGGTTTTCACCATGTTGGCCAGGCTGGTCTTGAACACCTGACTTTGTGATTCACCTACCTTAGCCTCCCAAAGTGCTGGGATTACAGGCGTAAGCCACCACCTCCGGCCTCAACTCAGTTTTTTATATCTGGCTAATAACGGGAACACATTTTAAACCTCTACCACGCCGACAAAGCATACTTGGTATATCAAATCAAAGATGCACAAAATGCTACAATTTGTCAACAAGTTCCTAGGCTGGGAAGAGGGAAGGACAAGGAAGCCTCTGAACTCTCTTCCATACCCTCCTATCCCCAACCAAAGCAATCCTCTAGGCTCACCGAACTTAAATAACAAAGTGATGAGAGAGAGAGCCATTCTCTTACCTGTTTGGGGTACACAGAGAGAGGAGGACAGTGCTTTCCCACACCAGGGAACAGTATAACTGGCTCAGCTTGCTCAAAACACTCAGACCCAATTGAGAGCCCCACTGGTTTACGGAGATGGAACGAATTTCACTCTGCAATCATAACAAGAATTTCACCTTTGGGATGTTTTCTAACAATTATACTTAAAAAAAAAAAAAAAAAAAAGACTTCAATAGTTTTATAAGAATAAGGGATTTTTCTTCATTGCTATTCTCAGAGTTATCCACCTCATCAAAATGTCCACATTCAAGACGACAGTTCCACAAGGTACTCTGTTACAACATTTACAAATTATTTCCACAACATCCCTTATCATTGTTTTTTATGAAGTGAAAGAAAGGTATCAGAGGCTACTCTTTTTTTCTGAATCAAAGAAACGGTTTTACAGGTTCATTAACTACTTTCTAAATTATTTGTTGGGGGTATTGTTATTTCCATCCAATTTCTTTACTTCAGTAAATACCTAGATTTATTTAATTCCTTACTTTAAATTTTCCTTTTCATTTTATTTCATTTAATAAAGTCATAAAAATCAATCCCTAAAATTTAAGTAATTTAATTTTCTAAATTGTTTATAATTGTGCTGTTTTTTTTACTTCAGATTTGATCGATTCACAAGTAACAGAGAACACACTCCTGCTCAATAGCATAAAACAGGACTGTTGAACCCTGTTTTGTTTAATGTTGATACCATTAATCTTTAGAATCAATTATCTGAGGAATAAATGTAGTAAAACTGTGAGGACATACACAAAATGCCTTCTTTCTGGACCTATGGATTATGGATTGCAGGCAAAACGTTTGATATGTAGAAAATTTTTAGTAATTTGTTAATTACTATTGATTTAAATGTTCTTTGGTAAAATGTCCTACCTATGCCATCCAATTATCAGACCTATAAGGACTCGTGGAAAGATTAGAAAGTACTAAGGCCAGATGAATACCCAACTGATGTTTGTCTGTAATAACCTGTTTTGCTCTCAAGAAAGTCCACTTCACATAATAAATTATACAGTCACTCAACTTTTTGACAGTGAAAAAAAATCTCATCCTAAATTAAACTGTTCTTTTAGCTGCTACCTCAGGCAGACCTCCTTTCAAGCACAGTAACCCTGCTAAAGTGTATGCCCTAAATATTTCACTGCCTTTAAACTAATATGTTCACCCCTAAGATTATTTTTACCTGTCCAACTCTGCAAGTATGAACAAACATCATGATGTAGGCATGGGCAGCAGTGAGTGCATGCAGCAGAGGTGTGGCCTGGGCTGAGAGGGTAGCATCAGCAACATTGCCTGCGCAAGCCAGTTCTCGCAACAACACTGAGCCCCCAGGGGATTCAATGGGGCGGTGTAAGGGCTCCAGGGAGGAGAGGATGGAGTCCAACTGAAGGAGACCTTCTTGAAGGACTTTGGGTTCATGTGACAGTGTCTGAAACAGGAAGAATAATTAAAGTGTTAATATACAATGAACTTCAAATTCTTCATGTCTTTTAATAGTCACAATGGAAGTGGACAATTAAATGGAAGTCTCCCAGATTTTAGATATGGCCATGGTCTCTCACCTGGTAAATGGTGGAACCCAAATATGAAGTCAGGTACAATATACTTAACATCTGTTTCTAGAGCAACATACTACTTTCAAACTTGGTGAGCCAATAACACTTAAAAGCTTATGACAGTCAAACTGAATACTGTTACAGCAAGGACTCTACATTATAGGATTAATTCCAAATTTTGCTCAATAGGAAACCATGTTAGGCAAAGTTCCAAAGCATGGAAGAGAATCACTATTATACTGTTCTTTTCTTCTTAAAACAAGAGAGATTATTCTGAGATAGGAATCAGGTAGGCGATTTGTTTTTATCAGACAACCCAAGGATTATATGTCCCTTGTGATTTCTGCTCAAGTCTGGAGAAAAATCTGACAGCAAAACACCATCACTTGCCATGCAAAGATAGGAGAAATCATGTGCCTTCCTATGGTTTTAAATAAATCTATCTATGCTTCCACAGTATCTTATAGGTAGGATAAAGATATTTTCCTCTCTCTCTGATGAAGAGCATTTAATTCAGTATTTCAAAGAGTAAAACAAAATAAACTAAATGAAGTCATGTCACAATTATGGATCTTTCCAAGTCTGTAAGCAAATGGATTTCTCATTCAGCAGGAATTACTTACACTCTGCAGCCCAGCTAATAAAGGAGTTTCATAGATTTAATGCAATCACTATCAATATTCCAATGCTGTTTTTTGTTTTGGTTTTGCAGAAATAGAAAAATCCCTTCTAAAATTTATATGAAATCTTAAGGGACCCCAAATAGCCAAAACAAGTTGGGGGAAAATTTTTGGAGGTCTCACTCTTTTTGATTTCTATTACAAAGTTACAGTAATCAAAACTGTGATACTGGCATAAAGACAGACATAAAGACCAATGGAACACAATAGAGAGCCCAGAATTAAATCTTCACATATATATGGTCAAATGATTTTTGACGAAGGTACCAAGACCATGCAATAGGAAAGGACAGACTTTTACTGTATAAAAAATCTAATCAAAATGGATCAAAGACCTGAATATAAGAGCTAAGTTATAAAACTCTTAGAAGAAGCTATAGTGGGAAAGCTGCAAAACACTGGATTTGGCAACGGTTTTAGTGGATGTGACACTAAAAACACAGGTGTTTACACAGGCAACAAAAACAAAAAAAGAGAAGCTGGACTTTATCAAGATTAAAAATGTTTGTGCATCAAAAGACAACCACGAAAACGCAACTCACAGAACAGGAAAAATATATGCAAATCATATACTTGAGAAGAGATTAATATCAGGTATTAATATATGTATAAGAATACACAACTCTTACAACTCAACAATAAAACAAATAACACGATTAAAAAAGAACAATGAGGCCGGGCGCGGTGGCTCAAGCCTGTAATCCCAGCACTTTGGGAGGCCGAGGCGGGCGGATCACAAGGTCAGGAGATCGAGACCACAGTGAAACCCCGTCTCTACTAAAAATACAAAAAATTAGCCGGGCGCGGTGGCGGGCGCCTGTAGTCCCAGCTACTCAGGAGGCTGAGGCAGGAGAATGGCGGGAACCCGGGAGGCGGAGCTTGCAGTGAGCCGAGATCGCGCCACTGCACTCCAGCCTGGGCAACAGCGTGAGACTCCGTCTCAAAAAAAAAAAAAAAAAAAAAAAAAAAAGAACAATGAATTTGAATAGACATTTCTCCAAAGAAGATATATATATGGACAACAAGCACATGAAAATATGTTCGTTATCACTAAGCATTAGGGAAATGCCAGTGAAAAACAAAATGAGATACACTTCCTACCCACCAGAATGGCTATTATCAAAAAACAGAAAATAAGTATTGGTTAGGATGTGGGAAAATTAGAATTAAAAGTAGAGTCTCAAAGAGTTATATGTACATCCATGTTCACAGCATCATTATTATTCACAACAGCCAAAAGGTGAAAGCAACCCAAGTGTCAATCAACAGATGAATGGATAAACAAAATGTGGTATAAACACACAATGGAATATTATTAGGCCTTACAAGGGAAGGAAATTATGACACATGCTACATAATGGTTGAACCTTGAGGGCATTATGCTAAGTGAAAAAAGCCAGTCGCACACACAAATATTTTCTGATTCCACTGATATAAGGTACCTAGAGTAGTCAAATTTAGAGACAAAAAGTAGAATGGTAGTTGCCAGGGGCTGGGGAGAAGGGAGGATGAGAAGTTCAAGGGCAGAATTTCATTTTTGCAAGATGAAAAGAGTTCTGGAGATTGGCTGCACATCAATATGAATACACATAACACTACTGAACTCTACACTGCAAAATGGTTAAGATGGTACATTTCATGTTATGTGTAGTTTACCACTATGAAAAAATAAAGAAGCTTCATTTTTGGCAAAACATGAGCAATGAACTACCATGTTAACTATGCTTACAATACATGACTATCGGGCTTGAAAAGGGGGGAATTAAATATCGGCAATGAACTACATGTCAATTATGCTTAATACACGACTATCAAGCTTGAAAGGGGAGGAAAACACATGGTTAAACATAACCATAAACATAAAATGTGTTAAAAAAGCACCTATAACAAAGAAGGGTGACATACTAATAAAACCCAACTAGAAAAGCTTTCTTGGAGATACACTTTTCCCTCCAATAAACTCTAATGATGTAGAACTACATACCAAACTGATGAACAAAGAAAAAATACTTTGACTTTTCAATGAGAAATAACATGGCACACTATATATTAGTCACAAAATTCACTTAAACAACATAACACAAATTTATTCATTATTTTTTAGTTGAAGGGAGACCACAGTAAAAACATATATACAGAAGTATCGCAAAATTGATTTCCAAAAAGAAATGAAAACATTTGGCCAGATGCTTCTTACCAATATGGATTTGCAGACACCTGCAACAGCCTGACAGGCAGCAGATGTGGGAAAGTCAATGGGCAGATTGGGAAGACCCAAAATGGTAACCAAAGGCAAGAGTCCTTTCTGATTCACAAATTCCTGGCAGTGGTCATCTGTTGTATTGTTGCTCAGAATAGATTCCACAAATTTCATCTAGGTAATAAAAATTTTTTAAAGAAGTTAGAGCCTGACAGGTAGAACTAAAAGGCCAGCCTGGAATAAGGATGGGGTAGCCTTCTAGTCATGATATCAGTGTTTTCTAGAGTATCAAAACCTCAGATAAACCAGATGTATGATACGGACTCTAAAACATCCAGGAAGTAAAGAATATCTACGATTTCTGCCCAATCTACATTTTCAAGCACACCAAGAGTCGGATAATTTGAGATAACAGAGAAGTTAAGTGACTTGCTCAGGGCCACATTATGAATTAGTGGTACAATCATGTCTAATCTCTTAATTTGCTATTTAGTGCTCCTTGCCTGCCTTTCTCCTGCAGGCAAACATCATGGAAAATTTCCCCCAAATGTGCTTATAATGCAAATGAAACGCTGATCTCTGGAAGAGTCTGTTTCAAACAGAATATTTTTAAGCGTAAAAAAGTAAAATGTGGGCAATAAACACACAGGCACAAGAGAAACTATCTCTGGAAGTCTTGGAAGTGATTAGTAGGCTAAAACAAATGCTAAGAGGTCTCTCCCTTATTGGTAAACAATTCTGGGAAAATTCAAACTTCACTTTTTTGGTGAGATACTCCGGAAGTAATGGAGAAAAAAAGGGGAAAATATATGTTGGACACGTTTGGAAAACATGTTACAGGTTGTATACCTCATATTCAAAATGCTTGGGCACCATGAATGTTTCAGATTTTTTATTTTTATTTTTTTAATTTTTTTTTTTTTTTTTTGAGACGGAGTCTCGCTCTGTCGCCCAGGCTGGAATGCAGTGGCTGGATCTCAGCTCACTGCAAGCTCCGCCTCCCAGGTTCATGCCATTCTCCTGCCTCAGCCTCCTGAGTAGCTGGGACTACAGGCGCCCGCCACCTTGTCCGGCTAGTTTTTTTGTGTATATATATATATATATATATATATATATTTTTTTTTTTTTTTTTAGTAGAGACGGGGTTTCACCGTGTTAGCCAGGATGGTCTCGATCTCCTGACCTCGTGATCCGCCTGTCTCGGCCTCCCAAAGTGCTGGGATTACAGGCCAGATTTTTTATTTTTGAATATTTGCATTATATGGTTCAGGCTGAAAATGCTCCAGTGAGCATTTCCTTTCAGTGTTATGCTGGTACTCAAAAAGGTTCAAATTTTGGAGCATTTTGGATTTGGGATGATCAGCCCATACCAGACTGGTAAAACAAAACCTGTTACAGAATCCTGTCTGGATTCTAATGACGAATGGTAACAGTGAACAAAAAAATCCGGAATAAAAAATAATGGGGGTCATGTTGGCTAATTTCTGGCAAACCAGTCTAGAACAAAAACAAAAGGGTGGCACATCTTTCTCCTCTTAATTGGATTCCAAATAAAATGAATACGGTAATTACTGGACTCTGATAACACTACACATTTTCCAGAAAAGCATACATACACCTTTACTCAGTTTGCCCTGTGTTGAATCTTACCACATTAAGGATGTAATCCATGAGGGGAATAGGAATACGTTCCTCTGTACCAACAACCCTGTTAGGGGAGAAAAGAGTGAGTTACACAGAAATTCACAATACCAATATTAAGAGAACAGAGGAAGAGGTACTGTATAAAATTCTAGGTCTTTTTCTATTTATTTATTTGCTCTTTTTTTTTGAGACAGGGTCTTGCTGCCACCCAGGCTGGAGTGCAGTGGCACAATCACGGCTCACTGCAGCCTTTACTTCCCAGGCTTATGGGGTAGAGATGAGCCTTTAGACTCATATACCACAGGAAAAGAACAGCTGAAATCAATCCTGAATCTACCTTTCCTAGCCTGACTAAGGTTGAAAGCATAAAGGGGAAAACCAAGCCTTTAAAAACTCAACATTTGTATACATCACAAGAGAAACTATCCTATCTTTGGCAAACTACTGTTGGAGAAATTTATCCATATGAAAACATTTAAAATAAGTTCAATTAAAAGACTCAACATCTGCTTGAAGAAAGAGGCTAGACAAAGAGACACTTAAACATCATATGATGTTTTTGCATCACGTTTAAAGTTATGGAGAATAGGAAATAGAATTTAATTCTGTTCAAAGATTCATACACCTGAGGCCTCCTTGGCCTAACAATTGGTATTTGCACATGACAGTTCCTGAACTATCGAAAAACTGATCAGGTCTTTTGTCTTTTCAGTTGCTTCAATACTGCACAGCAGATGAGAAGGCTACAACATACCATAGCTGCAGAAAATGCAGCTCAATGTAAAAAACTACACATATAGTATATCGTGATGAAACAAAATATTACCTCTAAGATAAACCCCAGGAAGGAACAAATACTTTAGAAAATGGAGCATTTTGGACACAGGCCCTTGAAACAGATTTAGGCAGGGTGCAGGAGAGTGGGATGGAGCAGAGACAGAGGGAGAGGTAGAGGAAGAAGACAAGAAAGTTGGCAAGAAGCTAGTAGTTCTCATCTCTAAGCAAGACAAAATGTAAACAAAGATTTGCCAGGCACAAGAACATTTGGCAGCAGAATTTAGAACAGGAGAGAGTGGAGAGGCATTATGAATGACTTCAGTGACAAAAATACCCAGAACAAGGGTTTGGGTAGGATGTTGTGAACCTCCTCAATGAAAAATGTGGGGAAGAACTTTGTAGAAAAGGAGTATATAAGGCAAGATTGAAATGATTCCATGAGAAGACCACAAAACCTTAATTTCCTCCTCAGAACCACTGTAGCATTCCATGTTACTTATATCAATTACCTATAGATCCACCTCTATCAATAAGGAGTGCAAGTGTGGATCCAGCCCAGAGACACCAAACCCTTTGAAGAAGCCAGATATGATGGCAAAGAGCCTAAGTAGTAAAATCAAATGAGACCTATATACCCCCTTTATTTGCTACATGGAAACTGGGGAGAAGAACAGAGAGAAAGCAAACCAATAGTGGTTCTTAATATAATTCCAGGAATAAATTTGTTCAGTACCACTTTTCTCCTTACCCTCATCTTTTGGCTGTCAGGCCCAAGAAGCCGTACAGGAATAATCAAAATGATCAACTCTTTCCAACAGGACTCAACTTAAAAGTCCTAAACTTCCTGTTTTTCTCTCTTTCCCCAAACAAATACACATTGCCAAACTCTGGTCAATTTTCTGTATTTATGATGGTGGAGCCCCAGCCCATGCCCAGAAAGTAAAGGAGGATTTCAATTTAGTGTCACAGTATGATGTACATGGGGTTTTTCGGGGTAGGGGCGTGGTCAGGTGCTTCCTCCAGCTTTTGAGGAGACAGCTCACTCTGATGAAGGAGCCCTCCCAGTGGACCACATTTCAGGGAACAACTGCGTCTCTGGACTCATTACCTTTAAAGTCCAAACAATTGCTATTCGAGTTCTAACGATCACAAAGACTTTATATAGCCCATTTCTTTCAAGTTGCTCATGAGTGGTGGGTGGTAAGCTAGGCACACTAATGGAATCAACCACAAAGTGAACCGTGATGCATCAACTACAAACCCTGGTTACTTACTGGCAAGTATATTCATCCCTAGCAATATCAGATTTTCTGAGATCAAACAATTTAGAAGGCAGAAGAAAGAGAGAAAAGACAGGTATTTAGAACTACTTGTGGTGAATGAGTGAATGTAGAAAGGCACCCTATGTATTGGGGGTAGACTATAGTGCCTAAGTTTTCATACTCCAGATCTCCAGCACAAAACCATGTGTTTCAAGAGTAAATACAAACGCCATTTGCAAATACTAGCTGCTGATTTTTTGTTTAAAACAAAACAAAAAAAAAAAAAAAAGGAAAGGGTACTGTCTAAGCCTCGAAAAAACCCAGAAACCTAAGTCCATCAACTGGAAAATGGATAATCACTACACAATTATCACACAACAGAATACTACTCAGCAATGAAAAGTAACAAGTTGCTGACAGATGCAATAACACGGATGAACCTCCAAAACACATCGAACAAAGAAGCTAGATACAAGAAGATATATACATCAGATATAATATACACATACGACTTTATATGATCATTTTATTTAAACATATTCTGGAATAGACATAATAATATGATGACAGAAGTAAGATTTTGGGACAGAGAAATTGCCTCAATTTTGGGCAGGGAAACTGGAAATGCAGAATCTGTATGGAAATCATACCTGAATTTAAACTGCTGTTAAATTGGCCAGGTGCGGCGGCGCACACCTGCAATCCCAGCACTTTGGGAGGCTGAAGTGGGTGGATCACATGAGGCCAGGAGTTTGAGGCCAACATGGCAAAACCCCAGCTCTACTAAAAATACGAAAATTAGCCAGGCATGGTGGCACGTGTCTGTAATCCCAGCTACTCAGGAGGCTAAGGCACGAGAACTGCTTGAAGTCGGGAGGTGGAGGTTGCAGTGAGCTGAGCTCGTGCCACTGCACTCCAGCCTGGGTGATGTAGTGAGACTCTATCTCAAAATAAATAAATAAATAAATAAAATAAAATAAAGATAAGAGTTAATCATTTTACGTGTGGGTAAGGCATTGGAAAACATGAGAGCATGGGAAACAGAAATTCGGAAGTTCCACTGAAGAACTTTGAATTTAGAGGAAGGGACGGACAAGACTTATGGGGAGAAGCGTGACACATATTCCCAATTTTTCTAAGCCCTTTCACCATATTGTGAGAAAGTACAAAATTCCCCCATAACAACTGCCTGGGATAGAAGATAAAAAGAACTTTTGCTATTAATATATTGTGGTTTTCAAAATGAAGCTGAGTTTAGACAGTCTCTTGCTTTTTCTTCCTGCCCTAATAATTTACTTAGTGACCCAATCTAGGCTTCTGAAGATGGCAGAAGTGAAAAAATACATGTGTCAACATCTGTGAGACTCTTGGATCACGCAAATGAGGTAGTGATGAGCATTCAGAATGTAGAAAACTACTGATACTAGGGTACAGTAACTACTAGAGTCCTCTGCATCTTAGAAGTTACATATAAATATCACTATGGTAGAATATTAATGCTACTGGGTTTATATTTCTAATTTCTCTTCATTTTCATTCACGTCTCATTAGGCCTAGCTCTCCAAGCATTTAAGACTTCAGGAATCCTTAATTTAAGGCTCTTTATTCATTTCAATAAACAAACTTACTGACTACCTACTATTAGACAAAGTGATAGGGATATACTGGTGAATGAGGCAATGTCTTGCTCTTGAGGAGCTCATAGGTGAGTGAGGAAAACCATTAACATGTATGAATAATTTTAACAAAACTGTTGCGAAAACACAAGATTGACTTCTCATTTGGAAGTTTAAAAAAAAAAAAAAACTCCTTCAAGAATAAGACATTTGAACTGGCCTTACAGAAATCTGGTGGATGGAAAAGGAGGTGTTATGGGAATGGGAATGGCTGTGGATAGAACACAGTGATACACGATATCCTGAGAAAGGAAAGGAGGGTAAACAAATGAGGGTAGTGAAGAAAATGCTGATTAACTGCGACAGCTTGAAATCTGGGCACATCAGACGTAAGGCATCTGGAAAATGTCCAGGTAGGGAAGTCACATGCAGATGAATATATATAAGCTTGACTTAAAACCACTACCACCTATGTCTTAAAATTTTCCCTTATTTGTAGCCAGGAGAAGGAACCCCACTCCAGTAGGGTCACTGACATTCAAGGGTGTGACAAAGGAAGCACTAAGACTCGTCTACAAAAAAATGTCATGCTTTCTTCCAGGGTGTCCTCCTTTTCTAGAAAAAGAACACTTAAAAGAGAACAAAAGGTACTGCTAGAATGAAGGTAGGTTTGCCTTCTCAGAGAGGCTAAGGTATGTGTTCAACAAAGTAATATACTTAGTAGTTAATGCCTCTCCTTAAAACACCTGATACCCACAGGCTCATTACTATTTAGAGTTCCAAGAGGACATACCAGTTTTGGATTCTAGGCCTTTGCTCCTGTTGTCTACTCCACCTTAAATTTTAAGTTCCAAGGTACCATTCAGGACCAGCTCAAATGCATTCATATCTGTGCCTAAAATGCTCAAGCTTTTCTCAGAATGACTTACCTACACAATAAAAGAGTACTTATTGAATGAGTGAGTACATGACTGTCCAGAAGGATCAATCCCATTTTCAGCATGCAGGTGATTAAAAGTTACAGGTATAGAGTTACAGTTCATCCCCGGTATGTGAATACTGCTCAAAGAGCCTGGTGGACTACCTCCTAACAGTCAGCAGCCTTTAAGCAAACTCCCTGCTTTCATCTAAGAACTCAATTCTTGACTGTTTACAGTCATACAGTAAATTCCAAAGCCTTCCAATTAATCTGGAACGAACAAATAGTAACAAAATGAACAAAAATTAAAAAAACAACAAGCAACAACAAATCCTCACACACCCCTTAAGGACTTCTTAGGAGACAGGCTTCAAAAGTACAATGTGTTTCACACGTGCCTGAAAAAAATCAAGCAGTCAATGATGTGGAATATTAAATCAACAAAGGGAAAATAAGGTCTCTGTGCAAAGTCCATTAACTTGATAGACCAAATTCTGATTCAATTTCATCAACAGCTTTTAAGAATGAGCACTTCAGGCCGGGCGCGGTGGCTCAGGCCTGTAATCCCAGCACTTTGGGAGGCCGAGATGGGTGGATCACGAGGTCAGGAGATCGAGACCATCCTGGCTAACATGGTGAAACCCCGTCTCTACTAAGAAATACAAAAAAACCAGCTGGGAGCGGTGGCGGGCGTCTGTAGTCCCAGCTACTCAGGAGGCTGAGGCAGGAGAATGGTGTAAACCCAGGAGGCGGAGCTTGCAGTGAGCTGAGATCCGGCCACTGCACTCCAGCCTGGGCGACACAGCAAGACTCTGTCTCAATTAAAAAAAAAAAAAAAAAAAAAAAAGAATGAGCACTTCCTGGCTGGGTGCAGTGGCTCACACCTGTAATCCCAACACTTTGAGAAGCCAAGATGGGTAGATCACCTGAGATGGGGAGTTGAGATCAGCCTGGTCAACAGGCTGATGAAACCCCATCTCTACTAAAAATACAAAAATTGGCCGAGTGTGGTGGTGGGTGTCTATAATCCCAGCTACTTGGGAGGCTGAGGCAGGAGAATTGCTTGAGCCCGGGAGGTGGAGGTTGCAATGAGCCGAGACCACATCGTTGCACTCCAGCTTGGGCAACAAAAGCAAAACTCTGTCTCAAAAAAATAAATAAATAAAAATTAAAAATAAATAAATTTTTTTTTTAAAAAAGATCACTTCCTAAGGCAACTAATACAATTAAATACCAAAGCACAAATAACACACAAGGGTCAAAAAAGGAAAAACTAATACACTCTTAGAACCAGCAAGAACTTTAAAATGATCTAATACAACTCTCTTGTGTTTTATAGATGAAAGTGTTCACTAAGACTTAGAGAGGTGACAACATGCCCAAGATTACACGGCTAGAGGATCTGTTTTGTAAACACTTACTGCTGATTAGGTTCACTTTCATTTTGCTGGGTAGAATTAAAGCTCTGCATGGCCTGTACTTCCTCTTCCTCCTCATCCTCACTAGAGGCTTCTTCTGCAGCATGATTAGACCTTGGGGGAGGAGCAGTGGCAGTGCCATCTGCCTTCTGGATTGATGGCTTCTGACAGATGTATTTGGGGTCCCTTCCAAGATTACAGATTTCTTCAAGTAACTGAAAGGCACAGGAAATAAGATTACTTATTAGTAATCATGGAATGGGGAGGAGGAGACAGATAACATATTTAGAGCATTTTCTATGTGTTGTATATTTGCTCAAACACTTCATATACATGTTATATACACCATTCCCAGAATATGATCATTAATTCCATTTTATAAACAAGGGAAGAGACGTGCTGCAAACTTAAGTAATTTGTTGAGGGTCACAGGGCTGTATAAGCGACTGACAAATCTGACTCCCTCTCCCAATTCACCAAGCACCAGGAACTTATATACTAGTTTCAATAACAATTCTAAAAGGAAACTGGCAGAGCTAATAAGGCGGGGTGGGGGGCAGCCACAGGGATCAACAAACAGAGACTAGAAAGGGCAATACATTTTACAAACTTAATCTAAGCCATGTCTGCTTGTCCATATAATACATAAAAGAAATCATTATATAGAGGTTTACATTAAATGGAAAAAATTTTTTAAGGAAAACAATTCTCGACCTAAAAAACTTTTTTTTTTTTTTTTGAGACAGAGTCTTGCAGTGGCATGATCTCAGCTCGCTACAACCTCCTCCTCCCGAGTTTAAGTGATTCTCCTGTCTCAACCTCCAGAGTCGCTGGGACTACAGGCACACGCCACCACACCCGGCTAAATTTTATATTTTTCATAGAAACGGGGCTTCACCATGTTGTCCAGGCTGGTCTCAAACTCCTGGCCTCAAGCGATCCATCAGCCTCAGCCTCCCAAAGTGTCAGGATTACAGGCGTGAGCCACTGCACCCAGGCTAAAAAACTCTTAACAGAGACTTCTTTCTAAGATGAACTAAAATGACAACCTTTTTTTTTTTTTTATAAAGGACCAACCTAAGGACATGGAAACAATGAGGCAGACATAATGCTCTTATAGCTATAGCCCAAGAATCCTAATGACATCCAGTAGGCCAAATCTTCTAAAACCTTCCCCTTCTCTGCTCTCTCATGCTCATGATCACATCCTTATCACTTTCTACCTTGATGATGGCAGTCGTTGCATCTGTTTTAAGGGTGGGCTGATGTCTCATGAGCTCATCGACAGCACTCCCCAGGTTGGATGCAGTATCCCCTTAAGGCAAAAAATGAACTGTTAGAATTAGAAAGACTGAAGAAAATAGAGCTTGGGCTCTTTTCTGTACCAACATAAGGTGGAAAGAAAAAACTGAGCCTGGTTATGATTTTCTTAAAAGACTTTATGTCACCCAGGCTGGAGTGCAGTGTCACGATCTCCTGGACTCAAGCGATCCTCCCACCTGTCCTCCAAGTAGCTGGGACTACAGGTGTGTGCCACCATGCCTGAAGAAATTTTTGTATTTTTTGTAGAGATGGGATTTGGCCATGTTGCCCAGGCTGGTCTCAAACTCCTGTGCTCAAGTAATTTGCCCACCTTGGCCTCCCAAAGTGCTAGGTGTGTGCCACCGTGCCAGGCCAGGCTGTTGTGATTTTTTTTTTTTCTATTTTTTTTTTTTTGGTTGTGATTTTCTAATGCCACAGCTTCTTTAAAGAATTTACACCCAGCCCCTATCCCCCAAATTACGGGGGAAAAGGAAGGAATCAGTTTAGTAAACTATTTTAAAGTAACTATGTGTGCTGCACTCTACTCTGGCAATCTCTGCTGTCAAAATCTAAACTAGTATTACAGAGTGAGAGAGAAGAAAGATGTACAAACCATTAACCCTCTGGCTGCTCCAGTTAAGAATGATAGTGTCTAAATGCTACAGCAGTGGCTGAAAAGTACAAAGCACATTTTTGAAAACTGTAATCTTTCTGGAGCCCTACCTTCTTGCTAATAATCTCTCAATGATCTGGTCTCAAGTATACTGAGTAAAAAAAACTATCCATGTGTCGTTATCTTAGAGAGTTGGACATTAGAACACCAGATTACCAGATGAACACCTCAGGACTCCATATTTCTCATTGCTGCAGACTAGGTGGTGAACCTGGAAATCTACCACTGCTTCTTAATACCTGTTTTCTACCAGTACCATGACAATGCAATGGTGAACTGTTGAGAAGCATGGAAATATTATGAGCAGAGAAGCTAAAGATGAAGTATTCCTTCCGAATTATAATAGAATGTATGATGATAATCCCCATTAAACTTAGCAAACCTAATCAGTAAAATGATGAGAGAGATCAAGGAAGAGTTTCCTTGCAAACTAAATCAATTTTCTACTATAAAATAAATCTTAACAACTTACCAAGGGGATCAGAACTTCTCCTCCTCCGCATGGCTGGGAGGTAATCTGGAGACAGAAGAACTTTGAAGAGGCGTTCAAAAGGCTGACACTGAACAAAAGACTGAAGACCTCGGGCATTCAAGCAGAGTGCACTGAATACATTTGGGAGGGAGCCAAGGACTTCACGGGTAGCAGGAACCTAGAGAGAAAACAAAGTGAACTTGAATGCATCTAAAAGAGTGTAGATGCTAGGAAAATCCGGCCATGCGTATCAAGCTGAGACGGAAGGAATTTTGACAACCAGGTCCCAATTAGATTCAACACTACACACAGAAGAGAGAGGATTTTAACTCCCTAAGACATTCTTCACCGAGTAGCAGAAAAGACTTACATCTTTGATAAGCAGTGCATGCAGCATGACATCTGTCAATCCATTGTCCTGGAGTGAGGAAAGCAGTGATGGTTCTTGAAATACAAACACAGTCACCACTTCAGTAGCTAAAAAAAGATGAGAAAATATGGAAAACTGAGAGATTCCTCACAGGAATTGAAAACAAAACACCAAAAGCTTAAAAAAAAAAATACACTCTCAATGTATAGCAATTTAAACCCTTGTGCTTACTATGAAATTAAAGATCGTAATACTGTTCCATCAGAGATTCATCACTATAAAGAATCTAGTGACTACACTTCCAGGATTTTTATGGGCATATTTTTACATAAATGAGGTTACACTGTTTTATATATCTTGCTTTTCCCCACAATTGTTATACTGTATAATGTACTCTACCGATACAATGACCCATTCATTTTGAATGGCTGCCTACTATTCCACTAAACGCATGTACCACATGTATAGAAATCACTCCTCAATTGTGAAAATGATAAACCTAAACACATACCCGTTTTTGTCTGCTTTTAACAGGAAAAAAAATCTATGATGTAGGTTTGCTGGGTTAAAGCAAATGCAAGCTTAACTGATGAAAATAGATAAACTGCCTCGTACAACAATTTTAAACTATCATCAGCAATGTGAGAATCCTTGAGTATTAATCTGACCAGTTTTTGACATTATAATATTTAGAAATTGCAGTAATAACTACCAAAGCTTCTGGAACATAGGAAAAACTCTACTCAAGAGGAAATAGTATAGCATTAAGGCATTTATTAAAAAGTAACCAAACAAGCTATGAAGAATTAACAGAAAAAAGAATTCACCGAAACCAAAAGCAAAAAAGATAAACAAAGCCAATATCTAGCTTTGTGAAGACACTGGAAAAGCTTATAAACCTATGGAAAATAAAAGCAACAATATAAATTAGAAAAAAGAACAGTAATATAGATTTGGAATGAGAAAGGAGATTTAACTAGATACAGAAAAAAAAAGTTTATTCTACAAAGTGTATGCCAACAAGTGAAATAATATAAATTAGAAAAAAGAGCAGTAATATACGTGAGGAATGAGAAAGGAGATTTAACTAGATACAGAAAAATATATTCTACAAAGTGTATGCCAACAAGTGAAATGTATAGTTTAATAAGAAAATGTCATAAAAATCAAATCTCAGGAAGTGACAGCAGAGCAGATTAGACCAATAACAAGAATTTTTTCTTTTTTATTGAGACGGAGTCTCACTCTGTCGCCCAGGCTTGAGTGCAGTGGCACCATCTCAACTCCCTGCAGCCTCCACCTCCTGGGTTCAAGCGATTCTCCGGCCTCAGCCACCTGAATAGTTGGGATTACAGGTGCCCATCACGCCTGGCTAATTTTTTCATTTTTAGTAGAGATGGGGTTTTTACCAGATTGGCCAGCTGGTTTTGAACTCCTAACCTCAGGCGATCTGCCTGCCTCCGTCTCCCAAAGTACTGGGATTACAGGTGTGAGCCACCGCGCCCGTTCTAGAATTTTTAAAAGTTAAAAAAAAAAAAAAAAAAAAAATCCAGGTAATAGAGAGTCACCAAGCCAAAAGTTTTATTAAACCTTCCAGGAATAATTAAGACAAGGCTTCCCAACTCATAAGACTACAATAACTACAATAACTTTGATTTAAAAATCTGACAAAGAGGAATATACATACAACACCCATAAACCATGTATATAGAACAAACTTGTTTATGGTAATGCCTAAGATCTAAAAGAAAGCAGAGGATTTTCTATTCAAGTTGGTGAATATAGCATCTCTCCTTTATCCCAAATGCTAGGGGAATGGCAGATATATAGTAATTACCGGGGACCAACAGTTTCCAATGGCCTTTGGGATTCCCTCATGGGCTATAAAATTCTGAAAAATTTAAGTCCTTTTTGGGGTTCCTATTGGTATATGACACTCCCCTCGATTGACTTACATTTGTAGAAATGTATGAATTCTATAGAGCCACTAAAATTGAGTATTTAAAAATTAAAATTAGTGTTCTACAAGCAATTACTAAGACAACAAACCTGTTATTTTATTAAGAGGTCGCCTGTAATCCCAGCACTTTGGGAGGCCGAGACGGGCGGATCACGAGGTCAGGAGATCGAGATCATCCTGGCTAACACAGTGAAACCCCGTCTCTACTAAAAAATACAAAAAAACTAGCCGGGCGAGGTGGCGGGCGCCTGTAGTCCCAGCTACTCGGGAGGCTGAGGCAGGAGAATGGCGTGAATCCAGGAGGCGGAGCTTGCAGTGATCCGAGATCCGGCCACTGCACTCCAGCCTGGGTGACAGAGCGAGACTCCGTCTCAAAAAAAAAAAAAAAAAAGAGGTCGCAATGACACTGTGCACTGGGACCCCTACATAAAAACACTGATAACCAAGAATTAGAGTTAAAGGGTATATACATGCACAGAGCAATCAGCTCAGTGTGGAACCAATCAACTAAAAAAGGGAAAAAAGGTAATTAGGGTTTCCAGGAGAAAGTAAAAAGAAATCAGAGAAATAGAAAAAAAAAAAAAAAAAAAAGAAGCAGCAGGAAATATACACAGATAAGAACAAGAACCAGTCTGACACCACGGTTATCTACAATAACGTAGCATTAGAATACAATGAAGAAAGCAGCCACCAATTTCTGAAAGAGAAGTCTAACACCTTAAAAATTACCCACAGATGGACTTCAATAGAACTGAAAATGAATCCAAGAGAGTTTGGAAAGTCAAGGTTACAAAGGAGAGGAGAGGAGGGGAGGGGAGGAAAGGAGGGGAGGGGAGGGGAGAGGAGTAAAGGCAGGCAGGTCATCACAATCCCTGGGCCCAAACGCCACTGCATCCCCATGCCACTAGCCATACTCAAACCCTAGCCTCCCAGTATGTTCTTTGTGCCCTGTCTTGCCATTGGCATCAACACCAACGGGGGCTCACCATACCAGACGTGAACACTCCTTTTCTCACTGGCAAATCAATTTTTTTGGGCCACTGCCCCCAATCTGCTGGCACAAATCGCTACGCCCTCACAACTGATTGTTATACAGACCTATTCTTGGCTTATCCTTCCTGCCAAACCACTGCCAACACCACCATTATAGGCCTCAGTTAGTTCCCTCTGGGCTTCTGGTAACACCGACTCTGACCAGGGTATGCATGTTACCGCTCATTCAGTCTGGGCATGGACCTTTTAAAACAAGGCATCATCTTGGAGCTTCCATTTGTCTTTTTTTTTTTTTTTTTTTTGAGACAAAGTCTTACTCTGTTCCCCAGGCTAGAGTGCAGTGGCGCAATTATAGCTCACTGCAGCCTCAACCTCCAGTACTTAAGTGATCCTCCCACCTCAGCTTCCTGAGTAGCGCACCAGCATTTATTTGTTTTAGAGACAGGATTTCACACGTTGCCCAGGCTGGTCTCAAACTCCTGGGCTCAAGCAATCTGCCTGTCTCAGCATCCCAAAGTGCTGGGATTACAGGTGTGAGCCAGTGCCTGGCCCATTTGTTTTACTGTTCACAGAAAGCAGGCCTAATAGAAGCATAATGGCTTGTTCAATGCTCTCTTAAACTTACAAAGTGGACAATGGTCTCTTAAATGGATCTCTCTTTTGCCGATTGCCTTAGTTATATGACATCCTGAAAAAACACGACTAGTGCTTCCTTTGTCCCCTTTCTAGCCTCAAAATGAGATACTTTCCATCTATGAGTCTATAATACCCAAACAGAATCCCTCTCACTTAACGACACCTCCTCAATTTGATGTTGGTGCAATCCATGGTGGACAGGTGCCTAGACTGAAAGTAGATAACAAGATGGGACCCACAGAAAATTGAGGGCCCTCACCCTCTAAGACTATGCAGAAGGTCTCTGCCAAAGTCCTTTCCTAATATGATGGTTTTAAAGGATTGCTAACTAGAGATCTCTCTTCGTAGGAAATGAAGGTCTTGGTCTCTCTGCCTGGGTCCACATACACAACTGTATGGTTCCTCCAAAGAGGAAAGAAAAATCTTAAGTTAGTTCCTAATACCAACATTCTTAGACAGGAAGCTAGTTCTGGATCCACCTTATTATAGAGGTATTGAATGGGAGACTATTGCAGGATATGGGATGGCAATGCCTGTGATTTCCATAATAAACTGGCATTTCGACATGCCAAAAGTCTATGCACCACGGGCCTGAAAATATCTTTGTGGAATATTCTGGCTCTAGTTGGCCTGTCTATACCTCATTTGGCTCATGGCCTGGGTCTGGGATACTACTACTCCAGCTCAATGCCAAACTTCTTGGGCTCCTTTTTGTCCATACTGTGATCCCACTTGTTTGGGGGTAATTAGTCCGCAGCTTCCCTATCTGAAATTATTCTACAACTCTTTTATAATAATTTCTCAAGTGTGAGCCTAGGGCTTCTATCTATACAGCATACCAAAGCATCCTAGATGATGATTTCAGCACAACTGACAGTCCCAACCTTGATGCTGACACCCTCAAGATAGTAAATGCCCTTGTAACTGCCCCCATATGACTCTTCGTAACTCCACTGCCCCATCAACTCTTTGACAGCCAGCCCACACTCCACTTTCACTATTTACACTCTAATTTCACTATTCCAGTCACTACCTATATTTCCTGCTTCCCCTCACTCAACCTGATAGATCGTATCTATGTATTAGGTACACAAAATGCCACCTACATACTAAACCTCCTGCAATATTAACAGACACCCTAGCCCAGGCAACCACTTATACAACTGTATCTTGCTCCCTTGGAGGATTTTAATACTCATATTGACTACCTGCTACACTCTCTGGTTAAGCAGTCAATCATAAGCACGATGACGTTAGCATAGGCTACAAACAGACCCGAACAGACAACATGAGGTTGGTAAGGCAGGAGGTGAGAAAGAAGAGAGGGGAGTTGAGGGAAGTTACATGGGATACTACAAATGAAATACAAGTGGCTAAAAGTGGCACAGAAGAAAAGAGCCAGAGGTCGGACACGTGAGGGAGAAGGAGTCAGAATATTTAGTGAGTTTGAGTGTGAAATTATAAGCAGGACATCGTGACCTCACTGGGTGCTTCCTCATTAGCTTCCCCCTTAAGGATTTCATATTTTTCCCAGCCTCTGCCACCAACTGATAGTACATACAATGATGCCCCCCTGTTGAGAATGTCCACCCTAATATAAATTTACTCCCTAGAAACTTCACCTTCCAACCTCCTGGTCTGATTCTTCTGTGTTATAACTCCTGCTCAGCAGGGTTATACATTCTATTCATTGATCCTGTTCCGTTCTACCCATACAAGCTGACCTATGTACTATGGACATTTAGTGCCCAGGGCACCTCAAATCCAACTAGAAAGTCTAGCTGTTTTATCAGGTCTTGCCACAAAAGGGAGCACTTTTTACCTCTTCTGGGCCTCATCAGAATCTTTGGTGTAATGGGCACAAGTTTAGGTATTTCCAGTTCTGTAACACAGATTCAACTCATAGAGGTTACCCAGACATGTTGTAACTCCTGGAAGACCACATTAACCAAACAGTTCAGGCCTTAGAAGCCCTCAATGAGGGACAAAGCAGTTTAGTTACTATGACAGTCGATAACAGATTGGCATGAAACTACCTACTGGGATTTCAAGGTAGTGCTTGTGTCTTAAAGGGACCTCCCGTTGCATGATCATTAATAAAGAAAAGGTATCCAGAATAGTTCAACAAAAATAAAAGAAACTCAAACAGCCAACTATATTATTAAAATACTCCAAGAGGTTCTCAGACCTCCCTTATGTCTTTCCTGAGCCATCTCCTTCCACCTGGAGTGAAAGGTTCTGTACTATCATTTAGAGAGCTAAAATAACAATGGCTAGTCTATTTAGGTTTGGCTTTGCAAATCTGGTCTCTCTCAAGTACAAGTGTATTTTATAGGAAAACTGGGAGGTTGCTATGCTGATTGAAATGTCAGAGATGAATTAAGAAAACCATAGGAAGGAAGCTGGACCTTCACTGACCTTTGATTTAGTGCTCTAAGTCTCATTTCCTGCCTGTGTCCTTCACTTCTGGCATCATCCTCATAGGGCTCACCTGCTCCTCACCACTACCCGAGCACCTAAGCACTATATCCTCTTGCTGCCTCCCTCTTTTAAACAATATCCCTGTCAATGGCAATTGTTGCCTCTTCTAAGCTTCCCATTTATTGAAAACTGCCTGTGTACTTCCTTTTCTCTTTCTCTCTGTTCTGGATTTTCTCCCAGAAGAGAGGCATTCTCCCTGCCCCTGGCCTTGAGACTTCCCCACCTGTAAAACAAATCTTAAAAACAAAACAAAACAAAAAGCCAAAGAACTATTGTCTGAATTTTGCCATCTGAATCTAACCTTGGCAGAGAGCTTTTCCATAGCATGGTGGAGTTGCTACACCACAAGAAAACTTCCTCAACCTGATAAAATTGACAAAACCTTCAACACAAAACCTCTGCTAACCTCATTCTTAATGGTAAAATATTAAATGCTTTCCCTCTAAATTCAGGAACAAAGCAAAGAGGCCCATTCTCATTTCTATCCAGCATTGTATCAGAAATCTTTCCTAACATAGTAAGACCAAAAAAAGGCACAAAGACCATAAAGAAAATAAAAATGTATTTGCAGATGGCAAGACTATGTAGAATATCCTAAGAAAACAAAACAAGGCCGGGGGCAGTGGCTCACGCCTGTAATCCCAGCACTTTGAGAGGCCAAGGCAGGTGGATCACGAGGTCAGGAGGTTGAGACCATCCGGGCTAACACGGTGAAACCCCATCTGTACTAAAAGTACAAAAAATTCTCCGGGTGTGGTGGTGGGCGCCTGTAGTCCCAGCTACTCTGGAGGCTGAGGCAGGAGAATGGCGTGGGCCCGGGAGGCGGAGCTTGCAGTGAGCCGAGATCGCGCCACTGCACTCCAGCCTAGGTGACAGAGTGAGGGCTCCGTCTCAAAAAAAAAACAAAAAACAAACAAAAAAACCACACAAAACGAATATGCACTAATAAATGAATTGTGCAAGATTAAAGGCTACAAGGTTAATAAACAAAAATCCCAAATTTCTTCAGCAAGGGGGGAACGAAGTATCTAAGTTGTAGTAGCCAAAAATAGTCTCCCCAACACCCCAAAATGTAAAACAGTGCTCACTACTACAAGGAGATTTTCCCTATTTCCACGTCTCCAACTTAACTCCTTTAGCATTTTAAGAATTCTAGCACAGATAAGCCAAATTTATGATAATGCTACTTATTACAAATGAAGGTATATTTGGCACCCAGAAAATAGATATTTACTTAAAACTGAATTCTGACCTTTCTTTATTGCATCACCAATAAGACAGATATCTACCCGACCTCTCTGTGTTTTATATCCTTGCAGGATTTTACTATTGACATTTGTCTACTGTCCAGGTAGACAGTAGAGACGGGGTTTTGCCATTTTGGCCAGACTCGTCTCAAACTCCTTACCTCAGGTGATCCACCCACCTCGGCCTCCCAAAGTGCTGGGATTACAGGCATGAGCTTCCATGCCCGGCCTCTCTGTGTTTTATTTCCTTGCGGGATTTTACTATTCACATTTGTCTACTAAAAACACAAAAATTAGCCAGGCATGGTGGCAGGCACCTCTAATCCCAGCTACTCGGGAGGCTGAGGCAGGAGACTTGCTTGAACCCGGGAGGCAGAGGTTGCAGTGAGCAGAGATTATGCCACTACACTCTAGTCTGGGCAACAGAGTAAGACTCTGTCTCAAAAATAAATAAATAAATAAATAAATAAATAGTAAGTAAATAAATATACAGAGAGAAAGCTCTGCCAGGTTATCCCAAATTGTTATAACCAACTATCAACTCCACTTACCTAGGAGGAAGAGTGATGGGCCATAGTATTCTGCATTGCTGATGATGTGTTTCAGGGAGGTAGGCAGAGAACCATCCATCACTAAGAGAAAAGTGAACATTACGGAGAATATGATTAGTTTGGAAAGGTGTGAGGAGTGGGGATAACTGAGTGATATGTATTATCACACTGTGGTCCTCAAAGCCTGTGTTAATTCTAATCTAATGGCCCCTAGTTGTCTCCTACTATTTTATTATTTGTTCTTTGTCCATGCAATAGGCTTTCTAACATGGGTTAAAAAAAAAAAAGAACACAAACACCTAAGAGTCAGAGAGGGGTAATAAGATGGAATTAAGCACAGAGTCAAAAGCTGGAAAAGGGGGAAAACATGGTAAATCATTATGAAAATAGCTAAGCAACCCTTACATCTAGGAAAAGTGACAAAAAACAACTAAAAGCTAGTGAAAATGGCACGGCCTTTACCAAAGACTGCCTTGTAGAACAACAGGTGCCAGAACAGTATGACAAGAACCGATCTTTTAGAGAGTAAAATATCCTCCAAAAAAAGTTATCTGGAATCAAATACCATGTCGTATGCCATCTGAGAAAGCAGGGTCTTGGATGGCCTTCTTGAGGAAATTCAACATGGATTTCAGAAGTGCTGCTCGTTGTGGAATGCACTGGGCTCCTGGCAATGAAGAAAGACAAAAGAATTATGCAGAGTTGGCCATTAAACCACAATTAATAATAAACATAAAAAGCATGAAAATTACTCACTTTTCAAGAGAGTAATTAATAATAAACATAAAAAGCATGAAAAGATTAATACTCAATATTCCAAGCACATAAAACAAAATTTTAACAGACCCAAATACACTATAATAAAATTAGAAGACATTCGAAGTGAGGTCTCTGAATCTTGGGAAGAATACTTAATTAAGCTTTGAAATTGAAAAAATTACGAATACTTTTAATTTTACCAATACTAAAATTAAAAGTCTAAAGTAAAAAAGAAAAATTACAAAGTAAAAACGTTCAACTTTTTTTTACCTCACTCAGTTCCCATTTTGGATATTATCTGCCCTCCAACATGGCTGTTTTGATAATCAATGTACGAATTGTTGAAAAAGTATAAAATGCTATGAAAGACATGTTAATATAAGAAAATGGAACACCAGAATGGTGAAGGAGCATGAGTAGTCATGGGATGCTAACCTCCAAATGTACCATTTAAGTTCTGACTAAAGCCGCCTTCTTCAATAGTTTAATAACTCTACCACTGTGAAAGACTGCACATCTATGTGTGTACGCACCAGGACGGGGGCCAGGGCCCGGGCCGGGGCCAGGGCCGGGACCAGGACCGGGGCCGGGGCCGGGGCCAGGGCCGGGGCCGGGGCCGGGGCCAGGGCCGGGGCCGGGGCCGGGACTGGGACCGGGGCTGGGGCCAGAAGAGATGTTAGTGCTGCTGCTGGAACCTGATGCCCTTAATTCAACATCCAGCCTGTGCTCCATAGAGATGGATGAGCCTGGACTGCTTTCCATAGCCACATCTGCAACTAAAGTACAAATTATGATAAAGAAACTTACTAGAATAAAAGGTACCACAAAAAGAAAAATTTTGTTTGAGAAAATTTCTTCCATTAATGTGAAATGAATATAAAAATGAAGATCAGGAATGCTGAACCCCAAAATGAAAATATATCACTAGTTGCATGTATTAATACACACATATATATGTGTGTGTGTAAATTAACAATCCTACAGAAGTCCTTCAATATTTCTCACCTACCAAATTGGGGAAGAAGGGGAGAGTGGTAAGTAAAATGTGCAATTTCACATACTACTAGTTGGTAGTATACAAACAGGTACAGCTTTTCAAGAGAGTAATTAATAATAAACATAAAAAGCATGAAAAGATTAATACTCAATATTCCAATCTGGAAGAATGTCTATGAAACACTGAATGAGCAATGCAAGATGAATAGTATGTTTATGATCTCATCTTCCCATTGTAAAACACTACATACTTAACATCAACATGTATTTGAATATGCACAAAAAAGCCTGGAAAGAACCACACCGAAACTAGTAGCTATGGTAGGTAAGTGACGATTCATTTTTACTTTATACACTTGAATAACTGAGTATAAGATACACAATCATTTACTACAGTTTATAAAATCTTTTAAGGCTCAATTAGTGATAAACTACTATTTACATTTTGAAATCACTGCAGCCTCAAACTCCCAGGCTCAGATGATCCTCCCACCTCAGCCTCCCAAGTAGCTGGGACCACAGGTGCATGCCACCCCACCGGGCTAACTTTTGCATTTTTTGTAATGACAGGGTTTTTGCCATGTTGCCCAGGCTGGCCTCGAACCCCTGGGCTCAAGTGATATGCCAGCCTCAGGGATGTTTCTGCCTACCCAAAAACCTTTTTACCTCTCCTTTCTCTTCTCAAAATAGGTAAAGTTTTAAAGGGTCCCATTTTAGAGTCTCTCTCTCTCTCTCTACCAAGCATATTTCTAATACCTAGGATGTTATCAGGCACTGCAGCAGTGAAAAAGACAATATCCTGATCCCATGGAGCTTGAATTTTAGTGGAAATAAGACAGTAAGAAATACGTAAGAAAATAATGTGATGAAACAAAACAGATTAACATCACAGCTATAGCATCTGCTTTACCTCCCATCTCTACTCCAAACAATTCGTACCTTTCTTTTCTGATTATCCTTGTGAAAAACAAATTTGCAAATCACTTACATAGAAAAAAATTTTTTGTTGCTTAAAGTATATACTCAAGTGAATTGCGTACTTTGGAATTTATGAGGAAGAATGAAAACTGGGGTGAGATGACAAAAAATCTCAAGCACAAAAATACTGACTTAATAACTGTTAATTACCATCCATATCAGTTTCCATTTCCTCTCCTTCCTGTGTAGTACTGGGTCTCTGGATCTTTGGCTTGATCACAAATGGACATTCTTTTCGGCACAAATCTACTTCATGCTACAATCAAGAGAAAAGTTGTAAGAAAATCAAGTGTATATATTTATATTTCAGGGATTAAAGACTATTATAATGGAAAAATACTGCAAGCAGATACACAGTTGATTTCTAGAAACAGAAGAGAGGTAAGACAGCTCTTTAGGGTTATCAGGACAATCCTTAGGTTCAGCTCTGAGTATTAAATTCTATGCAAAGTATTCCTTGTATAATAATACCTCAAGTCTATAAATGAAGATAGAAAGTCCACTATGGGATTGAAAAGCTGCCATATCCAGGTTGGTGATAAGGTCAACCACTCTGACGGCTCTGGTGACAAATGTTATCTGGTCCTGTTCATCTCCGAGAAACTTTATGACCTATCAGGGAGAAAAAGAGGCAAAAACAATGAACTATAAAGACACAAAGTTGTAAAAATTGCATTCTTTTGTATACCTGTAGTCTGGGGCCTCAGTAAGGCAGCACAGTATAGGGGGAAAGTATGTGTTTTATTTTTGGTGCCTGCCAAATGACAGTTCTATGACTTCTGCAACTCAACCTCTGAGGTAATGGGGACACCAATTATTTTGCAGGATTAAGTAAGATATTTAGGGGAAAAAAAGCTGGTGCTCAGTGTTCTGCACATAGTAAAGGCTATTACTACTACAATACAATTTACAAAGTACCTTGACATATATTTTCCCTATGGTTGTGTAAAGGCATGATAACATGTGGCAATGTTTTAACCAGAACCCATGACCTCCTGACCATTCTACACTATGATAAAGTCTCAATAATGGAAGTAGCTGCTCTTAAACGTTGTTAATGAGATAACTAGAAAGTCAAATTGGCCTTTCAGTTAAGTATAACTTTTTCCGGATAAGCTTTCTTATATTATTTGCCCTCACTGTGCAACACCCCAAACTTGCATCTCTATACCCTTCGTTGATTTCTCCATGTAGTTTAAAAAAAAAAAAAAAACCATACGGTACCTTCAATAAGGCTTCCATCATTCCACAGGAAACCAAGGCTTCACCACCAGCATCATAGCTGGCCAGATGGTATAAAAAAGAGAAGAGAGCAGTGGCAAACTGGTGAGGGTATGGATCCATGGAAGGATCTACAAGGGAGGTGGAGAGAGGGAGAACAAAAACAAGCTCAAAATTGCTGTTAAGCGGGCAGGATGTTAAAAAAGACAAAGGCAGAGGGCAAAGGTTTCTTCTTGCCTAAGATAATCACCATCAAAACTTACCAATCATGGCCTGGATACAGTTCCTTACAAGCACTGGCAAAAATCCATGGTAGGAGGCAGTTCCAGTACAGTCAATAATACTGCTGAGTTTGGGAGTTCTCTCCAAGTGGACAATTGATGTTAATGTTCGTAAAGAAGCTGCTTTAATCTCCTATTAAATTAGAAGGTAAACATATAATGCGTTAAATATAATAAGACGACTGAACCAAGTTCCAGTCGCTAATATCCAAACTTTAAAATATAGGTCATTCCACTGGTAACTGCTTGAGGGGATGGAGGTCTGCTGAGAGCAACAATGAAAAACCTAGTATTTGTTAGTTTTGCAGTTTAATACCCAAAGAGGGAAGTACTGGGAGTTCTTTCTAACCCTCTGGGAAAAACCAAAAGACAAACAAGCATAAGCCTGATATACAGACAACATTAATGCAGGATCCCTGATTCAAAAATCTGAAATATTCCCAAATCCAAAACTTTGGGAATACCTGCATGCCAGAAGTGGAAAATCCCACACCTGACCTCATGGACAAAACTATTTGAAATATTGTATATAATTGCCTTCAGATTATGAATATAATATGTATATGAAACATCAGTGAATTTCGTGTTTAAACTTAGTCCCATGCCCAAGATATCTCATTATGTATATGCAAATCCCCCTCCCCCAAAAAAAACCTCAAGTCCAAAACACTTCTGGCCCCAAGTGTTACAGATAAGGGTTACTCAACCTGTAAATACTTACCATAAGCTGCTTATCCGTTATCTGAAGGACATCTACCAACTCCTCTATCAAGCCATTATACAAGATACTGTTTGCTGATTCCTGCAAGGCATTGGAATACACTGCAAAAGGAGAAACAAACACTTTAGGCAAGAAGGCAGTGGTCAAGCCACTGCCCAATGACAAACTTTTTGGTATCTATAGGTTCTGGGGAAGAATTCCATTCCCAACCAGCAATGGAGGGCAGAATCATCACCAAATTAAATTCTGAAGGACTGGATCAAATACAAGTGATAAGCTCTAAATAGACACTAAACTGACAGATTCCGCTACTAAAGGTATTATCAGTCTCGAGAAAGAATTTTGGGGGATGGAAATAGGAAAAGTTCTGAGTTAATTTTTCATAACATTACTACTCAATATAACTTCATTATGCCTTGGATATAAGATTTCCATTTTAGTCTCTTCCTATGCTTCTGCTTTTACTGTAAACACTTGTAAAGAAGAGAATTTATGGACCATTGCAGAGTAAGTCAGAAATTCGTGTGACACTGTAGTAAAACTTGAGAATGTGTGTAATTCACATTCAATGAATTCCACAATGAGGTAATACCGGACACAGTACCCTGAAGCATAAACTAATGGGATTTGGGCATATTCATTTAGTTTTCAACAAAGATTTCCTGAGCACCCACTCACATGCCAGAAATCATGCTAGGTATGAGTACACATAAAAGAGCAAGAATTTCATGCCAAGGAACTCATAGTTTAAAAGAGAAGGCAAGTAATAACATAATGAACATTAATAATAATAGCAATGGTTACCATTTTATACCTTCTATGTGCTTGTTCTGTGCTAGATTGCTTTCTAGGTTTTCATTTAATCTTTAGACCAACGAACCTCTACGGTCAGTATCTCAATATTAAACAAATAAGCTGAGGCTGAGAAGATAAATGTAGCTAATAATCTACAGAATCAGGGCCAGAGTACAGGACTGATTCCAAAACCACGTGTTTTCCATTCTACTGTGCCACAGTAAAAGAAGTTAAATACACAGTATTGACTACTGAATATTTTCTGACTTACTTCAAAATGATACCCCTGAAAGGATGAGAGAGGAGGAAGACACAATGGCAAGAGAAAGAGTAGGGGGACAGTGAGCGATAGCTACAAGCATAACCATTTAAAAAAAAAAAAAAAAGAGACGAATACCAAGAATAAACCCTGGTGACATGATGTCAATGAACATCATCATACCCTCTTTCTGGTCCAACATTAAGAAGCTCAAGGATAATGAATAAATACAGTGAATACTGGGAGGGGTGGAAGTATTTAAGTTGCTACCTAGGTAACTATAACAGGACTCATAGCAACAAAGATGAATGTTCAAAGCAAATCAGGCCCAAACTGTCTAATAGGGCCTGGTAATTAAAGTATTCTTCTCTTACCTAATATAGATATTGCATGCAGCCTGGCCTGAACTGCCTGCAATCGCTTCCTGTGATTAGAAAAGCCATGGGCCAATCGTATGTGTGTAAATAACAGCATCTGTAGAGAGATAAGACCTACATTTTAAAAACATCAATGAAGAAGGTGAATACTCTTTATGAGAGCTAACTCAAAAAACAACACAACTAAACGTTTTCTCCTTTGGTATCCAAAGTGTTGAGAAAGCTACCACCACTTATTAGCTGCTCACAGTGAGGTAGTTCATGTTTTCCTCAAACCCTCATAAGGACCTAGGAAGTTATTAAGTGTTAACCTCATAAAAGACGAGGAAACTAAGGCTCAGAGAAGCTAACAATTTGCCCATGGTCTGACTCCAAAGCTGACATTCTTTCTGCTATGCAATCTCCCACCCCAGTACACATCAATCTATTTAGATAACAACCACATCCTGTGGATATTTTAAAGCCAAATCATACCTGCTTATCCTTAGGAATGCTGTACATTTTGGTAAGAGATTCCATGATTTCAGAAGGGCTTTCTGAAATCTACATTAGAAAAAAAGATAGTTAGGAACAAAAAGTGAACCAAACATTAAGAAACCAGCCAAGAGTCAAAGATTCCTCTTACCTTGTCAAGTTGCTCTATGTGAATATAATGTAGTGTGTTACTAGTTGTCTAAAATTAAAAAAGACAAGAGAGCTGTAAGGAGTCACTGAACACTCTAGCTTCCCCTGCCATAGAGCTCCAAGGGCTGTCTGAAAACCAAGATGTCACCCGATAGGTTGAAGCCTAAGTGAATGCTCTTAAAATCAAGGTAACTTGAGAGTCCTCCAAAACATCCATCTTATATATATTCTTAGGAAAGCTCCTTTAAAACCAGTAGTATCAAACTATAATGCGCATAGCCAGGCACCTTTCATATTCTTCTTTGTCCTTTTCTAACCCTCCACTGACTTAATCTCCATAGCTTCAGTATTCATAGCAAAGACCGAATTCATGAAAATGGTTTCTCTTTGAACATGTATTAGAGTTGCTTTCAAGGCAATTAATCTAGAAATACTACTTATTTATTTATTTAACAGTATAGGTAGAAGAGAAATTATATTTTCACTAAGCTACTTCTAAACCAAACTCTTTAGTACCTCCTCAAACAATACAGAATGACCAGATAATTTAAGCAGGACACTATCGACAATATATAAAGACTTTTACAGGCTTCCTAAGTAGAGAAACCTGAGCCATCACCATTCATACTACTATACTACATGCTGGAATTCTCAGAGACTGTGGGAAAAGCACATAGGTCATAGCAGTGCCTCATAACGGATGGGACTTCCATATTTTGGCAGCCCCCAACATGAGACCCAACCTTATCAGAGTTGGGGATGCAATTAACACTCCTGAGGAGCTGCTAGGTATATTTATAGTTTGCGAGGGCAGCAGTGTAGCTCAAAACCATTTCTTCATTTAACTGATGAGTTCTAGAAGAGGCAATCCCAGTTACCGTAAACTGTAGACTTTGTCGGAACAAATCTGAATCAGACTCACCCTTTTCTCAATTTTGACCTCGGCCCCAGGATCTGCATAGAATTCAAAGTGTAGTGTAGTTGCACTGGGTGGATATTTCTGTGTATAAAGCATATCAAAGAATCAGACATTGAGTTTCAACTGATTATAAATATTATCCCCCACATCTTCCCTCAAAGTCCTAGCCACTTGTTCAACTTATTGTGGCAGAAGAACAAGCAGTACATTCAGTACTTACAGTGCCTTTAACTGTTTTACTGTTTGTCTTAGAGCAGAGCTCAGATAGGATGAGACTTTTCAAACAGAATCAAAAGGATAGAGCCCAGAGCTCCCAAACCTTCTGCATTTCATACTTACAAATTTCTAGTTTCCCTTTCTTGCAAGAGATCAATTTTGACTGTGGCTATTCCCAAGGGGGAAAAGAGGGGCAAGACTGCCAAGCAGTAATGAATAAAAATCCAAGAAAGGATAGAGAACAAATACCAGGGTTCAGAAACCAGCTAAAGAATGGAAAAGAACATTCTTACGAAAACCTTGTATCTATCTTCTGAAATATTTTATTCAAAGTATGCCTCATAGGCATATCTTCATAATTCTTCAAACACTTTCCTTCTATACCATTCTACACCACTTCTCATGGTATGTTTTTCTGCACAGGTAGACACCAAGACAATATAAATCAGATCCTGAAAAAACATTCTCTTTAACTCCAGAAAAGTTACATGATGAACAAAAATAAGATAACAGCAGAGTGCCCACTAAAACATCTCACTGAAAGATACCACTAGCAGTGATTGCCTCTGGAAAATTAAAAAGTTACCACTGCATACCTTTTTATACTCTGAATTTTTTAACGTGTGTGTGTGTGTGTGTGTGTGTATATATATATATATATAACTTCCTTTTAAAGTACACGTCAACCTTTATGTTGTCAGAATTCCAAACTCTGAATATACTTCAAGATTTATGTAATTTTGATTATTAAACAGACAACACTCGCCGACTATATTACCCGATTATCTCTTCATAAAATAATCACTAAAGAAAAGTATGCCAGCTAACGTGGGAAAGTAACTTGATCTAATCTGTGGTTTTCTGAGACCAGAAAAGAGCCATTCTTTTTAGGAAAAGGCTTGCTAAGATAAATACGCTAAATTTCACTGCAGCCATTTGTGCTAAACATGACAAACTGACAAGACAAATTCCACATGGAAAATACAGTTGCTTCCAGATGCAAAATAATTATTGAAAACCAAATTGTGTTTTGTAGCTCCACAGCAACATATCAAAGCAGAAAGGAGGATGGCCTGAGCTAATAACTTAAGCATGGGTAAAAGGCAGAGAGATAAACAAGGAAAGCACATAAAACATTGTAAGTTCTCAATAAACCTAATGGTAGAATTGCTCTCCAAGCAGCCATTCCTAAATCACACCATACTGTCCAGAGTTCTGATACAATGTGAGAATGCAAGCAAACATACTTTCTGGGATTTAAAAAAAATCACATTAAAATCAATTCAACAAATATAGCTACCTACTCAAGAACTGGGTATGAACACACACTCTATTTCTCAGATTTTTTATCTACCGCCAGCACATCAAGAGCCCAAGCACTGATAGACTGCTTCCTATAGATGTGGCTCAGCTATGTCTGAACTGATCTTAGGTTCCTCAAAAGTCTTGATGTGAAGGAGCCACTTCATATACCACAATTCGTTGTAAAGTAAGGTTCATAGAGAGGAAAACAGCTCTGTCAAAAGATACCCATATCCCAAAGAGTTACTTACCATCATATGCAAGTCTCTGCAACATTCTGCAAGTCCAAAGCCATTCTCCTTTCCACCCCAGCTCTTGAAAAAGGAAAAAGATAGTGTTAAGACAATGCTTATGGTGACTTTGCGCCACTGCACTCCAGCCTAGGCAACAGAGTGAGACCTTAGCTCTCTTTCTCTCTATGTATATATACATACACACATATATATATATATATATATATATATATATATTTAAGAGTGTGTGGCTGCTTGGAACATAATGTTGAGAAGACATCCAACGTGAAAGTCAAACAAGAGGAAAAAAGAACAGAAATAAGAACTTAAGATTCAAGGCAAGATGGTCTGTCTAAAGGTGATTTCTTCAATGAGATTAATTTCACTGTTCAGTGAGGATGCTCCTAGGAAGAACTCAAGCAGCAACTGCCAGCCATTGTATTCCACACCCCTGTAGTCACGTATGCTGACAGGTCGGTCATGTCCCATCAGGCCTTGCCTGAGGCTCTGCCTACTCACCTTCTGCACTAGGGAGGAATCACACTTTCCAGTTCCTCTCTTTTTGACATTAGCTGAGTTACAAGGCAGAAAATTCTGCCTTATTTATTACTACTGTACTTTGCCACTCAAATCTAAAAACTCATCAACAAGCCCCTGAGATAATGGGGGAATGGCTCAACTGGCTTCTAACTACAAAACTACTGTCATATAGTCTCACTACCTAGCCTGTATCTTCAACAGCCTTTAAAATATCACTTTAATATTAAGAGCATTATTGTATTTTTATTTTTTAATTATATATATAACTATTTTACATATATTACATAAAATATGTATTTATATATGTAAAATATATATATCTCCCTGCCTCATGGGGCAAGGCATATAGTTCAGGCAAACAATTGACAAAGTGAAAGAAATTAGATATCATCTGAAACAAATTTATTAATTTATCACGTCAAACTGAAAAGAGATTTTTATATTACAAATATAAAACATTTCATATAAAGATATATTTTGTATAATTTTTAAAATTATAAATATATAAATTTTATATAAATATATAAAAATAAAAATTATATATATGTAGCTATATATGAAGAGACTGTGAGAGATAGACAAGTCTCCCTCTGTTGCCTAGGCTGGAGAGGAGTGCAATGGCACAATCACAACTCACCACAGCCTCAAATTCCTGGGCTCAAAGGATCCTCTGCCTTAGCCTGTCACATAGCTAGGACTATAGGCATATGCTACCACCACACCAGGCTACATTTGTAAAATGTTTGTAGGGGTCTTGCTATGTTGCCCAGGTTGGTCTCAAACTCCTGGCCTCAAGTGATCCTCCTGCCTTGGCCTCCCAAACTGCTGGGATTACAGCTGTGAGCCACCTTTTCCAGCCAAGAATTACCATGTTTTTAAGTCTGGCATGATTGAAGCACAAAATGCTACTTATATTCTGTGTCTTCATTTTATTCCTGTCTAGTATGGGTCCCAATCACCTCAGATCTGGGCTGCCACCATGAACTAACATGGTTCTCTCTCTACATCTAAGTTGTTTCCTCTTTGTTAAATGCTATTATATCACTACTTGCCAAAGAAGTCTCAAAAACAAACAGTGTAAATCACCGAAGGTGCCATTCACAAAGGTACATACTATAGAATGCAATTTCTAAACCTGTAAATAAATAAATAAATAAATAAATAAATTTAAAAAACATCACCTGACTATCCCATGAGAAATAAGCTTTCTCAAACTACACTTGAACTACTGGCAGCCTTTCTCAATCCAGGTATCATGTATGAAACACAGAATATGGTGAGTAATTTTTTATCATAACTAGCACCACCTTAGACACACAAGAGAGAAGTCATTTTGCTACATTAATAATGGATACCTTAGGGCATTAAGGCTTACTTCTCTAGTGAAAACCTAAGTGAGAAAGTCTGCCTGGACACAGATATGTATACCCCCCACTCCCAGCTGTTTAAAAACAGAATGTTCTACTAGGAATGATGTCAGTGAAAATGGCAGAATAGGCCGGGCGCGGTGGCTCAAGCCTGTAATCCCAGCACTTTGGGAGGCCGAGACGGGCGGATCACGAGGTCAGCAGATCGAGACCATCCTGGCTAACACAATGAAACCCCGTCTCCACTAAAAATACAAAAAAATTAGCCGGGCGTGGTGGCGGCGCCTGTAGTCCCAGCTACTCGGGAGGCTGAGGCAGGAGAATGGCGGGAACCCGGGAGGCGGAGCTTGCAGTGAGCCGAGATCGCGCCACTGCACTCCAGCCTGGGCAACAGAGCGAGACTCCGCCTCAAAAAAAAAAAAAAAAAAGAAAATGGCAGAATAGGGAACTCCATAAGCCCACGCCTTCACAAAAACAGTGAATAAACTGACTGTCGGAATTCAAGTCTATCAGAACTCTAAAAAATAATCAGAAGTTTAAAACAACGAGGCAAGTTTAAGGTAATGAGACAAGAATTTGTAAAGTACAAGGTTCGACATTCATTAAGATGTTAACAGGCTCACGCCTGAGGCGGGAGGATCAACTGAGGTCAGGAGTCTGACACCAGCCTGCCCAACATGGTGAAACCCCGTCTCTACTAAAAATACAAAATTAGCCAGGCGTGTGGTCTACGCCTGTAGTCCCAGCTGCTAGGGAGGATGAGGTGGGAGGATGACTTGAACCCGGGAAGCAGAGGTCACAGTGAGCCAAGACTGCACCACTGCCAACTCCAGCCTGGGCAAGAGTGAGACCCAAAAAAAGGTAACAAACACCTGGTGCTAAATATGGCCAAATATTCATGTATTAAAGATATTCACTGTAGCATAATTTACCACAGAAAAAAACTGGAAATTACCTAAGTAAGAAGAAAAATGTGAAGTAAATCGAGATAACCATAGATGGCACAATTGACAGTACTTAAAATATTCACATACAGAAGGTATAAAATCATATTGTAATGGAATCAATTTCTTCTTTCATGGCATTAGTCTCATTCCTGAAAATACCTTGCCACGTCAAGCAGCATACAACCATGCAGTTATACTTTCTTTTAATGCTTGTATAACTTCATGTTTTTAACATTTTAGGTTTTTATTACATCTTAATTTTACTGTGATGAGGTAGAATCTAGCTTAATTGCCTCCCAAAAAGTGAGCCAGTTTTTACAACACCATCTTATTTGAATAATCCATTCTTTTTCTGCTAATCTGAAATGCCATCTTAACCATAAATTCGATTCCTACACATTGGATCTGCTTCTGGAACCTATTGATTGGTCAATTCCACCCTTAATTACCACACTATTTAAATTACTACAGCTTTATAAAATGGTTTAATACCTAATAAGAACTTCATTACATTTTCGATATTTTCTTGGCTCTTCCCAGGACAGCTGGTGAAGACGAAGACACATGCAATTTGCTGAAAACCATAAAGTAAGGATGAGGGTAGAAAGGCTTGATGCTACACAGAACAGACAGGTAAGTCAAACCGAAAGTCTGAATCTGCAAGGCAGAATAAGCTTGAAAGGCTGTGTATCTACACAATTATATTCCTTTTGTTTCTTTTGTTATTCCAACTAATTGTTTCAGACCACCTTTATTAGTGTCACCACAAAATCTTTCTTGCCAACTTTTGCAACCTGATAAAAAACAAGCACCTTTAATTAGAAAGTTTTGGTAAGCTGAGATCCTTAAAACACCCTGCCAACTCAAACGTGACTCATGAAAGTCTGTGGTGTTGTTACTGTATCAGTAACTAAGTGCATATATAAGATTGCTTAATATATATAAGATTGCTTATTGCATCTTTCATAACAAATATGAGCATGCATCAATAGGGAAGTTGAGTAAAATATGGTACATCCAAAGCATGGACTACTATGCAGCCATCAAAAGAACCCTATAGCTATACAGGTGACTTTAAAGTGATTTTTTAACAAGGTCCGAAATAAGAAAACAAGGATGCAAGGTATCCTGCATTTGTAACTGAAGGACAAAAACACCCTCAACGGGTCAATATAATACGAAGATAATATATAGAGAATACGCTTGAGGTTACGGGGAGGTAAACCAAGAGGTAAAAGGCTGTTCTGAAAATAATCATGTGACAATATGCATGCACTTATAAAATAATGTGTGTGTAACATTTTAAAAGAAAGCAAATACAAAAGAATGGCATGTAGTTTCTCTGGTTGACATCCATCTATAAATGACAGCTCCTGTTTATTAAGTACTTCCAACATGATGGCATTAACCCTATAAGGTTTTATTTATGACTTCCTTTACTCTGATCCTAAAAGAACTATGAGGTAGATATTGTAACCCCCAATTTACAGACACAGAAACAGGTTAATGTCATTTGTTGGCTAAAGTCGGTTTCATGTCCAAATCCAGGTTCTTAAACACATGCAAGTGAATGTGTCTGCTGCAAAGGAAGTTGCCTGAAAAGACTGAAGAGACGTGAACCAAGACTTCTCTGAGCATTGTTAAAGAAGCCCACAAGGCCAGGCACAGTGGCTCACGCCTGTAATCCCAGCACTTTGGAAGGCTAAGGCGAGAGGATCACCTGAGCTCAGGTGTTGGAGACCGGCGTGAGCAACACGGCGAAACCCCATCTCTACAAAAAATATAAAAAATTAGCCGGGCATGGTGGTGCGTGCCTGTAGTCTCAGCTACTCAGGAGGCTGATGTGGGAGGACCAACTAAGCCCAGGAGGCTGAGGATGCAGCGAGCTGATATTGTGCCACTGCACTCCAGTCTGGGTAATGGAGTGAGACTCTGTCTCAAAAAAATAAATACAGAAATAAGAGAAGTCCACATGAACAAGTCAAGTTTTTACAGAAATTTTACATTTTAGAGAAACACGAAATTTTTAAATTTTAATGAGGGGTATTAGTATTGGAGGTACCATTACTAAATACCTAATTATCTCTAAACCTCAAACACCTATAAAAATCTTTTATTGCAAAGCACCAAACACACAAATCTATTACCAAAGGCTGCAATGTACGGCACCTGTCAAGATTACACATTGTCCAGGACTAGAAATTAACCTTCAATCTACAATCTCTTTGGATCAATTCAGAGCGAAAAGTAGCAAGCCTGTCAAAGGTAAAAAGTGTCAAAAATGCAAAGGGACAAAAAAGCAATCATTTAAGCAGTCCTTTCTGTGGCAAAATCATCCAAAGGAAGAAAACAACTGGATCTCAATTACCTAAAAAAAACAACACAAAGAAACAAACCCCTCATACTTTACATATGTGAGCCATTTATACCAAAAACAGTTTGCATTTTAACTTCTACTTAAATTGTCAGAACATTTAATTAAAGTATGAAATATTAGTGTGTTTCTATCAGCCTAAAAGTAGAGTGATAAGATGTGAATTCTGTCAGATGCTATTGTGGCCCTATACAAATAACCAAATTAACATGATCAAAGCTGTATTTTTAATGACTTCTAGGTCTGTTAACTCTCTTAGCAAACTTTTCTTTACCAAAGATCTTAAAAGTCACCTGTTATTTACCTCTAAATATGTTTCTAGGTTTATGTCAAGTGTGAAGAAAAGTTCTAAACCCATTTTTCCCTCAAACAGCCTACTGTCCCACTGTTCTGATATAAGCAACATAAGGCATACTCTTTCATTCTGCAGATGTATTGTCTACTCCTGTGCCAATTACAAAACTGGCTTAATGATAAAAAGCCTTATGATAAAAACTTGGCTTTATAATAAAATCACTATAGCTTTATGATATTATCTGATACAGCAACTCACCCTGATTATCAGTGTTTTCTCAGACATTTATTTCTGTGTCTCAGTTGATGCTATTAACAGACTTCCACTCAATCATTTGACTGACTGATTTAAATGAGAAACGGAATTATTTCACAAAAACTAAGTTGAATATTTTGCAAAATATTCATCTAAAAGACAATATGCTAAAATAAAAAGTGTCATATTATGAAAAGATTCAAGAGTAAACTCTAAAAAATTTAGAATCCTGTATGCAGGTTCCTTTTCTTCACATCAGTGCAACTCCATAATCACAGATTACAGTTGTAGTTTATGTCAGAAAACAGACTGCTTCTTACTAAGTCTTTGGCCCCACATAAGATGGGAAAGGGAATTATTTTCGTTTTTAAAAAATCGTATGTATAAATCACTTTTTAAACATTTCCTGCTTTAACAAGATTTTAAAAATAATTAAACTACCAATCATTGGTCCTAATTTCATTAAAGGGCTTCTACCATATTAAGTCTTCCTACTTAAAAAATGTTACTGGTCTCTATTTAGACCATCCTTTAAATCTGTAAGTAAAGGTTTAGTGTTGGTCTAACAGATCTTAAATACTGCTGTTAAGATTTATTTTCCCTTATCCATAGGGATACATTCCAAGACCCCTAGGCGATGCCCGAAACTACAGGTAGTGGCAAACCCTATATAATACACCCACACACACACATATTTTTTTCCTATATATACATACTGATGATAAAGTTTAATATATACTATAATACAGGTCATGTGAATGTGGCTTCTCTCTCAATATCTTATTGTACTGTACTGCAAGTAACTGAAACCATGGAAATCGAAACCTCGGATAAGGGGAGACTACTGTATTTGTTCATATATCTGTCGCATCATTGCCCATTCAGATTCCCTTCTATCAAAGGTATAACTTTTGATGTCTGTTAATTTTTCTTTCTTGAAACTATATGTTGCATTGTGTACATCTTTTTAAGTTTCAGAAATGGTACTGAGCAATGAAAATTGTTGCTTTTACTTTTTTATGCATGAACCACTATGTTTAGAAGCCATCGATGTTGCTGTATTATTTGGGCCACAGTTTCTAACTGCTACATACTCCATAGTGTGCATGTGCCACATTTTACTTATTCGAATACCTACTAATGATGGATACCAAGGTTGCTTCCAACTCCTCACTACCACAAACGATGATGCAATATTCGGACAGAGATCACGTTTATGGAAATGATGTGATCTCATCTTTGAAATATACACCCAGGAGAACCAGTCTACACTCCTATCAACAATGCATGAGGGTTCCCATTGCTTCACATACCTGCCAGCACTTACCATTATATAGTTTTCTAAGAAATTTCTGCAAATCTAATGCTTACAAAGCTGTATCTTGTTTTATTTTTATTTCTCTAATTACTGAGTCTGGGCATCTACTCACATGAATTCCCTGTTCTATAAACTGCCTATCCATATCCTTTGCTCATCCTTGTTGATCTGGAAGAGTTTCTTGAATATTCTACATTAGCAGTCCCTTTCCAGTTTTAAAACATTGTTAAGCATTTTCAATCTACCATGAGTCTGTTAACTTCTGTTGTACGAAGTGCTGCCTAATTTTGCCTGCAGACCAGCTGCTTGCCATTACACCAATTGTTTCCAAGTGTTATTGGTCCAGGACAAAATGAGGTTGTACCAGAATGTTATTTAACTACATTGGTAACTATACTAGTTAGTACAACTGACATTTTTCTTGATGAAGGAAGCAGTGTGTTGATTTATATTCCAGTGTAAGGGCCTAAGGAGTAGCCTGGAGTTATGTGTTTTCTGTCGGGAAGTATATTTTTAAATATAATATTCAAAATTTTACTTTTAGGTTTATGCCATGGGGATTTTAAGAATTCTTTACCCACCACTGTTATTACTACACAACCTCCTACATTAACTTCTCTTAAATTTACAGTTTTAGCCAATATGACTTATTTTACAGACAGAATATTTGCTCATACTGTGAATGGGGTCTTTTCACCAATCATTTTCCTTTTTTTTGAGATAGAGTCTCGCTCTTGTCACACAGCCTGGAATGCAGTGGCATGATCTAGGCTCACTGCAACTTCCGCCTTCCGGGTTCAAGCGATTCTCCTGCCTCACCCTCCTGAGTAGCTGGGATTACAAGTGCCCAACACCACGCCCAGCTAATTTTTCTATTTTTTTTTAGTAGAGACAGGGTTTCACCATGTTGGCCGGGCTGGTCTCAAACTCCTGACCTCAGGTGATTCGCTCTCCTGCCTCGGCCTCACAAAGTGCTTGGATTACAGGCGTGAGCCACCACACCTGGCCTCACCAATCATTTTCTAATTGGTTACTATTAATACATGGAGGAGCTATCTGTTTCTGTATATTGATCTCTTACTTGGCTATCTCACTGTGTTTTTACTAGTTGTAATAATATTATCTCCCCAAGAAACAAAGAGACTCATCACCTACATGCAAATAGTAACAAATATTCTCTTTTCTTTTTTAGAGACAGAGTCTCGGTCTCACTCTGTCGCCCAGGCTAGAATGCAGTAGCACGATCTTGGCTCATTGCAGGTTTCACCTCCCAGGCTCAAGTGATCCTCTTACCTCAGCCTCCCAAGTAACTGGGACCACAGGTGTGTGCCACCACACCTGGCGGATTTTTGTACTTTTTGCAGAGATGGGATTTCGCCATGTTGCCCAGGCTGGTCTCAAACTCCTGGGCTCAAGCAATTTGCCTGCCTCAGCCTCCCCAAGTGCCAGTAATAACAGGCATGAAGCCATCATGCCCAGCCCAAATTTTCTCTTTTAATATGTATTCTTCGCTTCTTTCTTTTCTGTTGGTTAGCATCTGTACTACAAATGTAAATGACAGAAGTTAATGTCTGACATTTTTGTGTGACTTATGAATTCAATGGAAATGCCTTAGCTCCCCCATTATGACTTCCGGTAGGTAACTCTAGTTTCTTAAAGTTTATATGAAGCTTTTGTTAATGTGATAAATTTTATCAAGTGCTTTGGAAGCATCTATTGAGTAATAGTTCCTTTTTCCTTTAACTGTGACTTGGGAATCCAATGTTAAACCTCCTTGTGGTTTTTAATAGGAGGAAATGTTTACAGTATCTTAAGAAAACAAGTTACATGCTTATATACACGTATTTCCAAATGCAAGAAAAAAATGCTCTGACTTTAAGGGAGGTCTCATAGGGATGAATTATAGGTGATTGACATTTTGTCTATATTTTCCTAGAATTTTCAAAATACATGTTATAATTATACAAAACTAATTTATAAGTAATCATGGCACGTAAATTAGCCTGAAAACTTGAATTACTTTGAGGTAACCATTAAATAAATACGCTTTTAAAAAGCTAGCCATAACACTTTTCTTCTAAGAAAGCTTTCCAACAGTGGGTTACCTCTCAAACCTAAGTATATATTAAGAAATTGTCTCCGGGAACACAGGACAATAGTTTGGTAGAGCTGAACTTTTATATGAGAGCTTTTGGCTTCAATTACAATTACTACTACTTACTGATCACAGCACTGAGTACCCACAATTCATTTTATTCTAAATCAACCCTGAAGTAGATATGTTAAATTCCCAGAAGAGGAAACCAGTATGAGAGCTAGTACGCAGGGCCAGGACTCAAATCTAGATCATATTATTGCATTATACTTCCTTCTCACACAGAATTGAATATAATTTTGAACTTTCCTTTCAGAAGAGAAATTGCCACTTCTGAAGAGAGAGATTTTGTTTGGTGAGCAGAGATTAAAGAATTCCTTCAAAATTACTTAATAACTGAGAATACTTAGGTTTTAAAAGAGGGCACGAATAGTTCTAACTCAATTAGGCTAGTGAAGTTAACTTAGGGATTCTAATACATTTTAACACTCTGAGAAACACCTGTTGAAAGGAACCATATGCTCCAATTTTTGCACCCCTCCACTCTTCACCCAAGACTCACCTCTGCCAAATGTTGTAGCCGAGTTAGCAGCGGGGTCCTCTTGTCAGATCCCAGACGAGTGATGTAGTTTGATCTTTTGCTAAATACATATAGGAGATTAAGGACTGCCAGCACCACTTGCATATCAGAGGAAGCCAATAAAGTTGTCAAATGCTAAAGGGACAAAAAAGGGCAAAGCTCAAGGTATCAGGAACAACTGGCCTTGAAAACAAAACAAAATGTACCTGTCAACATTTACAAAGCTATCAAAAAGTTTAGTAATGTAATACAAAAAATATATAAGTATTTGTACTCGGGAGGCTGGGGCAGGAGAATGGCGTGAACCGGGAGGCAGAGCTTGCAGTGAGCCGAGATCGCGCCACAGCACTCCAGCCTGGGTGACAGACTGAGACTTCGTCTCAAAAAAAAAAAAGTGTGTGTGTGTGTGTGTGTGTGTATATATACATGTATGTATTTGATAATCTACAACATGCAACCTTATCCCCCAAGGAGCTTAAAATCTGGCAGTTAGTTATAAAGTGCAATAAAAGTAAAAAAATGTAAACAGTAGTTCAAAACTGCACAGGTTTTCCCACAGGAAGGAAAAGAGACAAAAGAGGCAAATGTGATATAATACACATGAGGGACTCAAGAAGAACATTAAGTCTCTAACTGGACTAAAAGTATTGTGAAAGATATTTTATGTTCTCTTCTGTATCCTTTATGACAAACATAAAGCTGAAATTAATTAAAACAGGGTCCTTCATATAGAAGCTAAAGATATCCACAACAGTTCGTGGCAATTATGTAACATATAACTGTTACAGTACAGTATATGCTCATAAGGAATCTGAGTGACTACTTTGGTTTTTTTGTTGTTGTTGTTTGGAGACAGGGTCTCTCTGTGCCCAGGATGGAGTGCAAAGGCATGATCATAGCTCCTTGCAGCCTTGACCTCCTGGGTTCAAGCGATCCTCTCACCTAAGTCTCCCGAGTAGCTGGGACTACAGGCATGCACCACCACGTCCAGCTAGCTCTTATATTTTTTGTAGCGATGGAGTCTCACTATGTTGCCCAGGCTGGTCTTGAAACCCTGGGCTCAAGTGATCCTCCTGCCTCAGCCTCCCAAAGTGTTAGGATTACAGACATGAGCCACTGCACCTGGCCTTACTTTGGCTTTTAAATACAATTAAAATTCACCAATACATTGAAGCACTTGGTCAGAATTAAAATCAGTATGTAATATAGCTAGAAATGAACCAAGGCATTTCCAGTTGCCAATTATACCAAAGGCCATGGACTTCCATGGGCAGCATATCTATTTCATCTTCAACAGACTGCCTATTTACCTCCCACTTAAAGCTCTGTATATTAGGCCTTTAGTTCAGTTATCCCACTTCTTTTCCTAAACCATTTTAAGTTGTTTGTTCTGATTCTGTTTCTCTACTGAAGATGGAGGAAAACACACCTAAAATTAACAGGGCACCTAACTAATGATGACAGAAAGTCTAAAGTTGGGCTTCTATAAAAAGAAAATAATTTCTTATTACAGTGATTTTTAACTAACTGAAAAGCTCACTGACTGCTGCACCCACCTTACTCTTCAAGGACACAAAGGATGCTATGAATATATATCTTGGGATGGGTGTGGCAGAATACAGAGAGACTTGAAAGCAGCACACTAAAACTTAGAGAAGTACATTAATGTGATGAGAAAATCAAACTATTTCTAGCAATTTAAAAGTAATGTGGGGCTGCTCTAACAACCTAGGGCAAAAATAAATTCATGTAAATTTCCTTAAATACTTTAATATATATATAACATTTCTCACTCATTTCTTGAATCTTGAAAAGGCAAAACAAAGGTGATAGTACAGAATCTTCCCATCAACCCTATGAAGGATATCTATATCCAAGAAACATTCTACTATTATCTTTGACAATGAAAAACCCAGAGCTCCATCATGAAAAGGAAAGAAGCAATAGAGAGAAATGGCAATTTCCTTATTTCTGGATGTACACAATTTTAGTTTAAGAACAGAGTACACAGGCTTTAACCTTCCCTACCTCTATGGAACTGTACAGATGCCGGGAAAAGCTGTACTCAATGAGCAAGGCTGTGAAGTTCAACACAGCCAAGAGAAGCATTTTCAGTTGCTCTCTTTCTGGCCTATCACATACGAGCATCCATGACATATTCTCCACTGTCTGTCCAGCATCTGCCAGTATTCCATCGAAGCGGTCCAACAGGTCCACCCAGTGATATAACTCGCACTGGAGAGGGGAGGAAAAAGAAGATGTAAGAATAAGGTAGAAGTGCCGCATGGGTGCTTTCTAACTGAGCTTTGTTACAAGAGATTGCTGAGCATGACACCTAGACAAGTTCACGTCCCACTCTTGCCCATATGAGAAAGGTCATACTCTGAGCTAAAAGGGCTGGAGTTCATTTCATATCCATCTAGACATATGTGCTAACACCACTAGACACCATAAAACCGCTAGAGCTAGGTCTTTAGATGGAGAACTCTGGTTATATTCTAAGATCTACGAAGACAAGAGAACCATCCTTGCCAGAATCCATTTTATCAGAAAAATTCATTTTTTAGAGTTATCTAATAAAAGTTCTTCTGAACTAAAAATCCAGAAATTATCTCAAACTTATATTGTCAAACTACAGGAATTCTGTGATTGAGATTCTTAAGCATCACCTGTGAAATCAATTCCTCATCCTCAGCCAGCAAAATTTTCCTTGCCACTGGTTGAAAGCTATGTTAGGCATGTGGCACTCGCTAGATGCTTATTAAGTTAACTGCTGAATGAGGCTATCCCACTATGGTTTCTTATTCCATATCAGAGCATACAAAATGATGTCTTAGTAGTCCTGTCTTTTGGGAGCATGGCTTCACATACCTTTCCAATGTTCCATGTTTTGATCTGCTGCAGTTCCAAGAGAAGTTGCTCATCATTACAAACTTTGAGTTTGTCTATTAAGGCTCTGCAGTCTGCAGGCTGAGAAAAAAAAGTATTCACAAAGATGTTTTGGAATGAGGGAGTTGCAAACAAGGAGAATCGGAAAAGGAACCCTTAAGCTCACACAGTAATTTTCCTTTTGCTAGGATTTACTACTTAAGAAAACAAGATGTGCCAGATAATCTCTTGGGATTAAAATGGAAACCTCATGAGAAAACGTTTTTATTCCCCAACAATCCACCTCGCCTTCAAAAAAAAACAAAAAACAAAAAAAACACCTTGGATAAAGGTAGATGCAGACAAACTATTTGGAAAAGTGCAGACAAACTATTTGGAAAGATACAGACAACAAAGACAGTAATAATAAAAAGTTAAACATCTAAAAAAAAAAAAATTAAGGAATCTATACCATGGTCTGAAAGTTAACCAGAATGCCTGGTAGGTTATATTGAATCAGAGACTGCAAAGTCCTAGTGAATTCACAATTAAAGGTGAAGATTAGCATTAGCTATATTTTTCTGTAACATAAAACCCTTCACTTGTAAGGTGGTAAAGAGCTTCTGAACTTCGTAAAACTAGGACTCCATTCTTTCTTGGGGTTCCCATTTCCATACATTTCTGCTCTCTTCTACTGATGAATGGGCCTATTTGTCAGGTAACAAGGAGTGGATTGAGTATTTACAGTCAAGTTTCTGAAACTGGAAGGAGGGAAAGGGATAGGGGCTGGGAGAGAGAAGCCTTCCGTTAATGAACGGCAGCTGGGAGAAGTGATTATTACACCTGTTCTTTAACTCCATAAGGGCAGTACAGCATCCTGGGAATGGACCAGAGGTCTGGTAACAAACAAGTCTGGATTCATTTTTTAGCTTCATGTTTACTAAGCTGTTTGATCATGGGCAAGTCTAACCTCTAAGCCACAGCTCTCTTATCAGAAAAACAGACGTAATAGCTACCTCACAAATATGAAACTCAAATGTCTGCCACATACATAAAATGCTTATCTCCCATAACAGGAGCTTAAATATTCAGAGACGGCATACTATTAAAAAGAGTATGAGTCTTGGAATCAGGTAGTTGGTAAGCTACCTCTTTGAATCTCAGCATCCTCTTCTGCAAAATAAACTAACACGTACCTATATATCCAGCAATGCTGTCGTGAGATTCAAACTGGGAGAAATGTATTTTTGGCATCCGAAAAAACATGGAACCTAACAGGCGTTTATTTAAGCTAAGTCCAAACCTTTTCTCCCTCTAAGCATTATTAAGATCTACCTCAAATGTTCATGGTAATTAAATGTATGTAAAATCCTTGGCACAAAATCCTTTCACAAACCAGGCCTGCACTTTTTCCTCCTCTCCTCTAAGATGTATAAGTTGAGGGAGAGGCAGTGAAGCAGCAGAAATAGATAACATGGAAATTTGAACCACCTGCTTATGCAGTTCACTTGTGCCTGCTGGACCTACTTGGGTCCAGCATCAAACATGTTACCTTCTATTTCTAATGGAATGCAGCTATACGAGTCCAACTTTATGATGTGTAGGTGAGATAACACCCAGGTCATGAGGAACATTTGGATCCTATAATAACTCGGTATGTCTCAGAACCAGGCATTCAGTCTTTATCAAGGCCCAGTAGCAAGCCTGAAGCTGCTTTTGTGAATGTAGAATAGCTGGTGGCAGAGGACAGCACAGCCAAAAGTCTAGGGGTCTTACTTGTAATTCTACTGGGGCTTGCCAAAAAGCACCACATACCACATGGCATCTTTAGCTGATACCTAAGTCAGTCACCTGGGTCTACTAGGTCATAATGTCCAAGTGATAGGGCAACTTGTATCATAGCCTGGACCTTTTGCAGAGTCTTTTCTAGATCCAAACCTTACTAACACTTTAGTGGTACCCCACTAAATGTGTTAGAGGTTATGCAGTAAATAGGTCAAAATAGCATGCCCAAATGTGACCAACCAATATGTTGGCTCCAAAATCCAAACACATCACACATTGTTGCTCTTTCTTCACAATGTGTGGTACAAGGTGCAGCAACTTCCCTCTCACTTTAGAAGGGATATCCCAATATTTCCCAAACCATGTGGCCACTAGAAACTTTCCTAATGTGAAAGGTCCTCAAGCTTCCACAAGGTTTGTTTCTGACTCTCTGGCACAAATATGTCTGAGGCATCTAAGGTGTGCTTGTGTTTTCTGTTCACAAGATCCAGTTAGCATAATGGTATCAATTTAATGTACCAGTATGATGGTCTCTGTTTTATCAGACTATCAAGATTCCTTGCATTTTGCAGGAGAAAGCAGCAAGCACAACGTTAAGATACAAGAAAGCATTTGCCAGTTCGACAGCTGAATACCAACTGCCAGGGTTTACAGTGATTTATTTCAATAGATACCAAATCTGGGGAAAAAATTCTTTGCACAGCTGCTAATAAAGTGATCAATAAAAGCCTTTCGTAAAAACAGTACCTAGCATTGACCACAGTATGGGAAATGGGGGCAAATTTGTATGCTGCTCAAGGAAAATAGACAACTCAAGTCTTAAAAAGTCCATAACCAGTGACACAAAAATTCTACTTCTAGGAGTTTATGCTAAGTAACTTGCTAGTAACTAGGAAATAAGAGCCAGAAATCAGCATATGACTCCAAGAGCAACCCCTTACAATCCACTAGGTTAAAAACTTTCTTTTAATTTGCATTTCTCCAATTACCCACAGAGTTGAATCTTGCTGAACATTTACTGGGTTTGTTCTTTTCTTAAATGCCCTATGCCCATTTTGTCATTGGGATATTCATTTCTCCTGATTTAGATACTGAAAACATTAACTACACTGGGTTACAAATATCTTCCCCAGCTTGTCATGTGTCTTCCTCCTCCCCCGCCCCACCCGAGCTTATTAAGGTGTAAATGGTATACAAAAAACTGCACGTAATTCACGTATACAACTGGGTGAGTTTGGATGTATGTATACACTCATGTTGCCATCACAATCCAGGTAATAAACATATCCATCACCTCCAAGTTTCCTTGTGTCCCTATGTGTGCACATGATTGTGCGTGTGGTAAGAATACTTATATGAGATCTACCCTCATAACACATTTTTGATTAGTCCCTCTGTATTCGCTGGGGATTGGTTCTAGGACCCCCATGAATACCAAAATCTATGATGCTCACCCTTTGTATAAAATGGCACAGTATTTGTATATAACCTATACACATCCTCCTATATACTTTAAACCATCTCTAGTATTACAATACTGAATTCAATTCAATGTAAATAGTTGTTACACTGCATTGCTTTAAAATTTCTATTTTTACTTTTGTATTACTCTTTTTTATTGTTTTTTTCCCCCAAATATTTACTAACCAGTTGGTTCAGTCTGCAAATGTGGAACCCATACACATGGAGGGCAGACTATACTCAATACCTGACTGTTAACTATAGGCACTATGTTGTTCTACAGCAGATCTCTGGAACTTACTTACCTTGTATAATTTTATATCCACTGAGCAGCAACTCCCCCTTCTCTCTCCCCACCATTTCCTGGTAACTATCATTCTACTGCCTACTTTTATATCTTTGACTATTTTAGATGCCTCATATAAGAGGATTCACACACTATTTGTCCCTCTGCGGCTGACTTATTTCACTTTGCCTAATGTCTTCGAGGGATTAATTTCCAAAATATATAAGGAACTCCTGCAACTCAATAGCAAAAAACCCCAAATAACACAAATTTTAAAACGGGCAAGGGACTTGAATAGATACTTATCCAGATGTCTATTTACATACAAATAGTTTAAAAGTATATAAGAAGGTGCTCCATATCAAGGAAATCATCAAGGGAATGCAAATCAAAACCACAATGAGATACTACTTCACACCTGTTAGGATGGCTATTGTCATGTCTTTTAAATTTTGGATACAGTATTTAACATTTCCATTTTGGTTTTTTCCTTTGTTTTAATGCTTGGAAAGACCATCCCCACTTAAGACAAAGTAAACATTCACCTTCATGTTCTACTTCTCCTACAGCTTATTTCTTTTAAAAACATTTGACTTTTGGTTTATCTAAAGTTTATCACAATATAATAGTAACCCATGCTCCACAAGATAAATAATTAGTCTAGCACGGTTTCCTAATATTGTCTCTTCTTTCCAATTTATAATCCCTCTATCATCACATATCTAGTTCTTATATACACTAGGATCATTTTTCTAGGTCTTCTATTCTCGTAGCAGTAGATTCTTACACTGGTTTCACTTTAAATTTTTAAATTACAGTTTCTTAAGCAAGTTTTCTTTTTGTCCTTCAGTAAAAGACATTCAAGTACAGTTGTCAAAACTTCTAGATGCCAGAACACATCAAAAACAAAATCAAAAGCAAATGAAGATATTTCCAACAGATACGAAAATGAGTACGTTCAATATATATGGCATTCGGTAAGAGAAACACTTGATATTCCAATGTCGGATACAAAATAAACAGCACAAGAAGATAACTGATATAGAACAGTGAAATACTTTCTTCCCCACCTATGAAATTAACAAAAATTTAAAAGACAATCTGTAATACTGACAAAGGTATGTGAAGAAAGTGCTGCTCATACTCATACTCATACAATGCTAAATGAAAAGGGCAGGATAATTGTGTGTGCACATGTAATAATTTTTTAAAAGACTGGAAGAAGCCTGGGCAACAAGGCAAGATCCTGTCTCTACAAAAAATAAAAAATTTGCCAGGCATGGTGGCATGCACCTATAGTTCCAGCTACTCAGGAAGCTGAGGTGGGAGCATTGCTTGAGGTGGGAGCATTGCTTGAGCTGGGAGGTCAAGGCTGCAGTGAGCTGTGATCTCGCCACTGCACTCCAGCCTGCGTGACAGAGCAAAACCCTGCCTAAAAAAAAAAAAAAAAAAAAAAAAAAAACTGGAAAAAATACAGCAAAATGTTATTGTTCTCTTTTGGTGATACTTGCCAGGTACTTTTACATTTTTTTAAAACCTTGTATTTACAATATGAACTAACTTACGTGCCAGATACTATGCTAAGCAATTGCCTCACATCAAGAAGGAAAAAATTTTTTGTAGCTGTGGAAACCAGGCAAGTTAATAACCTCTCAGCCACAAAAGTCTAGTAAGATTCAAACCCAGGTCTAATTCCAAAGCTTGTGCTCTTTGAACTAAGCACACAGGGTCAACAGGACTATCACAATACAATACCACTTCCTTAACCTCAGAAAGCAGTTCAAGCTAGCTGGTGGAATATTACTAGATTGAAGCTGGGATTTCTACTGTCGACAAAGGGTTAATTGATATGACCACCCAATATACAAGTTAAGCTGAATTGTGTGATTAAGAATCAGTAATAAAGACAGCTAAAACACTGGCCTTAACAAAAAAAACTAGTAAGAAAAATGTTACCACTTTCATTTTCTAAAAAACAAAATTGCAAGATCCCAGAAGTACATTAAAAATCTGAATTCACATCTGCTCTTTCCATTATACCACACTTCCTTTCTGCATAGGAAGGAATTGCACAGCAGCCTGAGAGCTGACTTCAGGCACACACAGCTACCAAGAACTAATTGATCAGTGTTCACTTTCCACTGGTCTCTTGGCTATCCACTTTTTTAATCCAGGGAAGTTCAAAAGAAAATCTTACTGTTTCTAGACAAGTTGTTGTTTTATCGCCTTTTGTATATATGGGTGATGAGACTTGAAGAGCATGGATGAACTGTTCACAAATATTTTTTATTTTTTAATGAAGAAAAAATAAGCAAAGCAAACTTTTGGATACTTACAGCCTCGGTAGGTGTCTTCTTCAGTTTAGTCCTGTCTACTTTCATGATTTCAATTTTCAGCTTTACGATCTGAAAAGAAAATCCCCAAAGAAGTGAGAACTTAAAGCTACAATCTTGAGCTCTACAAGCTTGGACATAGACAATACAGAATGAAGAGCAATGCAAAATGCTTAAAGTAAAAACACTGGAGTTATGATGCTATGCCATCTCAGAGGCACAACTATTGAGTAGAGAGAGGTAAAGAATCTCTCCAGATCAAACTGGCCCACATCCCCATGTTGCACAAGACTGAAACCAAGTCAAGCCAAAATGAAAAATTTTTTTTTCTTTTACAAGCATCTCCAACTCTTAATTGAAAATAAGAGTGTACAATGTTTGCAACACATCTCAGGATGGAAAAACTCACCATAGCCCTGCAGTTTCCTGATAGCTTCCATTTCTAGGAATCCAAAGAAAGTCATAAAGATGTACACAAATATTTAACCACAAGAATCTATATTGCATGACCATGTGTAATAGTAAAAGACTGAAGACCTACTGTTCCATCACAAGGTTAAAAAAAGACCAAATGTCCAAAATATGATTTGTTTAAAATGGAATAGTGCACAACTGTTAAAAATATTACAGACAACTATATAATACACAAAGATGTTCATGATGAAATAAAAAGGTTACAAAACGGAACATATGGTATAAACTTATGTCTACTGCAAACAGCTCAGAAGGGCTAGGCATCAGAATATTAATTCATTGTTAACCGAAAGGATTATGTATGACTGTTTTACCTATGCACCTTTTACCGTTTCTACCAATAAAAATGTATTAGTTGTATCCTAAGAGCAAAGGCAAAACAATACTTTTATTTTTCAATTAGAAAATGAAGAATCCCAACAGAAATATTCCGAGCACAGAAAACAATCATTTTATTAAGCCATGTAATTTGGAAGGCTCAAAAGCAGACAACAGCCTGATCAGATCCCTAGATCTTTGATGGCAGACAAGTCCTCCAAAGCACAAGAAATGTTTCTCCTGTTAGCAACTGAGACACATGCACAGAGGTAGAAGTGGGTTGCAGGCTCTTTACACACAAAAGATTCTATTAACAATGTATTTAACTCAGTAGCAGTCACTAGAAATCAATGTTCCTCCCCCAAGAAGGCTGCCATAATATAAAGCTGACCAATTACAGTATAAATTTTAGGCAGCTTTTTGCCTAGATTTAGTCCAATATACTCAGTACTACAGAAATAGCGTGTATTTGCCTGTATGACCTGCATCCATTCAATCAGCAGGCATTCAAGGAAGAGTTTGTAAAGAATTCAGAATATGTTCTAAAACATTTCTGTAGAGACCATTCCTTAAGAAGAAAAAATGTTTTCTATGGTTGATACTTAGGGTATGTAATTCCAGATTACTTTTTAAAAAGTTATCTCAGTATCAATACAAAATGAACAAAATGCCTGGTGCCAACCACCTCAAAATATCTCAAATGAAGCCAACAGGATTCTGGCAACAATCCTGTCCATGTGGTGGAAACTATAAGCTGAGCTATTTGTACGCTTACTCTCAAGGCTTTTTTTCTCCCCTTTTCTCACAAATGTCTTACGCAAGTGGCTGCCACACTACTGTGGCTTCAGTCATTTGCAGGGAGGTTATTAAATCGCCCCTGCTGCAAGACGTAGCAGCCAGCCTCAATACCATGCAACTCAAATAACTGATGCTTTCCGTCTAAGATTAGAAACAAGGCAAAGAAGTCCATTATCATGACTTTTATTCAACATACTGCTGAAAGTTCTAGCCAATACAATACAGTAAGAAAAATAAGTAACAGGCACACAGATCAGAAAGGAAAAAATAAAAATGGCCCCTATTTGCAGATGTCAAAGGATCATCCACATAGAAAACCCAAGAAATCTATTTTAAAAGCCTCTCAGAGGATGGGTGCAGTGGCTCACTGCACTCCAGCCTGGGCAACAGAGCGAGATTCCATCTTAAAAGAAAAAAAAGGCCAGGCGCGGTGGCTCATGCCTGTAATCCCAGCACTTTGGGAAGCTGAGGCGGGCAGATCATGAGGTCAGGAGATGGAGACCATCCTGGCTAACACGGTGAAACCCCGTCACTACTAAAAGTACAAAAAAAGTAGCCCGGCATGGTAGCACATGCCTGTAATCCCAGCTACTTAAGAGGTTGAGGCAGAAGAATTGCTTGAACCTGGGAGGCGGAGCTTGCAGTGAGACGAGATTGCACCGTTGCACTCCAGCCTGGCAACCTCCCAGAGCTAATAACCAATCTCAGCAGTCATAGAATACAAGACAAATGTTAAAAAAGCCAATCATGTTTCTATATACTAGCAATGGATACGTACACTCCAAAGTTAATGCAATACCATTCACAATCACTAAAAAACAATGAAGTATTTCTGTATAAATCTACAGAATATGTACAAGACTTATATGCTGAAAACTACAGAACACTGATTTAAAAAAATCAAAGATCTAGGCTGGGCGCGGTGGCTCATGCCTGTAATCCCAACACTGGGAGGCCGAGGTAGGCGGATCACGAGGTCAGGAGATAGAGACGATCCTGGCTAACAGGGTGAAACCCCGTCTCTACTAAAAATACAAAAACAAAATTAAGGCCGGGCGTGGTGGCTCACGCCTGTAATCCCAGCAATTTGGGAGGCCAAGGCGGGTGGATCACCTGAGGTCACTAGTTCTAGACCACCCTGGCAAACATATTAAAACCCCGTCTACTAAAAATACAAAAATTAACTGGGCATGGTGGCAGGCACCTGTAATCCCAGCTACTCAGGGGGCCGAGGCAGGACAATCAGTTGAACCCCGGAGGCCATCGCACTCCAGCCCAGGGGACAAGAGCGAGACTTCGTCTCAAAAAAAAAAAAAAAAAAAATTAGCCAGGCGTGGTGGCGGGTGCCTGTAGTCCCAGCTACTGTGGAGGCTGCGGCAGGAGAATGGTGTGAACCCGGAAGATGGAGCTTGCAGTGAGCCAAGATCGCGCCACTGTACTCCAGCCTGGGCGACAGAGCGAGATGTCTCAAAGAAAAGAACAACAAAAAAATCAGAGATCTAAATACATGGAGATATTTAAGACTCTAGTAAAGATGTCAAATCTCCTAAAATTGTTATACAGGTTTAATATAATTCCTATTCAGATCCCAGCAAGATTTTTTTTTGTAAATAAGCTGAGATTATTCTAAAGTGTATATGGAAAGGTGTAAGAAAGAACAGCAATGGCTGAAACAGTTTTGGAAAAAAAAAAAGGAGGGAGGAATCGAATCACCCTACCCACTTTTAAGACTTATTATATAAATAGCTACAGACATCAAGTAGTACTAATATATATACAAATATCAATAGAGCAGAATAAAGAACCCAGAAATAGACCCATACAAATATGCCCAACTGATTTAAAAAAAAAAAAAAAATTCAGTCAAGGAAAGATAGTTTTATCAATAAATGGTGCCAGAGAAAGCAGACATGCACAGGCAAAAAAGATCAACTTCGACGTAAGCCTCATACCTTATATTAAAAATTAACTCAAAATGGATCACTTAAATGTAGAACAATAAAATTTACTAGAAGAAAATATTTGCAAACCACACATAGTATCTAAAATACATAAAGAACTCTCAAAATTCAACAGTAAAAAGTCAAACATCTCAGTAAACTAGAAATAGAGAACTTCTTCAAACTGATTAAAATATCTACAAAAAAAGCTACAACTAACATCTTAATGGTCAGAAACTAGGAGCACTCCCCCTTAAATAATCACAAACAAAAAAGGCCGGGCTCAGTGGCTCATGCCTGTAATCCCAACGCTTTGGGAGGCCTAGGTGGCGGATCATTTGAGGTAAGGAGTTCAAGATCAGCCTGGCCAACATGGCAAAATCCCTTAATCCCAGCTACTTGGGAGGCTGAGGCAGGAGAATTCCTTGAATCTAGGAGGCCCAGGTTGCAGCAAGCTGAGATTGCGCCACCGCATTCTAGCCTGGGCGACAGAGTGACACTCCGTCTCAAAAAAAAAAAAAAGAAAGAAAAAGATGTCCTCTCTTACCACTGCTTTCTAACACTTTATTGAAAGTCCTAGCTAAAGCAGTAAAGGAAATAAAAATTATAAAGATTGGGAAGGAAGATATAAAATTGTCTTTTTGTCAGAGATGACATGATCATACATGTAGAAAATCTGAAAGAATAGGGGAAAAAAAAAAACCTGGAGCTAACAAGCAATTACACCAAGTTTGCAGGATATAAGGTTAATATACAAAAGTCAATTGCTGGTCGGGCGCGGTGGCTCACGCCTGTAATCCCAACACTTTGGGAGCCCGAGACAGGAGGATCATGAGGTTAGAAGATCGAGACCATCCCGGCTAACACGGTGAAACCCCGTCTCTACTAAAAATACAAAAAAATTAGCCAGGCATAGTGGCGGGCGCCTGTAGTCCCAGTTACTCGGGAGGCTGAGGCAGGAGAATGGCATGAGCCCGGGAGGCGGAGCTTGCAGTGAGCTGAGATCGCGCCACTGCACCACTCCTGCCTGAAAGACAGGGCGAGGCTCCGTCTCAAAAAAAAAAAACAAAAAAACCCCAAAAAAAACCAAAGTCAATTGCTTTCCTATATACTAGCAACGAACAAGTAGAATTTGAAATCAAAAACATATTATTTACATTACAAAAATGAAACACTTAGATATAAATCTAACAGAATATGTGTAAGATCTATACAAGGAAAACTATAAAATTCTGATGAAAGAAATCAAAGAACAATTAAATGGAGAGATATTCCAAATCCATGGATAGGAAGACTCAGTAATGCCAAAATGTTAAGTCATTTCCAACTCTACATATTCAATGCAACTCCAATTAAAATTTCAACAAGTTATTATGTGAATATTGACAAACTGATTCTAAAATTTATATGAAGAGGCAAAAGATCCAGGATAGCCAACACAACATTGAAGGACAAATCAGAAGATCTACATTACCTGAAATCAAGTCTTATCATAAGGCTACAGTAAGCAAGAGTATAGTACCAGTAAAAGAATGAACAGAT